TCGTGGGTGAATGCTTTTTTGGTTGCAATTTCTATCTAAACTAATCGGAGGTTTTATCGTGCAGCGGATGGAGGCTGAAAAGGACGGTTGCATCAGCTGTCTGGACCTGGTGCTTAAGTGGGTGACGCTGCGCTTCTTTGAGACGAACACAAGCGTGCTGATGAAGGTGCTGGAGTATCTTAAGATACTGTTTTTGACGATATCGGCCGACGGCTACTGCCTCACCGACTTCGAGGCCAGCTCCTTCATCCCCTACCTCATCCTGAAGGTGAGTTTGGCTTGTGTTGTCGTGTCCAAACAGCTGTTCTACCATGCAAATTTTTAATCTTCCAACAGAATGCTTGCCGCTTTTGTTGGGTCCCGTTGTACGTGTGGTTTAAAATTTAAAGTTCAAGTTCTGCAATTTAATTAGAAAAAATGTATGCCGTACGTATTTTTTCTATTAGGTCGGTGAGTCAAAGGACACAATTCGCAAGGATGTCCGAATGATCATGAATAACATCTGCAAGGTGTATCCAGCGAGCAAGATGTTTGTGTTCGTTTTAGACGGAATAAAGTCCAAGAACTCGAAACAAAGAGCGGGTGAGTTGTGAGAAACTCACTTGTCAAGCATCCTTCCCGCTTATATTTCTGCACGCACCCGATCTCATCCAATACATTAAAAAGGCGTTAAAAGCTTGCTTCCAGGCTTTGCCGTGTGGTGGTCGGCAGAGGGCAGTGTAACGAAATGTGTTTTTGTACTCTGCGTCGACGCTCCCCACTTTCACCAACCTGTACTGACCTGCGTGGTGACGTATGGTCATATAGCCCCAAGTTTGTGGAGACCCTCGCCCAGAAGTATATTGGCCCAAGGCTGCGCATGTACAAATGTGTTTCTTGATTATGCGATGAGCACATGTGTGCATGCAAGGTTTGTTAATTTCGGTCTGCTCCGTCCGACCTCAAGAGTGCCTGGAGGAGCTGGGAGTGCTCATCGACAGCTACGGCATAAACGTGTGCCAGCCCACGCCGGCGAAGGCCCTGAAAGAGATCGCGACGCAGATTGGCGACCGCGACAACTCCGTTCGCAACGCGGCGCTCAACACCATCGTGGTGGCGTACAACCTCGCTGGGGAACAGGTTCTCAAGATGATTGGAAATGTAGGTGGCCTTTCTATTTTTTTTCAGCCGTGCCACGTTAACCACTTAAAAGTTTGACGATCGATTGCTTCATTAATCCAAGTAAATTCTGACTCTTCCTGTAAATGCGTTGAATTGTGTGTTAATAATTTGGCTTTCATTTGGTGCTGTGTATTTTCCTAGTTTTTATACCCATATAGATACACACCACGAGATGCTACAGGCACCATGATAAAAACAACTAACTTATTTGGGAATTGTGTCATGAAGAGTGACATTTCTATAATTACTGATGGAAGTACTGTTGTAGATGAAGTTTTGATACTCAGAGGAATATCTGCTCTGAACAAGTTTATGTGAAATGGGGCCACAAATTAAACATACATGTTGGGCACCTCATAGCTGACTATGTGCAAAAGGTTGAGTTGTACATTCCATGACGTGAGGTTTTATAATGCACCGCCACCCATGTACTCACATTTTCAAATAAAGTGTAAGAATACATTTTTTCATTACCCAATGTGATTGTAATTACATTCAGAAACAAATTTGAAAACGTGGATCGGAAAACAAATAGAAATGTTGCACATTATTTTTGGCTGTTCGGAAAAGTAAGATGGGCTTGGGCAGGGACAGATCGCTAGAAAGGATGATGATCGGTGGATGAGGCTAGTGGTGGAATGGCGTTCAATGGAGCGAACAAGCTCGCTTTAAAGACCACGGAGGAGATGGTGCGGCGGGATCGTCATCCGGCAGATGATGATGATCGTGATGACCCATTGGTTATTTTTGGTTTTGTTGCTAGCTGGCAGACAAGGACATGAGCATGTTGGAGGAAAGGATCAAACGCTCTGCCAAGAAGCCCTCAAGTGGCACGAAGCCGACTCCGGCCGTCGCAGCGACCCACAGCAACAACACAACGATAATGAAGGGCCGGGCCGGGCAGGAAGAAGAGGTGCCCTCCAAGCTCAAGTGAGTGGGTTGTTTACCGTCTTCTCTACATCTTGTATCGTTTAAGGGGATGAGATGATTCGAGGTCTGATGTTGTGCATCACAGCTCATTGAGAATGAGGAAGTGATCGCACAATTAATTGACTTGTGAAACACAATTGGGCCCCACTGTGTACATTTTGCTGCTCAAGGTTCGAATGCCTTGCAAAAATTGGTGGCATTCTTTCACTGCTTGTTGTTTAAACCGTGCAAGCCGTTAATCTTGGTCCGTTGTGTTCATATCTCATTCTGGCTCTTTGATACACGTGGCATCTGCACTCTGCTACTGTCTGTTTACGTAGGGTAACGATACATTAGGGGACGTGTATCAAATGTCTGCTTCTCTTCCTTGCGCTTTTCATTGTGGAAAAAGAATAATGTACCGTTCCTACCGCATGTGAGTATCTTGTTCTGCTTCGTCTTGTCCCCAACCATCTCCTTCCTCCTTGCCATTGTTCCTCAAACTTCTCCAACGTCACGTGGCGCAAGATTTCAGGTCTCCTCTGGCGATGTACGATACAGAGCCATGTGAAGGCCAGAGTAAACAGCTTGAATTGGACTCATCAATTTCCCCTTGTTTTGCCTCTGCTAGAAGTATTTTGCTGGAAAAAAAGAGCTCTTTTATCTTGTATCTATGTACCTAGGCGCTGTGTCCTGGGCTCTGACGTGGCTTTAAAGGTTAATAATAATGAGAAAAAAAATACTGAAATCTCTTTCAGGGGCTTCCGCCATAGCACTGATATCACTGCACTGACTTTGTTGGCAGTTACGTCAACGTGCCATCACTCAAGCACCCTAATCGTGCACTTGACAGGAACGTCAGTGCCCCCTTTTGTCACCGCCTAAGCTTCCTAATTTACATCGGACGTCTCCGGACGCACGGCTTGCGTGCGTGCGTACGTACGTACGTACAAGATAAGAGCTGTTCAAAAAAATAAATTAGGGAGCCATCTTTTTTTAATCCGACGCAATACTCGGTGCGATTCTTACACGCCCTTTTCACACGCACTTGTCGTCCTGCACGCGTCCAGCCAAGCGCGAGCAGGCCGCCCGTCGGCCACGCCGGCCGCCCAGCCAACACCGCCCCCGGCCGCCTCCCGCGAGTTCCAGCTCGACCTGGACGACATCGAGGAGGACGACTCGGCTCCACACTGCGAGCTGCCCGTCCTCGTGCAGCACGAACTGGACGACGTCTTGCGGCCCATGAACATACCTGAGCACGCGTGTGTGATCCACCGATCTACAACCCCTCCCGCAATTTCAATTGTATTGCGAGTGTGGTGGTCTTGCGGGTTAGGTCACTCCTGAGCATTTCTATTCCCCGAGCTCTTGTGGTTGTTACATAGTTAACGCTTGAGAGGAGAAACGGTGAACTCGTGAACGAACCCAACAGAGACCACGCTTGCTTTCGGCTTTGTCGTCTTCATGGTGGCGATACTATTGTTATACTTGTTTACCAAGGAAAGCTGCTGAGTCTCGTGACTCATGTTTCTTTCCTTATATCCTTGTGCGCACATATTATCTGTGACCCGATAATGGTTATTTTTCTACGTGGCTTTTTAAAATAATACATTATTTGTAAGTGGAAAATCCTCAACATTTTACATGTAAAAGGGATAAAACAGTAAAAATGAATAGTTTTCGGTAAATACACCAATAAAAATTGCACGTGAAGGTTTGAACTGAATCGGAAAAATGTATCTGCTTCTATCTCACGTGTGCAGGATCCGATCAGTCTCCCCACAGTTTGACGACATCGGCGGGGGCAGTACAGCGTCCACCATCAACTTTGTCATCTCGCAGGTGGCGAGCAATGAGATCGATGCCAGCATACAGGCCCTTGCCCAGGTAACCCAAGGCAACCCCTAGAACCTAATGCTCTAAATTGGATATTGGTTGTGCTGGTTTTGTTTTTAAAGTACCATTTTTTTAGGATCGCTCCATTCCCTTTTAACGGATGTGGGGGGGCGGCGGTGCTGCATGCGCATTCACGCACGTAGATCGACGAGGTCCTGCGGAGCGAGGACAAGGTGGAGGCCATGTCGGGCCATGTTGACCAGTTCCTCATCGCCACCTTCATGCAGCTGAGACTCACCTATGACAGGCACCTGGCCGACGAGTGCACCAACAAGGACGACGTCATCAAACTCTACAGCTGCATCATCAGCAACCTCGCCACAGTAAGATGCACGATTGCACGTGCCGTGAAGCTCTCGTGCAAAGGAATTTGATGCTGACTTAACACCGTTGTCCAACTGGTGAGCGACAGGCCCGTACTGCCCTCGCGACGGCTTGGCAGGCCACTCCAAGGCCACTCACGTGTGCACGTGACGTCGTACGTAATACATCACGTGTGCATGTGACGTACGCTAGTTTCGGTTACGTAAACCCCTGGAAAATATGTAACCCCATTGAACTCTGTATTGGGGTTGAAGGTCGTTGGCTTCAGTTTGGGGTATGCAATTGCGCATGATTGGGCATTCATTTGTTGTTAATAGACTGCACACTTGTGAAAGACTTGCAGCTGTGGACTGGTAAGCTATACGAAATTGTTGTTGTGCAATGAGCTTGCCTGGTTTCCACACTGCCAAATGTTTCTCTTGCACCCTTATCCCTTGCCTCCCTTTTAATAGACCATGCTCTTGTCTAATTTCCGAACATAAAATAACAGTGCCCCTTTTTGTCAATTACAAAGTACTTTAATTAAAAAATTCCCAGGAATCCATGTCGACCCAGAGTCGAGTGTCATCGGCATAGTAATTCTACTGTGATGTACTTGAAGCAAATTGCTTTCTTTTAAACTAGTGTTTATAAACAATGTGTTTTGATACTTTCGGTGGGAGAACGCACGTAATTACGCTCGTGATTGAGTGAGCACAGCTGTTCTGTAGAGCGAGAGTGATGAGTTGCACAATGACGCGGCAGGAGCGTGCATGTGGCGTGCTCCTGTCACGGGCCGAATGGATTCACTCCTTGATGAAAGCCCAGAGGTGCACAGGGGCCATCTGACTCGCTGACAGACTTCTGGCAAAGAGACCACGTGTTTCAACTTTCATAAGCGTGAACTTTGCTCGCTTGGTTAATCAGCACACTGACAAATAATGCTTAATATGGAACAGTTTGTACTTTATATGGAACAGTTTGTACTGCTCTTGCGTATTACAATACTCGTGTTTATTGCTCTGTTGTGCGTACATAAAATTGTAAACAGTCGGCTACTCGTTAATCTATTTTGATAGAATATAAAACAATGGGTTGCATTGGCAGTTGTGCATGAGCACAAAATAAACTCGCCCATGCGTTGAGGATCATTGCCAAAATATTGGTTTGCTTTATATATTTTTATCTATTTATAGTGAAGTGTTCGTTAAACCCTGCACTCGACCATGGCGACGGTGGTTACCTGATTTTTGTCGGGGCCTTGTTGTAGCTCTTCCAGACGGACGGCCTCTCAAAGGAGGCGTCGGTGGGCGTGCTCAAGGACTTGATGCATGGCTTGCTGACGCTGCTGCTGGACACGAGGCTGGAGGACCTCGAAGATGGTCCCCAGGTCATTCGCTCCATCAACATGCTGCTGCTGAAGGTGCTCGATAAGTCCGATCAGACGAGCATCCTCAGCTCGCTGATTCGGCTCCTGCAGGACTGCCTCGCGACTCCGGCCAATAATTCCACAAAGTACTGTGAGCTTGTGATGAAGGTGAGCGCTTGGATCATCAATGTAATTGCATTGCAAGTTTTTTTGTTTGTTTTTGTGGAGGTAGATGTTACCTTGAAGGAAAATGCAACAGAGAACGAGTTTTATCGTGTAGTTGTGTTGTACCTAGGCCAAGGGTCAGAAACCTGCGGCTCCTGAGAGGCATGCGGCTCTTTAAGGACTGCTTGGTGACGTTATTACTGGTAGGAACCACCTGGTTCCACCAGCCCACAGGGGATTATTGTGTCCGTCCGTCGTGCATCCAAAAATGAGAGGGAGGGTGGGGAGGTTGGGGAGGGGCAGGGTGGGGGGCTGGATGAGGGGTGGGGCTGGGTGGGGAGGGGCTGGTCACCCCGTCGTGCCTTTATAAAACTCAACGTTTAACCTACTCATGCCGGCTTGTGCCCGCTCTCACAGTCGGCCATATTTGCGGAATACACCACGCCGCCGTTGACCCTGGCCATTGACTGAGCAACCCAACGTTCCTACCAGCTCCCTCCGCAGGAATGTGTTTATTAAGGACCACCGTGTCGGTATTCACATGCATTGCAGCTCTTGAAATATTGAGTTTTTTTGCCGAATTAAAAATAATGTCTCTTCTTGTTATCCTGGTTGCTGGGTTTCTAGCCTGTTTGACATGATTGTGAAATTTAATTGATGAGGATTTTTTTTTTACGTAATTTGTAGGCGTGCCACTATTGCACTTATGATATGTAGTTTATACAAATGAGGCAGATGTTAGGAAAACATTTGACCTTTTCGATGAGAGCAGCCAATGAATCTCAACAGGCTTTTCACTACATTGTTTGAACCGGTAAGTGGTGAGGGCCAGGCGAGTTGATAACCAGTGAGCGGTGTTGGCTAAGTGTCTTGTGAATGTCCCGTCACTACGTCTTTGTCGACAGGGCCGCCCTCTAGTTTTACGAGTCAAGAGCCATTCGTTCTTTTGTGTTGCTTCTTCCTCTTACACACGGAACATTGCCTTCTTCCCTTCCCCATTGTAATAACGCAGTGCCTGTGGCGTCTGTCACGGCTGCTGCCCAACATCATCCACACCTTGAATTTGGACCGCATCCTGCTGGACTCGCACAACTTCCTCAGGGTGTTCCCGCGCGAGTCGTGGAAGCAGCGCAAGGACGACATGCCTCTGCGCACCATCAAGACGCTGCTGCACACACTGGGCAAGCTCAAGGGACCCAAGGTGCGTGACAAAGACCCATCGCGTCGCGGCGCACTGATCTGTGTTGCGGCGCAAGTTAAATTTTTATGTCTTGAGTGTGTGTGTGCAATGGAGGTAGGGTTTGTTGATCAACGATCGATTTGTCGATGGCTGTTTTCAGAATCTGTTATCGATTCCAATTCGGTGCATCGGCAATTGAATCTAGTTTCATTTCGGGAATGGTGGAACCAATTTTGGGCATGCACAAACGTTCCAACAGCATGGCGTGTTCCAATGTGATTGGTTAGCGGAATGCCATCTCAAGGCACCAGTGGCAGGATTGATGCAGTCCCCGTGTGATACATTTGAACAGACACAATGATGCACACACTCCAGGGCTGTGTTTTAAACAATTTTACACGTGTCGCAAACCTACAATATATATTTTGCAAATGTGATTCTCGAGTTTTCTAAAAGAAAATCTCAACAACCCCTTGTGCATACAGTGGCACAAACATCCTGGGATATTTTCCAGGACGTGGCCATCAATTAATGTCAGGTCGCCTACTCTTGGATTGACTCGGCCTTAAGTGAGCGTTAACATCACCAGTATGGTGCAGTGCCGGCCCGTACACCACACCGTGTGCTGTGGTGGCGTTAATCGTTGCTTGCAAACAGCACTCGCCTGCGTGCGCAAGGCAATTTTCTACCATTCTCTAAAAATGTGCCTCTTCGCAGATCCTGGACCACATAGGGATGATCGAGAATAAGGATGAGTCTGAGCTGGAGAACTTCCTGAAGAGAGTGACCAAGCACACGGACATGGAGATTAGCAAGGCAGATATGGAAAAGGAGAAAGGAGTTGGCAAAAAAGTGAGAAATCAACCGACGCAAGCTTCTGCCCCCCACCACCCACCCAACCCCCACATCCCCAACACACCAATACCAAAACCCGCCATTCGCGACGAAGTGATGGTGACATCACCATGGCACGTGTCAGGCCAGGTGCACTTTGAGACCACGTGAAGTGTCGATGGCTCGCTGACAGGAGGTCTCGGGACAGACCCAGGTGCCATGGGTTGGCTGATTGAGATGACTGGCAGATGCACCAGCTCTACCCCTCACTGTGCCACCCCCCCAAAGACACACACTGTGCAATGCCATGGCATAAGTAGCAACACATTTGTGCCATTTTTTGTTGGGACAAATAATGTCGATTTTTTCATCCACAGGAGGACAAAGTGTCCACGGCGAAGCTCAACGACCTGATGGCAGAAATTTTCAAGAAGATTGGTTCCAAAGAAAACACCAGACAGGTCGGTGTCTCGTGCAATATTTTTCCGGTGGAAGGCTTCTCCGCACAATTTGCGTGGTTCGTACCGACGACCTGTGAGCGTGTTTTCATTGGCTAGCATCGAACCCTGTGTGTTTTCCAATACAGTCGAACCTCGTTATTTCAGTAGTTGATAATTCGTAATTGGGGATCATTTGGCACGGCTGCGCTTTCGGCATCTATACAGTATTAGTAATTCACCATGAGCCGAATTGCCGTACCTAATGGTCCAATTTCGGCGTACACGTGGAGCGATACCGCGCACCAATGACTCGGTCTAGTGGCGGCGTGCTTGGTGTTTGTGCAGACGCGTTGCTTTGGACTTGACATTGTTTATGCACCCTGTGCCAGCCAACCCTCTCAGAAATGTCGTCTACACCTCCATCAAGAACTAATAGAAAGGGACTGAAGTATGAATCCCTGAGTCTGCGAGACAAATCCAAAGTTTGGGATGTAATTGTGTGTCAATGCGAATGGTATGTGAAGAGTTTGACATAAAATCAAGCACCTTTTACGACATCAAGAAAGGTCCGGGAAAAAATCATTTTTGGAGAACAACTTGGGATTTTTTTTTGTATTGGGGCAGAAGGCACTAGAGAAAATACCATTGTACATAATTCAGAATATTGGATAGTTTGTCGAGGCCAGAGTCACCCCATATGTGTACAATTAACAAGGGTGTACTGTAACTACGACAGAGGTATTTGTGGCAACGCACCACATTTCCACCAGTCGGTCACGTTGCAATTTGTGGCGCAACTGTTAGCGTCGTGTGCTGCGATCCTAATTGCATATTTTAAATACAATTCCATTTGGAAAGAAACCAATTCCATCTGCATAAATAGCCCCAGTGTTGCAGGCTTAAGTCGTTATTTTGTTTCATATGTAGATGGTGCTGTGTGTGTGTGTATAGAAATGTTGTGTATTTATCCATAAGAGCCCCCACTGAGTCTCAAGTCTGTATCATGAGAGTCCCGCTTTGTGATGCTTGACTAAGTAAAGGAGAATTTTGAGTGTGGGAGTAAACAGAGTACCCAGAGAAAAACACGTACCTGGCACAGACGAATTCTCAAAGCCGATTTGCTGTAGTGCCATCTCTTGGTGATCTCGCAGCCTAGCGGGGTTTTGGAGTCTCGCAAACTGTGTGTTATCCACCAAGCAATGACTGCAGAACGCTGGATTATAGCTGTGGGCCACTGTGGCCGCGTGTGCGCGTGCGTAGGGCCTGGAAAACTTGTACGAGTTTAAGAAGAGGTACCCCGAGACGGACCTGGAGCCCTTCCTGCGCAAGTCCTCCCAGTTCTTCCAGAACTACGTGGAGAGGGGACTGAGAATCATTGAAATGGAACGGGACGGCAAGGTCAAACTGGCACCCTCGTCTGGGACCTCTTTGGGTAAAGACCAAATGACATCTGGATGTGATCGATACACTTGCCTTAATAATTGTCTTCGTGATGTCATTTAAGTGAATGAAATGTGTTTAAGATGTCATGATCTGTGGCTAATAGGTTCATCATTAATGCACCCCTCAATCTCAAGCGAGTGGATTAAACTGTTCGCCCAAAATAGCTTTTAACCTTTTCCCGTTCCGAGACAACTGAAATTTGCCGGGTGGGAGTCCCGTTCACTGCTGACTCTCGGAACGTGCAACCGGTTCAGCGTAAATTTGGTTTCGAGAGGCGTAGCGCCATTGTTTTTGAAGATATTGCACTCGCTGCAGAGAACCGGAGTGACACGACCGCACTCTGTTCGATCGCTGGCACCAAACTGCCACTCCCGCATGGCCTTGTGGGAGCCTCGGAAACGATCAAGTTATTTTACTTAACTTTTTTTTTCCGGTTCCGATGATGTACGTGTACGATGCCTTACATGTACGTACGTGATAATTATCAGAGCGGAATCGAACACTATAAAGGGTTAATTTACGAGCTGTTTTGCGGCTACGATTCATTACGCTTTGACTCTCGGAAGCGGCTCGGTGACGATGAGCCGCGGCGTGGGGCGCCCCGGCGGTGGTTGTTGTCCTCGTCGCAGCTCCGGGCGGCGGGCTGACGTCATCGTCGGGGCTCGTAGGCTCCACGGGAAACGGAGTGACCCAGTCGCTGCCGACGGCGTCGCTCTCCTCAAGCACGACGAGCATCGGCAGTGACGACGCCGTCGGCTCCGCCGTCTACCTGGAGCGCCTTAAGATCCTGCGGCAGCGGGGCGGCCTTGATAACTCCAAGGTGCAGCCTCGCATACACATCGGGGTTCCTTGGCAAAATAGCCACGTGTGTTTCGCCCGCTTATCCATCGTAATAAGGTGGTTTGAATAAGGTGCCAGTAAGCATGCAATGATTTGTTTTACTTCGTAATGGTGTTCTATTGCATTTAATAATCATTGCATTCTGCAAAACATTCATGCATTTCTATATATATACTACACAACGTATTCTAGTTTACTTAATGTACAGTATATACAGCGTGACTTAATCGAGTGTGTGTGTGTATATACTGCATGTTATTTGCGAATTTTACAAACATTTTTTGCCAGTATAATCGAAGCCTTGAATTTCTTTGTTATCGGTACCCATACCGACACGAACCGCCCCGCTCTATAACGATCGCTGCCGCCGTCGTCGCAAACCTGCCACGTGCCCCCTCCCCCGCCCGCTGCTCCTTCAGGACGTGACCTCCAGCTTGGTTGGCAAGCCGGGCGGGACGGGGTTGACGTCCGTCGGCGGCCTCTTGGGCAGCGCCTCGCTGGCGTCGTCGTCGTCCTCCTCGTGCGAGCCCCTCGGCCCCAAGTTGACGCACCTGCGCGAGGCATGGGACCGGGAGCCCAACGCCGCCGCACTCCCGCCGCCCAGACCCGTCGCCAGCCAGAACCTGGAGGACCTCAAGAAGAGGCTGGAGCAGATCAAAGCGAACAAGAAGTAGCGCAACAGGCTCACCCCCCCCCCCCCTCCTTAACCATCTCGGCAGACTTCCCTTCTTTACTCACCCGGCCCTGCCTTGGGCCTCGAGCAGTAGAAATCCACTCTCTCGGCTCCTTCCAAACAAATGTATTTCTTTTAATTCCATTTTTTAGTTTTGTCATTTCAGAGTGTCATGCAAAAACCACAAGAATAGGATAAAGGACAGGCCAAAATGTTAAAAGTTTTCTGTAGGTACTCTGTTACTCTGAAATAAGTGAGATTTTATTGTAGGACAGCAATGGTGGTTCAGTAAAATTGGTCCGACCCTGGGCCTCATCTCTCTCACTAATCCATTCTTTTCCGGTTGCTGTGTATGTCCTTGTCGACTTTTATTTAGTTCTTCTGCAACTGCACCGTTGGGTTGGTTTGCTACGTTTTTGAAACCGTGATCAAGGCCTCTCCTCCACACCCCCCTCCACATCACCAACCGTCACTCCCATTGGCAGCATACGAGACCCATTGGGGCTCCCGTTCAATCGTGGCACATTATTTGTATATCTAACACGATTAGAGTTGTGTGTAAAGTAGTTTGGTTTCACCAGCTGGCATACAAGCTTGAGTACATGTACTATTTAATAAAGCCGTTCTTAGTTGTCTTTGTAATGCTCTTATTTGTGAATGTGATATGAAGGGAATCCAGATCGATTACACTTTTTGCTAGCCGCTTCTCTTCTTCACGTCTGCTGTGAATTTCTGGGCCTTTCTTTTTTCTCTCTCCATTTTGTAAGATGTAACCATTTCTAAATTGTGTTTTATAGGTGCATGTGTGTTTTTTGTTTGCGTACGGCGTATGATTATTTGTAAATAAAATGTTTAAAAAAACTCCCATTTGGGGAACTGTTGGAAAATGTTGAGCCTCTGTGTGTCATTAAGCTTCATTAGAATGTGTATAGGGGGGGTACCTCTCCCGAATTACTCACATGCGTTAACTTTGTTCATGCATGTCGTTGCGTTTTAATGGTATGGAGAGCTTGTGTTAAAGCCGTAACTTAACTTGAGTTGGCCTGCTTGCAACAGTGTTTAATATGTATCTATCCCTGATGCACAAGTAATTGCTCGAACACCCCCGGTCGGGGTGAGAGTACGAATAAAACAAGTGGCACGTCACTCCTACGTTTGTTCATTGCTCTTGTCGAAACTCTAAAAGCCGCTGTCGAAAAAATGTCGCTGTTGTAAAACTCATCCCGGTTCAAAACACTTTCCAAGACCCGCGCTGCGATATTTTATTCTGGAGAGTAAATGGAGCGCAAGAAAGTCGGCCAACATTATTGATTTGAATATTGAGTTGGCCTTGATTTTGTGCGTCCCGTTGGCTTGCAGGGCGCGGTTGCTTCCCCCCCCCCCCCCCCGGGGTTCTTAGCGCGACTTTCCTGTTGTGGCGGGCAGGACTGCGGTTGTTTACATCGCGTCGCGTCGCTCGGGAAAGGGGAAAGGGTTGCGAGGTCGGCACATCCGCTGCTTCTGAATGGGATACCTGCAGATTCGAGACCTCGCTTGCTGCAGTGGGAAACTTGTGACTCTTGGAAGAAGCAAACAAAACGGGGGTTTATTTGTTGGGGTGTTTTGGTTTAATATGGGCATTGATTAATGCAAGACTTTGAACAATTCCTGCCTGGGGTGACATTCCGTTTGGAGATCGGATGTGGCTCGGCTTATGGCCATGGTGTTTCTGTCTAAAGCGTTTTTGGTCATGATAACTTGTACATCTCTATTCATTGTGGTGATGCCTTGAAAGTTGATTAATTACTCTCTGAATACTTAATGTTATTTAAAGTTGAAAGCCTATTTTTAGGCCTCAACTCATAGCAATCGTGTGGATTCTTTGAGTGAAATCCACTCATGTGCGTTGGTTTTCTCTGTACTCTGGTTACATCCCGTGACATGTAAAACACTAATGGAATTAGCGGAACAGGTCATTGCGGAGTAGCTCAAATAGTTGACTATAAAATAATAAACGGTATTAAGACTTGAGCAAGTCATGCCTGTGCATTTTAGATTTTTTTTATCATTGATATTGATCAACATATAAAATATTTCTTGTCCGAGGTGTGCGTTCAGTCATGGGCAAAATGCTAAAACCAATGTTCACGATTTGAGGCAATTGGACGTTATACGAAAACACCTTTGAGTTTCCCCAACTCCAGTCTTCGCCACCCATCACGCGATCGTGCATTTTCGCGTTTATCAATGGTATTCCCATTCCAAACAAGTCGTTCCACGCTGAACGCGCCTGATGATTGTTAAACAAGTCCCACGTGACATCAGCCATTTACGCTGTCCGCTTTCATAGAGCCGATTCAGATACCAGTGTGTGCACGTGCTTCACGTGACGCATACAACGTTAAATGCTGAGCGCGTCAATGTGGGCGAACGCGTGGAACGAGTTCATGTGATGGGAGTTAATTGACCTTTTGCAACCTCGCCGGGCAGAATTTTCAACTTTATCCTGGAGAAATCCGATGCGCAATGAAGCTTTTTTTCACAGCTTGGCCCAGTAGGAAGGGGGTCACTAAGTTACAAACTTTATTTTCTTTTCAGGCCGTGTTTGCCGGTGCACCCCCGAAGTCCGCCTTTCGGGAGCGGCTCTTCTTTGAACAAACCTCGTGTCGTCGATGTGACGGCAGATGTTTCAACAAAAAAACATTTGCTCAGTGTTAATTTGTGAAAGTAGACGCAAAGCCCTTTGGCAGCGAGCCAGCTTGCTCTCCTTCATTCATCGTTGCTTAGCAATTACATATTAATTGTACCGTGCAAAGCCCCTCTTCCCCCCTCCACTCCCACTCCACGTCGCGTTACAAATCCCCGCAATCTCAACACTGTGTATTGTGCGAATGTTTGCATTTGTTTATTGCGACGTTAACCTCCAAGCGATTCCTGCGCGATAGTTCGTTTCAACAGTTGCCCCCCCCCCCCCTTCTCGCTCTTCAAACAAACCCCGCATTACTTTAAACCCCGCGCAATAGTTGCTTTTACAAGGATCTGTGTGTGTATTGTGGAGTGTAAGAATGTGGAAGGGCAGTGATAGAGGGGAGGGGGGGTCATTGCGACACGCGTTTTTCACAATACGCATAATCGCAGTGCCTTCTTGGCGCCTGCTTCTGAATACCAACCACAAATAACCAACATCATTACGCGGTGCTTAATTTCAGCCGTCAAAGTCCGGGAATTATTTCGGCACATCGCAATCTCACCGTTTGTGTCCGCGTGTTTCTATGAACCTGTTCATAGGGCACAGTAATATAGGATCATTGCGGATAGCTGTGCCTTGTTTACTCTAGTGGTAGTGCCTTACGCCGATAATCCCCACTCCAAAAGTCAGTATCGCAGAGTTCCATTATAAAAAAATATCGAGTGAGAAATTACGCAAAGCCGCTCCTGAAGCTACAGCTCGGCGTGAAGTTGTGGCCGGGTTGCTACTGCTGCTGCTGTTGTTGCTGCTGTTGCTGCTGCTGTTGTTGCTGCTGTTGTTGCATCGCGGTTGGCTCCCCGTGCTGTACGCGTTGCGTGCCCTGGTTTCGCCTTCACGCCCCAGTGCACCCGGGCTAACACCGAGTAAGTAGCAGTAGGAGGAGGAGAGAGGCGGGGTTTTTTTTTTGCACCGCAGCCAGGCCGCGTTCGTACAAGCAACGCAAGCAAAACTGTACGCTTCCAGGGGGAGCTTGCGTAGCCGGGAGGGAGAGACCAGAGAGTTGAGAGCAACGTTGCCCATAGAACAGAGTTGACCGGAGTAGAGAGCCAAACCAATGTGTAGCACAGAAGCCGGCGTGCATTTGCCCAGTGTTGGTGTTCGACAAGAGAGCACAGCGGAGAGGTAGCTCAGAATGTAGACTGCATGCATTCCTGAAGCGGCAGATTTCCCAGTAGAAGAGAGTCAACGCGGTTTATTGCTCGTGCGACAGAGAACGGGGTTCGGCAGAGTGCGACCTGGAAGGTAAACGCGGCAGTGGAGCACAGCAGACAGCAGTCCAGAGACAAACGCCCGCGGGATGCAGTTGAACGGGGGACGGCGGTAATGGTGGTGGTGGTGGTCGATTGTTGGATTCTGAATGCGGCTCAAACCGGCCCCGCGAGTGCTCCAAGGTGCGCTCGTCATTCCGATGTAGCCGTGGATAAGACCGGTTGGGTTCGGATCTCGCCGCCGCCACCACCGCCTCCCAGCGTCAACGCGGCGGAACGCATCGATTTCTGGACGCCCAAGGGGAGGCGTGGTCGGTGCTTTTGGTCGTAGTTGTTGCAGTTCTAGTCGTGCTGCTCTGCTGCTGCTGGTGGTGGTGGTTGGCTGCTGGTGGATCGTGCGCGATTTACAACCTCATCACACCTCCCCCCCCACTCTTCTCGAGACAAAGGTCAAAGTGCGTTTGTCTTCGTCGGAGGCTCTCGACTTCGCCGCGCAACTCCTGCCCCGCTCGGTGCCACCTGCCGCGGGGCCGACACGAGGAGGAGGACTTCAACGCCACGCGCTCGAGGGAGCGGGGGGGGGGGGTTGAGCATTCGTCAGCGAGACGTGCAGGGAGTCGGTCAAAGCGACCCCCCGGGGGGGGGACGTTGGATGCGAGCGACTGTTGAGACCGTGCAGCCGGGGAGACTGGAGATTGACTCAGAGGACTCACGCCGCACATACTTTGTGGAGGTGGTGGGGGGGGGGGTACAGCAGGGGGGTTCATTCGGACCTACAAGAAAGAGGAGGTCTGTAAGAGGAGAGTGGACTCAAGCTAAGATTCACGGAGAGAGAGCGCGAGGTGTGTGAGAGTTGGGGGTTCACTCTGACCCCACCACTCCGCCTCGAGAAGGGGGTTTAAGAGATCGGGTTCAGTCAGAGACCCCCCCCACCTGCTCCCTTAGATTGGGGAGGTTGTGATAGTTGGGGAGGGCTCTGGATCGGGTCTGCTCCTGCACGGCATCACCACCACCAACATCACCACCAACATCACCACCACCAACATCACCACCACCAACATCACCACCACCAACATCACCACCACCATCGTCGTCATGGGCTCCATGCGGAGACCCAAATACCGCAGCTCGCCCAACCTGCAGGGCGAGGTGTTCCGCTACGACCTGGCGCCGTGCCTCCAGGAGGAGCGCGCCTCCCTCTCGGGGCATCCGCAGCCGGGATCGGAGATCACCTGGGACAGGTGAGAGAGGGGGGGAGAGGGGGGGGGACAGGTGAGAAGGGGGGGCAGGTGGGAGGGAGGGGACAGGTGAGAGGGAGGGGCAGGTGAGAGAGGGGGGGCAGGTGAGAGAGAGGGGGGACGTGAGAGGGGGGGCAGGTGAGAGAGGGGAGGACAGGTGAGGGGGGGCAGGTGAGAGAGGGGGGGAGCAGGTAAGAGCGGAGACAGGTGAGAGAGGGGGGGCGTGAGAGAGAGGGGGGCAGGTGAGAGAGGGGGGGCAGGTGAGAGAGGGGGGGCAGGTGAGAGGGGGGGCAGGTGAGAGAGAGGGGGGGCAGGTGAGGGAGAGGGGGGGCAGGTGAGAGAGGGGGGCAGGTGAGAGGGGGCAGGTGAGAGGAGGGGGGGCAGGTGAGAGAGGGGGGGGCAGGTGAGAGAGGGGGGGCAGGTGAGAGAGGGGGGGCAGGTGAGAGAGGGGGGGCAGGTGAGAGGGGGGGCAGGTGAGGGAGAGGGGGGGCAGGTGAGAGAGGGGGGGCAGGTGAGAGGGGGGCAGGTGAGAGGGGGGCAGGTGAGAGAGGGGGGGGGCAGGTGAGAGAGGGGGGGGCAGGTGAGAGGGGGGGGGGGCGCGTGCGGTCAGCTCTCAACCGTGCGTGGTTTCGTACGGAGCGAGCCTCCTCCTCCCCCACCTCGCATCGTGTTTGTTGTGGGGAGCTGAGGACGTGGGTTTGGTGGCGGGGGTTGACGTTTAATCAATTGGCCATACTTCACCAGGCAATTTGGTCAGTGCGGTGGTGCGGGCAGTGGGGGGGTGAGCGAATCGCCCTCAAGGAGCCCGAGGCGGCATGTGTCTGCCGCTCGCCTCCCGTGATGGGGCACAGCGAAGTAGGGCAGCGTCCTTCACTCGCCTTCAGAGCACGGCGGTGGGGGCGGCACTTTCACCGATAAGACATCGTCGGCGTGAGGGGCCGACACGCGTTGTAAACCATTGTTGGGGGGGGGCGGGGGTGGGTGACTGCAGCACTGTGATGATGATGGGGGGGAGGGGGTGACCACGCGCGGCTTTGCAATAGACATCACTAGGGGTAGAGGTAACGGCAGTGTGCAGATCGCAGGCGGGGGGGGGAGGACTTCGGTCATAGAGGAGGAGAGGGCAGGGGAAGGCTGTGGACGTCTCCCTGGTTCGGTGGGGGGAAGGGGGTTAGAGGTCGCGAGGGCAGCACGAGAGAATGAGCAAACCCCACCCCCGCTGGGGTCGAAGGTTGCCTGGGGGACTCCGGGGTCGAAGGTCGCCTGGAGGTGCTCCGGGGTCAAAGCTTTGGCGACTTGGTGCGGGGATGAGGGTAGAGTGGGGGGAGAGGTAGGAGAGTGTGTAGAGGGAAGGGTAGGGGAGTGAGTAGGGTGGGGAGAGGTAGGGGAGTGTGTAGAGTAGGGAGAGGTAGGGGAGTGTGTAGAGTGGGGAGAGGTAGGGAAGTAAGGAGAGGTGGGAGAGTGTGTAGAGGAGGGAGAGGCAGGGGAGTGTGTAGAGGATGGTGTAGAGTAGGGAGAGGTAGGAGAGTGAGTAGCGTAGGGAGAGGTAGGAGAGTGAGTGGAGAGGAGTAGAGTGAGATGAGAGGGAAGAGATAGGCAGGGGAGGGAGGATATTGGAGACAGTGAGGGGTGACGATGACATTGATCCTGGATTGGATTGGGAGCCAGAGTGGAGAGGTCTCTGAGTCTGGGGATTGACGTGGTCACATTTTACGTGGCGTGGGTGACAGTGGCATTTTGTATCGCCTGGAGTTTTGGAGGCGAGGGTTGTGCGGAGATGAGAAATGCTGTGGAGGCCGTAGCGAGTTGATGCTGGTGGACACGGCGGCCCTACTCGCCGTCGACACATCCTTGATGCGGGCAGATGTTGCTCGGACGGGACGTGGAAAGTATCGCACCACCGAGCTCAGGAGGGTCCGAGAGGCGTGGTGGGAAGGGATCGCTGACAACTCCGTGGCTCCGCACTGGCCAGGGACCGAGTCCGAGTTCAGGACGGCGCAACGAATTCGGCGAGAGCGCAGCGAGAATTTGAGAGCAACGTGGAAGATGTGAAGCCCGAGCAGGTGCAGCGCTGGCAGGCGTCACCCGCGGGGCTGTTGCGATAAGCGATTGTCGTCGAAATTGAGTGACGCTCTCTCCCAGAGCACGCGGGAGCGAGAAGTCGCTGCAGATGTTTGCTCCTGGCTGTGATTCTGAACGCCCATCGTGTCGCATCGTCATCAGAACTCTCCCAAAACTGCGCATACGTAACGGCGTAGGAACACGCCGCGTAGGTTCGCGTGGCTACAAGATTTATTAAGAGCTCGTCTCGTCTTCCCGAACGCAAGGGGTTGGTCGCACCATGCATGGGCAATCCTTCACCACTGACTTCTGTCTTCTGCCGTCCTCGCTGTCTGTTCCAGCGTGAGCCTCGTCCATGCGCTGATGTCATCCATCCATTGTCATCCATCCATTGTCATCCATCCATTGGCATCCTTCGTCTTCCTCGCGCACGTGAACCGGCCACTGTGCCTCGCATAATCTGCTGTTCCAAACAAGTTCCATTGTTTTCTTTCTCATGACATAACCACAGTAGGCTAGCTTACTTGATTCTATCACCGCTAAAGACAACAGCTGATTTATTTTGTTTTCCCCTGTTGAGCCTGCTTCGTGGAGCACTTCAGGTTGATTAGGGCTCCGAACCCAAGTGTCAGTTGATGCTTACAAGGTGGATTAATCGATGAATGGAACATGGAGGCGGTGAGCGATGAATACTGATTATGCTGCACCTCTGATGGGCTCCAATAGACCAGTTCTACGTGAGCTCTGAGCGCCCAACAGCTGGAGAGAATGCTCACGATAAAGCCACCGCTTCGGTCACGTTCCACTCTCTTAGCGTTCTACCGTGAGCCTGGAGTGCACGGGGCAGGAGATGTTGTAGCCGACCCTGCTGGCGATCATGTGAAGCCGGTGGAGGGAGGTGAGGCAGCTGTCGGAATCTCGCAGAGGATGACCGGCGCGGGCGAGATGGTTGAACGTGTGTCTCACCACGCTGTACTCACCATGCATTGTGTCTCACCACGCTGTACTCACCATGCATTGTGTCCTACCACGCTATACTCACCATGCATTGTGTCTCACCACGCTGTACTCACCATGCATTGTGTCTCACCACGCTGTACTCACCATGCATTGTGTCCCACCACGCTGTACTCACCATGCATTGTGTCCTACCACGCTGTACTCACCATGCATTGTGTCTCACCACGCTGTACTCACCATGCATTGTGTCCTACCACGCTGTACTCACCATGCATTGTGTCTCACCACGCTGTACTCACCATGCATTGTGTCTCACCACGCTGTACTCACCATGCATTGTGTCCTACCACGCTGTACTCACCATGCATTGTGTCCTACCACGCTGTACTCACCATGTATTGTGTCCCACCACGCTGTACTCACCATGCATTGTGTCTCACCACGCTGTACTCACCATGCATTGTGTCCCACCACGCTGTACTCACCATGCATTGTGTCCCACCACGCTGTACTCACCATGTATTGTGTCCCACCACGCTGTACTCACCATGCATTGTGTCCCACCACGCTGTACTCACCATGCATTGTGTCCCACCACGCTGTACTCACCATGCATTGTGTCCCACCACGCTGTACTCACCATGCATTGTGTCCCACCACGCTGTACTCACCATGTATTGTGTCCCACCACGCTGTACTCACCATGCATTGTGTCCCACCACGCTGTACTCACCATGCATTGTGTCCCACCACGCTGTACTCACCATGCATTGTGTCCCACCACGCTGTACTCACCATGCATTGTGTCCCACCACGCTGTACTCACCATGCATTGTGTCCCACCACGCTGTACTCACCATGCATTGTGTCCCACCACGCTGTACTCACCATGCATTGTGTCCCACCACGCTGTACTCACCATGCATTGTGTCCCACCACGCTGTACTCACCATGCATTGTGTCCCACCACGCTGTACTCACCATGCATTGTGTCCCACCACGCTGTACTCACCATGCATTGTGTCCCACCACGCTGTACTCACCATGCATTGTGTCCCACCACGCTGTACTCACCATGCATTGTGTCCCACCACGCTGTACTCACCATGCATTGTGTCCCACCACGCTGTACTCACCATGCATTGTGTCCCACCACGCTGTACTCACCATGCATTGTGTCCCACCACGCTGTACTCACCATGCATTGTGTCCCACCACGCTGTACTCACCATGCATTGTCTCACCACGCTGTACTCACCATGCATTGTGTCCCACCACGCTGTACTCACCATGCATTGTGTCCCACCACGCTGTACTCACCATGCATTGTGTCTCACCACGCTGTACTCAACATGCATTGTCTCACCACGCTGTACTCACCATGCATTGTCTCACCACGCTGTACTCACCATGCATTGTGTCCCACCACGCTGTACTCACCATGCATTGTGTCCCACCACGCTGTACTCACCATGCATTGTGTCCCACCACGCTGTACTCACCATGCATTGTGTGCCACCACGCTGTACTCACCATGCATTGTGTCCCACCACGCTGTACTCACCATGCATTGTGTGCCACCACGCTGTACTTACCATGCATTGTGTCCCACAACGCTGTACTCACCATGCATTGTGTCCCACCACGCTGTACTCACCATGCATTGTGTCCCACCACGCTGTACTCACCATGCATTGTGTGCCACCACGCTGTACTCACCATGCATTATGTCTCACCACGCTGTACTCACCATGCATTGTGTCCCACCACGCTGTACTCACCATGCATTGTGTCCCACCACGCTGTACTCACCATGCATTGTGTGCCACCACGCTGTACTCACCATGTATTGTGTCCCACCACGCTGTACCCACCATGCATTGTGTCCCACCACGCTGTACTCACCATGCATTGTGTCCCACCACGCTGTACTCACCATGCATTGTGTCCCACCACGCTGTACTCACCATGCATTGTGTCCCACCACGCTGTACCCACCATGCATTGTGTCCCACAACGCTGTACTCACCATGCATTGTGTCCCACCACGCTGTACCCACCATGCATTGTGTCCCACCACGCTGTACTCACCATGCATTGTGTCCCACCACGCTGTACTCACCATGCATTGTGTCCCACCACGCTGTACCCACCATGCATTGTGTCCCACCACGCTGTACCCACCATGCATTGTGTCCCACCACGCTGTACTCACCATGCATTGTGTCCCACCACGCTGCACTCACCATGCATTGTGTCTCACCACGCTGTACTCACCATGCATTGTGTCCCACCACGCTGTACCCACCATGCATTGTCTCACCACGCTGTACTCACCATGCATTGTGTCCCACCACGCTGTACTCACCATGCATTGTGTCCCACCACGCTGTACTCACCATGCATTATGTCTCACCACGCTGTACTCACCATGCATTGTGTCTCACCACGCTGTACTCACCATGCATTGTGTCTCACCACGCTGTACTCACCATGCATTGTGTCTCACCACGCTGTACTCACCATGCATTGTGTCTCACCACGCTGCACTCACCATGCATTGTGTCTCACCACGCTGTACTCACCATGCATTGTGTCTCACCACGCTGTACTCACCATGCATTGTGTCCCACCACGCGTTACTCACCATGCATTGTGTCCCACCACGCTGTACTCACCATGCATTGTGTCCCACCACGCTGTACTCACCATGCATTGTGCACCCCACGCTGTACCCACCGCGCGTGGGCACCCAATGCAAATCTAATCCTTGGCCACATTCCCATACAGCGTTCCGATGCGCTGCGAGGGGGAAGGCTTGAGATAGCAGTGTGTAGTGAAGGGGGCACGTTCCGTTCCAGAGCCTGTTTGTTCACCATGATGATGTTGTAATTGTTGGGATATTGTTATAAAGTTGAATCGTGAACTCATTACAACTGAAGTGTATGTATAAGCGTATTTCCAAAACACTTTTTTTATTATTATTATAGTTTTAATTGGAATAAGTGTGCAATGAAATTAGTTTTTACGTGGTTGCAAATCGATATTGAAATGTGTACACCCTTTGATTCCAAAGAACACAGGATGAGATGTTATTATCCTTTGTGCAAGCACTTCCAAGAGTTCATGAACAGTGAGCCTGGTGAAATTTGGGGAGCGCATCGTCAGTAGTGAACTTTTGGGTCCTAGGGTGTTTCGGCCTTTCATACTATACACCCTCCCCAAAGGCGGCCAGCGACAGGGTGATCAATCCTACGCTTGCGTCCCATTCCCAATTAGTCATAGGAGTTGCCTTGTTGTTGGTAGCCAACATCCCATGGGACTATGCATGGCAGGGGCGTCCTCCTCCCTGAGTCAAGCATTGTTGACTGCATACCTCCTGGCCCTCTCACTTTGGGGCCCAGCTGGGGTCTTTCCTCTTCATCCAGAGCCACTGACTGCTGCCTTCTGCCGCCTCTGATACAGCTTTGATTGCCGAACGCTGGCTCTGGCCCTTAATTCCCAGGTCTCTAAGCAGTCTGGTTGTAGATGTTGCCACAAAACCTCTGCAGCCCACCTCCACTAGTCGGACTTCTGTGTTCCAGCCATGATGCCGTGCTTCGGCAGCTAGATCGGCATAGCGCAGATGTTTTCGCTCATAAGCCTCATCTACTGAGTCCTCCCAGGGTACTGTGAGCTCAATGATGAAGACCTTCTTGAGCGAACGGGACCAGAGCACCATGTCAGGTCTTAGGGTGGTGGTTGCGATCTCCGGAGGAAACACAAGTTGCCGGCCAATGTCAGCTAGCATTTTCCAGTCGCGGGCCAAGCGCAGCTGGTCTCGCTCTATTGGTGTAGAGCCGCTCTTCGGTGGTTTAGCCCCTTCGCGGACAAAGGTCGTCCGTAAGGGGTGTGATGCTGCTGGGGGTGGTAGGGAGTTGGTGGCAGCTCGCTTGTCCTCCAGGGCGGACGCAAGGTTTTTAAGGACTTGGTTGTGACGCCAAGTGTAGCGTCCTTGGGTGAGGCTTGTTTTACACCCTGTAAGAATGTGCCTGAGGTTGGCTGGCATGGAACAGAGGGCACAGTCCGGATCTTCACCATACCATTGGTGAAGATTAACTGGTGTTGGAAGGATGTCATATGTTGCTCTGATGGAAAAGCTCAACCGCCTCGCTTCCATGGCCCACAGATCCTTCCAGCTGATCTTTGGAACACACACGTGTGTTACTCGTGAGCAGAATAAAAATGCCCATTTACATTTAAGTAACTGCCTATTTCGTGAATTGGCTTTAAGTGAATATAAGCTACGTGTGACAGATTCCACACAATCACGGACCCATTACAATCCAGACGCTGATGATGTAAAAACGAGGCCCATATCACAGCTCAGGATGTTAGTAGTGGCAGCTATGCACAGAAAAACGATTCGCTCCGTAAAATTCCGCAAAATATTCTCAACTTACGCGAATAATAAGCACAGTTACCGAATCTGATGGTGAATAAAGCCACAATTACGTTTTCCCACGTCTTCACGGGGACCTCGCTGTGATTTGATTCACAACTAAGTTGACCACATCTCGTGCATATGCTATTTATAGTGTACAGTGTGTGTGTGTGTGTGCCCCCCACTGTGCCAGTAAGTTGGCACAGTGGGGGGCACAGGTGGTGCATCAGCCAGTCGACTCAGTCATTCGACCCGTGGCACCTGGGTCAGCCCCGTTACCTCCTGCCAGCGGGCGTTCGACACTTCACGTGGCCTCAAGGTGCACATAGCCTGGCACAAGCGTCGTGGTGACGTCACCGCCACTTCGTGGCGAATGGCGGTTGTTGTTGTTGTGTGCCAGTGCGGCCTTCATAGGTGCTCGCTAACAGCACTTGCCCCTACAGTCTGTTAAGGCTATACGGGGGATCCTTATCTTTGTGTGCCAGTGTGCGTGTGTGTGCCAGTGCTGGGTCAATCGTGTGAAAAGAGTCCTGCTTAGGAAGACGGTCTTGATGTACATGGGCAGACAAGCACACACACACAATACAAAGATCCCCCGTATAGCCTTAACGGACTTTTGGGGCAAGTGCTGTTAGCAAGTAGCACCTATGAAAGCCTGCACGGCACACGAGAGGGTAGGTGGACTAGCACCACACCAGACCGCCTTTGTCTCAACGGTGTTGATGTTTACACATCGCATGAGGTATTCATTTTAGGTTGAGTCGACCTAGGGGAGACCCAGGACCGGTTAGATAATCATCAGTGGCGTTGGCCACGAGTGGGAATCGAACCCGGGTCGCCGGGTTCATAGCGCGGCGCGCTAACCATGACACTTGCTCCCCCCCCACAACAAGACAAAGACGCACACACACTCAGTGCCACACCAAATTCTGCAGTGGACATAATCCCCACACTGACTTGCGCTGGGTTCACGTGTGTGTGCGTGCGTGTCACAGTGTGTGTGTGTGTGTCACAGTGTGTGTGTGTGTGTGCGTGCGTGTCACAGTGTGTGTGTGCGTGTCACAGTGTGTGTGTGTGTGCGCGTGCGTGTCACAGTGTGTGTGTGTGTGTATGCGTGCGTGTCACAGTGTGTGTGTGTGTATGCGTGCGTGTCACAGTGTGTGTGTGTGTATGCGTGCGTGTCACAGTGTGTGTGTGTATGCGTGCGTGTCACAGTGTGTGTGTGTATGCGTGCGTGTCACAGTGTGTGTGTGTGTGTATGCGTGCGTGTCACAGTGTGTGTGTGTATGCGTGCGTGTCACAGTGTGTGTGTGTGTATGCGTGCGTGTCACAGTGTGTGTGTATGCGTGCGTGTCACAGTGTGTGTGTGCGTGCGTGTCACAGTGTGTGTGTGCGTGCGTGTCACAGTGTGTGTGTGCGTGCGTGTCACAGTGTGTGTGTGCGTGCGTGTCACAGTGTGTGTGTGTGCGTGTCACAGTGTGTGTGTGCGTGCGTGTCACAGTGTGTGTGTGCGTGCGTGTCACAGTGTGTGTGTGCGTGCGTGTCACAGTGTGTGTGTGCGTGCGTGTCACAGTGTGTGTGTGCGTGCGTGTCACAGTGTGCGTGTGTGAGGAGCGGGAGTGTTGCGGTTAGCGCGCTGCGCTGCGAACGCGGTGACCCGGGTTCGATTCCCGCTCACGGCCAACACCAGTGACGATTATCTGAACCGGTCGTGGATCTCCCCTAGGTCGACTCAGCCTCAAATGAGTACCTGGTGCGATGTATAAACATCGCCACTAGGGAGGCAAAGGCGGCCGAGCGTGGTGTTGGCCACCCACCCCCTCGTGTGCCGTGCCGGCCTTCATAGGTGCTCGCTAACAGCACTTGCCCCTACAGTCTGATAAGGCTATATGGGGGATCTTTGTCTTGTGTGAGGAGCGGGAGTGTAGTGGTTAGCGCGCTGCGCTGCGAACGCGGTGACCCGGGTTTCATTCCTGCTCATAGCCAACATCGGTGACGATGATCTGAACCGGTCTTGGGCCTCCCCTAGGTCGATTGAGCATCAAATGAGTGCCTGGTGCGGCGTGTAAACATCGCCACTAGGGAGACAAAGGCGGCCGGGCGTTGTGCTGACCTCTCACCCCCTCGTGTGTCGTGCCGGCCTTCGTAGGTGCTCGCTAACAGCACTTGCCCAACCTGTCTGTTAAGGCTACATGGGGGATCTTTGTCTTTGTCTGTGTGCGTGTGTCACAGTGTACAGGAGCGAGTCGTGGCCGTGTTTTCCCGCAAGGGCCTGAAGGACAACGAGCTGTTCGTGTTGACGGAGAAAGTCCGGTGAGTGGCGAGGCCGGTGGCCACGCGGCTCAAGTGGCTCACCACCACAACTCCTCACCACAACTCCTCACCACAACTCCTCACCACAACTCACCACCACAACTCCTCACCACAACTCCTCACCACAACTCCTCACCACAACCCTTCGCCACCACACGCACGGGCCTTCACTCGGATGGAGGGGCAGGCGGACGGGCGCTCGAAGCGTTGGCGAGATGTTAATTCCCTCGCCTGGTACGCAGGAGGTCGTGGGTTCGATCCCGACCCTGATGCCTGTTATAAATTTGGAGTTTGCGATGTCTCTCTCTCCCCATGGTCATGTGGATTTTTCTCCGGGTCCTCCGCTTTTCCCTCCATTATTTAGAAACGCGCGTTTAGATTATTTGGCTGCTATAATTTTTCCACTTGATGATAAGCCACTTCGTTGAGCTATCATGTTGTGGCCAGGTTGCTTCTGAAAAAAGAGCTACCCCCCCTTGGGATGAGGAATACGGATGACGTTGAGGACGGTGATGAGGACGATGGTGACGACGATGATGATGACGAAGAATGTGATGAGGATGATGGTGACGACGATGATGATGATGACGATGATACGGATCAGACTGGAGTCGGAGACGATTGACAGTTTCGAGAGTCAAGAGCTACCGATTGTCTGCGGCCCCCTACAGGTTCCCTCGCTCGGTGCGGCAGCGTAGTAGATGCTTTCCCAAAAAATAGGGCGCACAAAGAGAAACAGCTGCCTGCCGAGTAGCGCACACAGTACACACACAGTACACGCACACACAGCACACATACACAGTACTCGCACTACACAGTACGTTCAGTACTCACACACAGCACGCACACACAGTGCACACAGAGTGTTGTCCAACCTCCGACTGCATAGCCGCTTGTAGATTGAATTCAAAGCGGCGAGGGATACCTGCCCGAACGTTCATCAAGTTGCCCAACTCTTTGCACCTTGAGCACCGCCGGCCGTGCCACGTGCGCGGGCATCGTGCAGGCGCGAGAGTCGATTCGTTCCGATAGATGCAAATTCTAATCAAACCGTGGAAGTTATTTTTGGGATCCCCTGGGCAAAGTCCGTTGAGCTCGCCAGCTCTCTTTCAAGGGCGAACCCTCCTCCCCAGTGGGGCGGTGGGGGATGGTGGAGGGGAGCGGTGGCGCAGCGGTTAGCGCTACGCTGCGCTACGAACCCGGCAAACAAGGGTTCGATTCCCGCTCACGGCAAACACCGGTGACGATTAATTATTTGAACTGGTCCTGGGCCTCCCCTAGGTCGACTCGGCCTCAAATGAGTACCTGGTGCGGTGCATAGTAAACATCGCCACTGGGGAGACAAAGGCGGTCTGGCGTGGTGCTGGCCACCCACCCCCTCGTGTGCCGTGCCGGCCTTCATAGGTGCTACTCGCTAACAGCACTTACCCCAACAGTCTGTTCAGGCTATAAGGGGGATCTTTGTCTTTTTCTGGTGGGGGGTGGTGAGGAGTGGTGGGGGGCGGGTGGTGGTGATGGTGATGGGTACAGATATGGCGCCACACAACATTTCAATTATTCAACAAAGCAGCATCGCACCAAGCCAGGCGTCGTGAGAGAACGCTCACAAGACGTGTGAACGCATTGCCCGCAGGTCACGCGGCGAGTGCATCGTGAGGTCGGCAGGGATGGACGAGACGAAGCGAAACCAGGAAGTGCTGAACGAGACGCGGAGCATTCCGCGGTCGAAGTTTAAAATATGGGGAATGAGGCTCAAAAAGTTTGCAAGAATTGTTTTTTTCCCATGAGAATAATGTTAAAAAACGAATCCATTGCGAATGGAATCGTGGGAGGGCGGCCGTGGGTGAATCATTGCACGCCTACATTGTGTGTGACCAGCTTGCGTATTAACTCATCACCGCCGTCACTTTTGGTTTACCCATTACCCTGCGTATCCCCTCCCTCACCCACATTCTGACCCCCCGCCTTCCCCCCGTCCAAACCCAAACCCTTGTCCCCTGCAGGCATTTATTGAAGTCTCACGTGGGCCCGCTCATTCTGGACTATTTTAAGGTGCACCTGCATGCACGTACACCCACGCGCGCGCGTGTGTCTGCGTTTGTGTGTCTGCGCGCGTGTGTCTGCGTGCGTGTGTGTCTGCCTGCGTGTGTGTCTGCGTGCGTTTGTGTGTCTGCGCGCGTTTGTGTGTCTGTGTGCGTGTGTGTGCGTGCGTGCGTGTGTCTGTGTTTGTGTACGTTTTGTTACGGCGAGTGTGGCTGCCTTGCAAAGAGACACTCTCGGCCGACTCTCGCGTCTCGGTGAACCCTCGCTCCGTGAGAGTTGTGACACTTGCTGTGAAGGAAAACCTCCCTTGCTGTTGGAACGATACAGAATGTTTCGATAGTCATTCATGGGAATGTCTTTCCTTCCTCGTCCTCTTCTTCCTTCTTCTTCCTCCTTCTTAAATCTTGACCTAAAGCTTTCGTGACTGCAGGAATTCATAATTGTTGGGTCTTTCGGTAAAGCCACGTAGATATTTTCTTTGAACCTATCGACGCGATTTTTACCGAAAGTCAGAGCAGCGGCCCCCAGACTGCCAGCAGTGGTCTGCGACGCTCCCCCAGGTGGTCCGTAGTGGCTGTGACCCCAACGCAGGTTGATCCGGACAATAACGACGACGTCTCTGCCTTTTGTTTCGGACATTTATTAATATTTGACTCATCTTATTTAATAATAAAAAATGGAGTTAGGTAAACTAACCGGATTAAACTTAGCCTGACCCTAAGATCTGAATGTCCCTCCCCCTCCCCGCCCAAATCAAAACCTTATATCTGGGTAATTTCATACTTTGTATATTCCAGTAACATTAATAATTTTGCATGACAATTATTTAGAGAGATGAGTGAATGCGTTTAGTCACCAGGGGTAAGGGGGGCGGCGCTGTGTGGCCCGTGTGAATGTGAGCAGTCCGTGGGCCAAAATAGTTTGAGGAGCACTGCTCTAGAACAACAGCTGTAACTTGACACTGACGTGGCCGAGCAGAATAACTGCTTCGGGAGTAGCCGGAGCGACGAACATCTGCCAAGCGACAGAAGCAAACGCCTCCGACGCGACGGTGCCGGCGCTCGCACGAGCCCGAGACCATTTCGGGGTTTGTCGCTCGGCTTGTGAGATAACCGTGCGGCCCTGTAATCCACCGGGCACCACCGCGATTTTCATCGGACGGTGCCGGAGCGCACGCGAGCCCGACAGACGTCGGTGAATCGTTGCGCAGTGTCGGGGACCCTACGCTGCCTCCGTTGCCGTTGCAGCTCAACTCCTGGCCCTCTTGCATTTCCATTCGGTTTGGCCCCCTTTTGGGAGGGCGGCCTGCGGCGGTCAGCATTTTGCAAACGATTCAATTGTACGGGGACACGGTTTGCTAAATGGCTGCTTGACACTGATGAATTCCTTTTGGCCTGCAACGGAATGCTGGCCCTGGTTCCACGGGTTGGCACACGGCTATGTGCGCGTGTGTGTGTGCGTGTGTGCGTGCGTACGCGCGGATGGAGACAACGCTGAGAAGCGGCCCAAATGCCCGTGACCTTGCCATGAATGAATATCTGAAGCGTCGTGTCACTTCAGTTACAGGGGATATTGAGCGTCCCAGGGTAACGCGCGAATTTCAACGCACGGCGTCTGTGATAGTTCCCGTCGTGTGACAGCATCACCAACGTGGAGACCCCCCCCCCCCGTCCTCCTCCCCCTCCTCCCCCCAAGTCAAATGTTGACCGTGTTTTAGTGTCAATGTTGACCTTGGGCAGTTCAGCTTTAATTGCTGTAAAAAAAATTGTTAACCTGACACCATCTGCTGCGAGCGCTGGTAATTGTGTCACTCGGTTTACCACCGTGCCTTACGAGTGTACAATAATTGACGATGTATGCCGGCTCGATGGGGCCACGTGGGGGGTGGAGTGGTGGCGCGGTGGTTGGCGCACGATCACACCTGCCTACCCTACTGATGTAGGCTTCACGCTGACTCTTTTAAAACCCCGTTGCCACAAACCGATATACAAGCCTCATCTCGTAGCGCTTTGTTAAATGTTGGAAGAAAACAAAATATTTCGACTTGACTTTTTTAAAATGTGTATATGAAGAGCAGCGTTGCCAGCGCCGTCGCTTGAACCGGTAGGGTTGGCAATCGTTGCACCACGAACTCGGTCACCTGAGTTCAATTCCAGGCTACGGCTAATATCGGTTTGTGAGTGGTGTCTTCACCGGTTCCTCGGCCATCCCCAACTCGCACTGACCAGCAGGGTGAAGTATGGTTCATTATTCCCCACATGGACATGACATGGGGAGGCCTTCATCCAGCAGTGGATTGATAATGGCCTGTGAATTAATTTTTTTCGTGTTATATAAATGGAATGCCCTAACATGAAATATTGACGCTCACTCTATTCCAAAATTGTTTTAAATCTAGATTTCTTTATTAAGCAGTACATATTTTCTTGCCGTAAGTTACGCACGAGCAGAAGGCTTTTTCTCACCATTCAGCACACAGGGCAAGAAGCCATTGGCAATGGGAAGACAAAGTTAGCCAGGCCACATGCGGTGTTTGCCGTATCGCCCCCTTCTTGTGCTGTGCCGGCGTTACTTGGGTGTTTGCTGAACACCAATTGCCCCGGTAGTCTGTGTATGGGAGATATAGTTTTGTTCATGATATGTTTGTTTGTAAGTTAGGAGAGTTACAATGCTTTGGCGGAATGTGTGATGCTTCAGAAATTGCTGAAAATAGAAAAAAACCGTGTGTTTGTGTGTTTGTGTGCATTGTATCTGAATGTTGATGGCAATGCTGATGAAATTATGATAATTATAATTGAATGACATGATTCGAATGGTAATTTAATGAGCGAATTCAGCAGTGACTTATTTTTCCCATCGGACTCTTAAATTAAAATTCGTTTAAAATAAGATGTTCGCCCAGCGCACTCGGCAAAACGCCTTGTTGGGGTTTTTTTTGTTCTCCCGTCCGTCTGGCTATCGTCTCCTCCACCTTCGCTACCTCCTCCACCTCCTCCAGATGCAGCTCCTGACGAGGGGCATGGTGATCCTGAGAGAGAAGCTGCGCTACTGTGAAGGTATCCGCTGAGCTCGCGAAACGCGCCAACCCTCGCTGAACAAGTCTAGGCCGACGGTCGACTTTGATAGATCGAAAACTCATTTCTCTTAGAACTGTTTTTGTCTTTAATTTGTTGTGCTTCCCCCCCCCCCGCACCTCCGGTTGGCACGATGAGGGGGGAGGGGGGAGAAAGCGATTATGCAAAGGTCATTGGTGAATGCCCTGCAGCGCAATCCCAGCGATCTGTGTTCGACTCCTGACGGTGGATACCATCGAGTATCCGCTGCGGGACGCGCTCTCTGTAAAAGATCGGACAGAGGGGGAGACAAAGGTGGCTGGGCATGGCGTAGGCAGCCTCAGCGGGTGATCGCTCCTCGGCAACAGCGCGAGCCTTTAGTAGTCCGTGATGTGTGTGGGTACGTTGACCTTTGCACCGTACGCAGCCAACCCTGCTAGTCATACTCTTTGGTTCTTTCGGTAAAGTCACGTAGCTGAAAATAAAAATTATAATACAAATAAAAATAACTAGTCGTAGGTGCGTGAATGACTCCTGTGGTGGTGGCGGTGGCGATGCCGTGTCGTTGTTTTGAAGGTCAAAAGTTGCTGGACACCCTGGCGGAAGTGTGGGAATATTTCTTCGGTGAAATCCTGCCGACCCTCCAAGCCGTGTTCTACCCGGTGCAGGTGACGAACGCGGCCGGCCGTGAGCTCCGGTCCACAACACCGCTCCCGTCCACAACACCGCTCCCCCTGCCTCCTCCCCCCCCCCCTAAAAAGATCTTCCACCTTTACCAGGGTTCCCAAACAATGCACCGTCCAGAAACCCATTTGTTTCAGAGAGCCCCCCGAATCGGAGTAAGACACCACGCCCGTGTTCATTGCGTTATCATCCTCGCCCTTTTATTATTATCATCAGCATCGATCAGTGCCAATTAGCAAATCGAGCAGCGTTGAGCCTTGACGGTGTTTGGCAAACAGGGCCTACAGCCGGCTGCTGCTGCTGTTGCTGCTGTTGTTGTTGTTGTTGCTGCTGTTGTTGTTGCTGCTGCTGTTGTTGTTGCTGCTGTTGTTGCTGTTGTTGCTGCTGTTGTTGTTGCTGCTGCTGCTGCTGATGTTGTTGCTGCTGCTGCTGTTGTTGTTGTTGTTGCTGCTGTTGTTGTTGCTGCTGCTGCTGTTGTTGTTGTTGTTGCTGCTGTTGTTGCTGCTGTTGTTGTTTCTGCTGTTGTTGCTGCTGTTGTTGTTGCTGCTGCTGTTGTTGTTGCCTATGCTCCCCGCCCTGACCAATCCACGCTGACCAGCACGTTAAAATATGGCCAGCGTAATGCCAGCGTGACGATCTCGCGCTGCGTGTGCGGCTGCGGCACAGCCTGCTGTGCCATGCAAATCTTCCTCTTGCTGACACTGCCTCCCCTGTTCATGCGTTACTGTTCTTGTCAAATTCAATAATTTCCTACTCGCGTTGACTTGTCAAGGTGGTCTTCACCTCCTGTTTACAGCCGATAGCCAGCAGTGGACATTCCACATTCCCATGCTGAGGCCGAGTTTCTCTGTAGGACAACCACTGTTGACCTTTTTTTTATCGACCCCAGGCAGGACAGGCGGTTCATTCATTCCCTCCACGTAACCTGCCAATTGCGAGCCGCTCACTCCACCACTGAGCCACTCTGGCCAACGGCGTGATGTTAGCTCCCTCACCTGGTATGCAGGAGATCGTGGGTCCCATCCCGACCCTGACGCCTGCTGCATATTTGGAGATTGCATGTATCCCTCCCCGTGGTCGCGTCCACTTTTCTCCGGGCCCTCTCCGATTTTTCCCTCCACGACGTTTACAAAACATGCGTTTTCTAAAGTATGCGCCTGCTGTGCGTAGACACGTGATAAGCCACTTCATCGAGCAATCACTTGTGGGCCAGGTCACTTCTGAAAAAGAGCCACACAGCTCGGTGAGCTTTGCTACCTGGATAAATGAACAAAAATAGTTTTATCTTCTTGGTTCTTTCGGTAAAGTCACGTAGAAGGGAAATAATAAAATAATAAAAATAAAACATAATAAAATACAATTCTCACGACGTTTCGGCCACAACGCAAGCAGCCGTCCTCAGGTGAAGAACAGGTCTGTCGGAAAGACAGCGTCTGAATGAGCACCACCATGCTTGGCAGCGTTTATTTAAGCTGGGTTGGAGGAGGAAGGGCACCTTGACAAAGGAATTTGCATATCAAGAGAAATTTAGCATATTTATGGGAAATGCAGATATTGGATTAGTCACTACTTGTGGAATGCGTAGGAGGTGGGGGGGGTTTCAAAGTCATATTATGCCCGTACATTATGTAGGATTAGCAGCATCAAAGGGAGGGAGGAGGGTTTTAATAGTAAGGAGCTGCAGCAGCTAAACCACCACGTAAAAAACTAAAATAGAAACTATTGCATATTTGGAGTTTGCAATAGTTTTAGTTTACAAGTTGCATGCGCGTCCATCGTATTTGTGACCGGGGGGGGCGGGGGAGGCGGGGGCACTCCGGCACTGTGCTCCACCTCGATCGCGCGTTCCCTCCCGGCAGGGCAAGGAGCTGAGCGTGCGGCAGATGTCCTTGCTCGCCTTCCGCAACGCGATCCCGCTCAAGCTGAAGCTGGACGAGGCGCTGATCCGGCCGCGTGCTCGCGTGCCCCCCACCATCGCGCAGATGCTGCTGGTGCTGGAGGTGCGTGCCCAGGATTCCGTGGGGGGGGGGGGAGGGGGCAGTGGGGGGGAGGGGCGGCGGAGGACGCTGGCGGCAGAGCAGAGGTCGCAAACGGGTTTTGATTCCTTACCCGTACCCGGCCGCACCAGGGTCGCAAACGGGTACCCGTACCCGTACCCGGCCGGGTACGGGTAGCCGGGTATCGGGTAGGGTACCCGATTGCAACCTCTGCGGCAGAGGTCGCCAGGTTCATAGAGCGGCGTGCGAACACCGCTGCACCGCCACTCCTCCCTTCGCCTTAGCTCTCCTGCTTGTTACTGAACTTCAGAGTTTGGCTTGGGGGGTGGGGGGTGGGTAGGGGGGGGGGGGCTTGAGGACATTTTTCCAGGGAAACAAAACTCGAGAGCAAACCACAGAAGGAATGCATTGCATGTTCATTAATAAATGTATTTTCGTTTGAACAATATAAACATTACCACCGTTCTTGGTAGTGCTGCGTATGCTACTACCAAGAAAGGAGTGTGCATGTTTAAGGGCAGGCCAACTCTGCCACGGCGGGGAGCACAGGTGGTGCATCTGCCCGTCGTCTCACTCCGCACACCTTGGGTTTGTCTCATCACGTGGCCTCAGCGTGCACTAATCCTGACAAAGACACCCATACCAGGCCGTGCGTGCGCTTACGTACGCGAATAAATCTTGGGTGGGCGGAGCGGTGGTTGCAGGGGTTAGCGCGCTGCTCCACGAACCCGGCCAAACCCGAGTTCGATTCCCGCTCACGGCCATCACCATAGACGATCATCTGTACCGGTAATATGCGTCCCCTAGGTCGACTCGGCCTCAAATGACCACCCGGTGCGGTTTGTAAAAACATCGCCATTCGGGGGAAAACAAAGGCGGCCGGCCGGCCCCCCCTGCCGTGTACCCGCGCCGGCCTTCAAACGCGCCGCTACTCGCTAAAGGCACGTGCCCCGACAGTGCGTTGAGGCTAACGCGGGGTCTGGGCGGGGGCGTTCCTTTGTCTCCCGCAGAGCGTCCACGAGCCCCAAGGCCCCACGAGCGAGTACCTGCAGCTGGAAGCGCTGATCCCGCGCGTCGTCTCCTCGTACCTCGGCACGTTCGGCACGGTGCACGCCGGTGGGGATCTGGCCGAGCACTCGGTGTGCCTTCTCGGTGAGCGCCCCTCTCCCCCACCCCCCGCCTCCGACGGACGGACGGATACGCACGACGGAAACTTCTCCGACGGAAACTTAACCTTCTTACTTTGTGGGGTGACCTTCATACGGGTGTGGTTTAATGAAGGGACTGAAGTTTTTTTTGGTTTATGTGCCTATCATGAGTCTGTTGAGACCAGAAGTCATCATCATCATCATCGCGATCCATGGGCAGATAAGGCCGTAGGTGTCCACTGCACATTTCGTCAATTGTTTCCACTTTTATTCTGTCTTGTGCCAACATGCTCAAGTGGTGCCACATCTTGCTGGCACAAATCTCTCCAAGCCGTTCTCTGTGAGGTCTTCCTCTCTTTCCCGTTCTTCACATTTTTCCGAACAACAACAACACTTTTATTTATCCTGTTGCTGTCCATCCTACTACCACTACGTGTGTCCAAAGAGTGCCACTTTCGTTTCTCATCACCGCCTGCAATCAGCAATCAGAGACCAGAAGTATCTCTTAATATTCTTTTTTCTCTTTCCCTCTCTCTCTCTCCCTTGTTTATTTCCCTCCAAGGGAAACCCTGGGTTAATTGTGCATACATCGTGCACAGCAATGGTGCGATTGCAACAAATCATAACGCAGAATTCAGGTCTACCCCCGCCCCCAGGTCCCTCTGTTAAATTTCTCAGCACACCGAGATGTCGTGCCGTAATGTTCTTGACATCCGCAGCTGCCCCTGCCAGCCTCGTCTGGTCACAAAGTTAGTGCGTATGCGCAACTCGGATTTATCGCTAGCGGTTCTGCCAAAAGCACGTTTCGCGTTTTGGAATATGGAGACGTTTCCATCTGGTGGAGTGTTTTGGCCAGATGTTAACAACCAATCTGCCAAATCTGCCAGCGCGTGAATCGTGCGTGTTGTAAAAAAAACATTAAAAATAATACTGACATTGGAGTCGAACTGCAGTGGCTGGCACTCGGCTGCATTATACAACTCAAGTTAGTCTGGGACGACATTCTTTTGATGATTTTACTTACAATGGACAAAGGGCCGATTAAGTGTAACTGGACGGACACGGTTCAGTGGTTAGAGCAGTGAAACTCTGACGCGCGAGCTCCTGAATTTAAATTCTGATCACGATTGACCCAGTTTCACTCTTCTTAGTGTCATCATGACGATGGTGATAATTATTGTCATCATCCTCATCAGTCGTTACCATCGTATCCTCACGGCATCATCGACATCACCGCCACCATCTGACCTCCCAAGCCAAGCATCGATAGCGTGTCGTTGACCCAGCACACTAAATTCACACTGTCTCCCGTACTCGCACGCACTCACACACGCGTTCCGTCCCGCAGAGAAGCGCTTCTCCTGCCGTCCTCCCAAGACCTCGCAGCTGGCCGGCTCGCCCACCGTCAAGAGCGCACCGCCGCGCTCCTGGAGCCATAACGGCCACCCGCTGGGGCCTCTGCCGGAGACCGAATGCGACACGGGGGCGGCCGCGCAGATCTCCTCGCCGGGGGACGGCACTGCCGGAGACCCCAACCGCGGGCCAACCCCCGGCGAGGTCGCCCGGGGCCCGGACGCGATCGGCGCCGTCGTCCCCGATGCCGTCGTGCAGAGCCTCGTGAAGAGCCTCAGTGAGTCCGAGATCGCCGACAAGCCGACGGCCAAGCTGGAGGCATGCTGCTCCTTCGCGCAGGACCTCAAGTCGCTGGAGATCTGCCGCGCCGAGCAGAGCGTGTCGGTGCCCGACCTCCTAGTGCCATCCTTCTCCACCGCCCAGCAGGAGCAGCTGCTGGGGGCCTTGCACGAGCGGGCGGCCGACCACCTGGCCAAGGGATCGAGCGCCTCCGACGCCGCCTTCCCGGGCCTCTCCGAGCTCCCGAACTCCGCGGGTTCGCGAGCCGCGCCCGGGGACGCGCGCGAATACGGCGGTGGCGTCGCGGGCGGTAGCGGCAGCAGCAGCAGCGAGTACAGTAGCCTCGGCGTACCGGAGGGGGGCGGCCGCAAGTCGCCGTGCCACCTGCACCAGCGCGAGCTGAGAGCGGCGGGCCGCGCGCTGCCCTACACGGTGAGCGAGCCCATCCTGCGCGGCGGCCGCGGCGGCGGCGGCGGCCGCGATTTGGCGGCGTGCGCGCGCGACGGCGCCCTGCGGAACTTGGGACTCGAGCACGCCGAGTTCCGGGACCTGTGAGGAGTGACGGCGTGATGGCGCACGGCCTGCGGCGCTGCTGCCAGTTTGCGAGTTTAAAGCGAGATGAAACTCTCCCTCCCTCCCACACACACACCACGCCCCAGCCAAAACAAATTACGCCTCTTATCTCAGATATCTGTCCAGGCTGTGTGCTCTGGGTTGTTTGAAATGAAGATTTTTTTGCGTATTTGTTTATTAAAATTTTCTGTGCGCTGTGTATACCATTGCATACACAGTAGGATTATAAGCAGTGCCATTGGGAACAAGGCGATCTGTGCACCAGCGTAACATAATGTGTTGCTTATATTAGAACTGTGCTTATATCAAACTTCTCCTGTCCCAGAGCGACGCACCAGCTCCTTCATGGCACCCCTGTGGTGGCACTGTATCGTGAAATGATGAGGTCCCTGAGAGTCGATTCAAAGTCGGCTTGTTGGTTTTTTTGTTGTCTCATTGATGAAGCTTCGAGCACAGCCATTGTGTGTGTCGCTTCAAGATGAGAGCGGTTCGTTGTTGGGTTACGTCTCCCGCTGTGAATGGCCCGAGTCACAGAAAGCCACAAGTGACCAGCGGTCAGCCTGAATGGATGGACTTTGAAAGTTATCACGATTTAATGATGAATTATGCATTTTTTTTTTTGCTCACGACGGCTCGCGAGCGTCCTCAATAATTTCACGAGTGGCGCAGCTCCCCCGACGCGTTCCCCTCGGGTTTGTCCCGCGCGTCGTTCCGCACCGCGTCCGGCGTTTTCCCGCGCGCGTGCCGGGACCTTCTCCGGGACACCGAATTCCTCCGGTGGAACAGCGGCGCGGTCCGAGTCCAGGCACACGCCACGGGAGAGCCGTGCGTACTGCACGTCCGCGGGAAACTTACCGCAAGACACAACAACGTGAGGGGGCAGTCCCAAGGCCGCCGTTAACATTATTAGGCATTTCAATCGCTTCTTAAAAAGGAAGACTGGGCATCTGCGGCGTCGAAAAATAAACGTTTATTCCTGAGAAATAACCCCCGCCTCCACTTCTCCGTCCTGAGGCTGCGTCGCTCGGCATGGTGGGCTACGTACGGTGTGAAAGAAGTTCAACATACACACACTCCTACTGTACCTAAACACAAGCCTCCTGCCATACAGGAAATCCTATCACCGGTGGGTGGGGTGTTGGGGGGGTAAAGGCAGTTTAAGTTTCGTTCTGTCTCACAGTACTGAGAACTGAAGGGATGCATTCACATTGTTTTTCATAACCGTGTCTGAGCAGAGGGCCCGAAGTGCTCCCAAACTCCCGATCGACCAGCAAACAAACGGCAGCAGAATCTTAATTTTGTGCTGGAGGAATGCGATGAGCTCCAAACGCTCTTTCGCGTCCGGTCGACAATACGTAGTGATCTGGCGCACGCGCGCTCTGGACACGTAGCAACATCTCTGTGAATCCACTTTACGATCGGGGCGTTATGTTGAACATACTTCACCACGCCGGTCGGTGTGGGTTTGTGAAGACGTGCTATCGTGTGCAGTACAACAATGTGTTTTTCCGCACTGGCCTCTGCCATCACACCACGCAGCTCCGCGTCATGCATGGCGGTCGTCCATCCAAGCGCTATCCAGGCTCAAGCCGGCTTGGCTTTCAAAATCTGACGAGATTGAAACGTATTCCAGGTGATGTGGTCACAGGCACGAGACGGATACTTCAGAATAAACACTCCCAATCCCATGCCAGGTTTGGGATTGTCATTGTTTAGGTAATCGGTAACACCACCAGGAATGCAATGTATGCTTTGTTGAACTTCTTTCGCACCCTACGTAAGCAACCATGCTCATCAGAGTTGCGGGGAAGGACCACGCAACATTTAATTCACGAAATCCCGCTTGCTGTAATCAAGGAATGTCGCAATGAATCTTAAGACACTATTCGCGAGGATTCCTCCGAGAGGAGCTTTATTTGGCGTTGGGGGAGAAAACTTGAGTGCCCAGGGGGCAAAAAACGGAGGTCCCCACAGATGGGTTCACAAACCCACTTCCTGTCCGAGCCGCCTCCCAAGCCCGGCCGGATGTGGAGCGTCGCAATTCAGCGTGATCCACTGACGCTTGCTTCCAAAGCGCTGACGCACAAGGCCCCCCCCCACACGCTGACGCAGTGTCGGTAACTGTTATCGCTCCTGGGCCTCCCCTAGGTCGACTCGGCCTCAAACGAGCACGACGAAAGGCGGCCGGGGCGTGGTGCTGGCCACACCGCCCCCTCGTGTGTCGTGCCGGCCTTCATAGGGTGCTCGCTAGCAGCACTTGCCCCAAGTCTGCTAAGGCTGTATGGGGGGGGGGGGGGTTGTAAGGTTGGGGCTATATGTCGACGATTGCCCTCGACTGGATGTTGGTGGAGGTGGCCGACTGGTGAATTTGTGCGCTGCCAATGTAATAATTCGTGTAATGAGTGCACCGAGAGTATTTGTGTTTATAAAAAAAAAATGCAATGTGTATCGTGTAACAATTACTTTATATTCTCTCTGCATTCGTCATCATCATCGTCGTCGTCATCATCAACCACGATCCATCCACTGCCGAATGAAGGCCTCCCCACGACATCGCCAACCCGCGCGGCGGTCCCGTGACGATTCGCCTTGCTGCTGCTGCTGCACGTGCACCGATTTCACCGCTGCACTTCCCCGGTGTCGCTGCTCTGGGTCGCCTTTTCTCTGTTCGCTGCCAATCCTTCGCTCGTCTCGTTCATTTGCCGTCATCATTTCTAGCCGTGCCCCTGCCCCCCAGGTCCGATAAATTACTTTAGCAAACACCAAACTGAAACCTATTGCAAAGAATCGTGTCTGCATGAACCACATATACTTTTGATGAACATGCAAACAAAAAAAACACATGCTCTAATAGTATAATGATGCATTGTCTTTGTGCTGTTCGCCTTTTAGCGTCCTCTGGTATGACACTGTTTGAGACGAGGCTCTAAAGGAAGCTGTCTCTGGTGTGGACCAATCAGTTTCTAATGCGTGGTTAATGCAGACATGGTTCCTTGCAAAAGGTTTCAGTTTGCTGTTTTAACATCTTAACACAACTGTTTTATTGCCAGAAAGGGTAACACCTATTCTTATATTTTGATACCGGCAAGGGAGGTCGCATGTTCTTATGAAGGCCTTGGTTTTCTAGATATTTTATGACTATATCAGTTTGCACTAAATCAACTGCCTTTTTCATAGTCTAAAATTCTAAGAGCCAGGCATTGTGGCATGTTTATATTAATGTGTTTTTTTCGAATGTGAATGATAGTTTGTATGTATGTAGCAAATGGTAGCAAGGGCTTTTCAAAATCTAACCTGTTCATGTGTTTGTACATTACTCAGTTCTCCAAGAAAGTCATGGACTATATGTGTGTGTCCGCTACGCGTCCGATAAGTCTGAAGTTCTTGAAATCATTATTGTCTTTTAAAACTGACAAACGCTTCTAGGATTGAGGTGCTTTATTTTTGTGTAAACATTCTCTCTCTCTCTCGTAATGAGATGGCAACATTTACAAGGGTAGATCGAGTCTTTTTTTTTAATGCGTTTTTTTATTTGTGTGAACATAGAGCGAAAATAGTTCCGCTGATTTATTTCAACAGCAGGTCCCGCTTCTTTGATGTTGTCCAGACATATTTATTTCCATTTTTCCATCCCATAAAGGGCCGAGTTAACTTCTTTGCGCGCGGCGTCTGGAACGTCCTGCTCTCTCTGAACAATGATCTATTTAGGTAGAAAAAAAAAAAAGAATATATCACAATATATTATTTATTTTATTTTTCAACCTATTTGACTTTACCGAAAGAACCAAAGAGTATGGATTCCTGTAGTCACGAAAGCTTCAAATCAATAATTAATTATCTATTTCCCAGGGTACATAATTTTATTTTTTATTATACGGATCCGCGCAACATTTCTCCGCCAGTTTTATGACGCGCTCTTTATCGTGCATTGCTGGTTCCGGAACGTTCTCTTCAGAGTTCTGGAGCCCGCTGTATACGGATCTGTGCATCATAACACACGCGGTGATAGTCGACGCGTTTCTCTAACGTCCGTCCGCCTGTGTGCGTGCGTGCATGCGTGCGTAAAGCACGTCAAGGTTTTCTCGTTAGCCCAAGAACTGCCACAATTCTAAGAACCGCAACTCGCCACTTGTGATGCTGAACCACAAGACGACAGCAGGAAGCCAGCCCTTTATTGGGTTGGTTGCGCGTGGCTTCGCCGACTCGAAACAAGAGCGTTCAACTTTGCAATGGCGTAGGTAAAAAATAAAATTAATAAAAGTAATAATAGAAATAAAATTATAATTCACGACGTTTCGGAGGCAACACAAGTCTCCGTCATCAAGTTAACTTGTATTTAAGAACTTGTTACTTGGAATTTTTGCCTCACTTGATACAGCAAATCTAGCTGTGACGGTCCCACCTGATGACGGAGACTTGTGTTCCTCCGAAACGTCGTGAATTATTATTTTATTTTATTTCTATTATTACTTTTATTAATTTTATTTTTATTTTTTTACCTTCGTGACTTTACCGAAAAAACCTAAGAGTATGAATCCTTGCAGTCACGAAATCTTCAAATCTAGAATTTGCAACGGCGCTCTGGCTTCTGAAACCTTCAATACATTTTCAAACTTTCAAAACGTCACCGCAGTGGCCCGGGTCGGTGACCGACGGTCATTTAAACCCAGAGCGAACCGGCGGGAAGTTATTTTAAGGAACGCGGCACAAAGCAGATGGCTGCAATTACTGACAAATGCCCTTCGCCCGCCGCGATTTCATTTCCCCGCCGACTTGTGGCTCGTAAGGGAGACGCGGATTCACGATCGCCTCTTGACTGCTTCGCCTTCGTTCTCGCGCTGCAAAGCCGGCAACGGCCGGTTCGGCGTCGAACCGGTCGTGGCTTGTTTCCCTGAAATGAGTCTTTGGCTGCCGGTAAACTCTATACATTCTCGCGGAGGCTACGGGCGTGTTTTCTTAAAGCGTGTTTTTTTAACGGGTCAGAGGAGTCGGCCGACAACTGAATAAACTAAGGCGCCACAATGGGACATGGTTGTCGTAGTTGAGAGAATATTTTTTTTGGAGGAAGAGTTCCGTGTGAGATCGTCAACACTGATACCGCAGTGAGGACGAGGGTCCTGCTGGATGGGATGACGTTTGCACTGGTGTGAGATGAGAATTATATTATTTTATTGGATAAAAAGAGGGGCTTGTATCAGATTAAATGAGAATTGTGTTTGGTATTCGACAAGGGTTCCGTAACAGATGAGACGAGGGTTTTGTATGGGATGAAAATGATGATGACTCGCCGATAATAAGTGGCAGTGATAAAAAAAAAAACCACAATGCTCTCTGATGGCAATAATAACAATGATCATGATAACGACAAGGAAACTGCACAGACACCACCCCACCATTCATGACGAGAATGACGACGCCATCGAAGATGATGCCGCTGCTGATGACAGCGAAGACAACGGCGACAGCGGCAACAAAATCTGATGACCGCGTCAAGTTGGCCCGTGCGCGCACGTAGTCCCACTAGCCGACTTGGTGGTGGGATGCGGCTTTCACGACCGGAGCCCCCCGCATCCCTGCAGCCCCGAGAACGGAGTGACGAGGTCGCGGAACGAGTCGGCGCGCCGCACGACCCTCCAGCGCGCTCCGCTCACCAGCAGCTCGGCGGCGCGGGTGCGCGCGTTGTAGTTGGAGGCCATGGACGAGCAGTAGGCGCCCACGTCGAAGAGCGCCAGCAGCAGCGGCGGCTGCGGCGGCTGCGGCCGGGCGCCACCGGGTCCCGGTGCCAGGTCAGGCCGCGGCAGGCGCCGGTCCCGAGCGAGGAAGTCGGCCGACTCGCACACGGGGCCGACCTGCGGGCGTGCCGGCACGGCGGGGTCAGGGTTCGACCTCGGGTTAGAACTTTTCTTGCCGCGACCTCGGCACAAGAATTGTTTGGCGAATTGTTCGCGGCCTGCGATTTTGTAGAAACGGCAAACAATCAATGCGTGCAGTCGTAAATAATAAATTGTTATACACACACACATACTTGTTGTACTTCCCCCGTGCATGCTGCGTACGCTTGAAGCATAGCGGTGCGTGTCCGATTTAGCACGGTTGGCCATGTAAGGTGCAAAAGGAGTTCAACATACACATACACACGTGGTGCGCAGGTGCAGTGTGGGTGCAGTCGTCTGTGTAGTGTAGCGGTTGGCGCGCTGCGCTTCGAACCCCCGGCCACCCGAGTTCGATTCCCGCTCTCGGCCAACATCGGTGAGTCGACCTAGGGCCTTCCCTAGGTCGACTCAGCCTCAAATGAGTACCTGGTCATGCTGCTGGCCCCCTTGTATGTACGTTGAGCTTCTTTCGCACCGTACGTAGCCAACCGTGCTGGCCTTAAGAGGTGCTCACTAACAGCGGTTGTGGGCCATATTGGGGGGGTGGGATCTTTGTGCGTGTGTGTGCGCAGTGTGTACCACGTCGAAGATGGCGTAGCTCGGCTCTCCCGGGGGGTCCTGCACAAGCTGCGCATGGTGATGCGCCCCGTACAGGCTGGGCCGCATCACGTCGGTCATCGCCGCATCCACAACAAGGAACTCCTTGTCTCTGGCGGATTTCACGCCCAGCACCTGCACAGATTATATATAAAAAAACAAATTTGTTTATAAATCTCGCACAGAGCCAAAGCCATTAGGAACCAGACCCTCGCGGCTCCGTTCTTGGGGCTGTAGGGACGAGGGGGGGCCGGGCGTGAGATCCAGATGTGTCGTGAAAATACATGAGTGGCCTTTGGGGAAAATGTCCGCATTTTTTAAACGTAAATACTTACTGTTTTGAAAACCTCTCACGACAAATTGTCCTCACGATTGTCCTATCGGCGTCACGCGTTCGGAGACTGAGTTTACATTCAGATCTTCTCGTGGAACGGTGCAACCCTCTTTATGTTAGACAACAACCCATGGAAGTGGATATCCCAGGGCTACCTCGGAGATCCAAATTCATTTTTGCAAATGAATCGTGTTCCATCTCTGCCACTGAGAGAGTAATATTCATTATGTGACAGTCAAAGCAATAGTTTACATTGTCAGAGCTGAAATTTAACGTAAATTAAGTGCAGAACAAAATTGAATGTGATTTGTGTGTGTGTGTGCCATGAGCGGTAGTGTAGCGGTTAGCGCACTGCGCTATGAACCCGGCGACCCGGGATCGATTCCCGCTCACGGCCAACACCAGTGACGATTATCTGAACCGGTCCTGGGCCTCCCCTAAGTCGACTCAGCCTCAAATGAGTACCTGGTGCGGTGTGGAAACATCGCTACTAGGGAGACAAAGGCGGTTGGGCGTGGTGCTGGCCACCGTCCTTCTCGTTGTACCGTTGCGGCCTTCATAGGTGCTCGCTAACAGCACTTGCTCCTACAGTCTGTTAAGGCTATACGGGGGATCTTTGTCTTTTTTTAGCCATTAGTTGCCGGGCCGAGACCATTAACTCTCGACACTTGAACTCGGTTTAATCACAGGAGGTTGGATTCGAACCCAGGCTGCCCCTTTCACCATCAAGGGAGTATCTCTGAGCGAGCCACCAAACCCAGGCTACGCACGCCACCCTGTGGCTCATCTTTTAAAAACGCAACCCAAAAAACCCCAAATACACTCGCTCTTAACTTGTAAACACTTATCTCGGCGATGTGTCCCCAGGTTGTGCGACAGGTCTGAAGGTCTGAAGCTTCATTCGTACAAAAGTCGTAGTCAAGCACGTGATTGTGACACTCTCGTGACGTCACACACTCGTACATGCCGATGTGAATGCGGTGATATCACCATCGAGCCGTGGTAGGAGCGTACGTTCATGATTTGAAAAGTATTTTTGTTCTACAAATGAAGAATCTTCAAGGATCGTGAAAGTTGAATGAACTAGCCATGCGGTGGACCGTGACAATTCAAAGTCGCAATTCGATTTACCGAATTGATTCAGCGAACTCATCTCATCATACGACATACCAATTGAAATACACCAATCTGCAAGCATGTGCTTTAACATACGGCTCGTGAGTTCAGGAATCGATGTTTAAGTCGATCGATTCGGCGCGTCGTTGCACCCCTGCGGGTCCGCTCCGGTTCTACCCTCTCTCCGCACCCCGCCTCCGCACCTCCGTCACCAGCACGGCGGCGTCGCCCACGATGGATCGGCCCGGCTCCAGCACCACCTCCACGTCCTCCGGCAGCGCCCTGCCACGAGAGACGCAGCTCGTCGCGCACGGCCGCCACCAGCTCGTCGGGCGACGGCTGCGGCGCTCGTCCCGTCGCGTCGGTAGTCGATGTCCAGCCCGCCGCCGAAGTTCAGCACCCGCAGCGCCGGGAAAGCGCCCCCCGAGCGCAGCTCCGTCGCCGTACGCGCCACGAAGGCCACCGCCGCCCTGAAGGCCCCCAGGTCCCTCACGGTGGAGCCGAGGTGGCAGTGGAGGCCGCAGAGCTCCAGGCGCGGGTTGGTCCTCACCGCGTCGAGGAGGGCGTCGAAAGACGGGGCCGCGTGACACGCCGAACTTGGACGAGGCGAGGCCCGTGGCGACGTACGGGTGGACGCTGGGGTCCACGTCCGGGTTGACTCGCACCAGCACGGGCACGCGCGGCGCGGGGCCCGTCACCGAGGAGGCCACGTCACCGATTCTGCGCGCGTCGAACAGCGAGTCGACGTTGAGCGAGCAGCCGCGGGCGACGGCGAAGGCGATCTCGTCGCGCCTCTTGCCGTTGCCGTTGAGCAGGATGCGCCGTGGCTCGAACCCCGACAGCAGCGCCAGGCGGATCTCGTTGCCGCTCACGGCCGTGGCTCCACAGCCCAGGGAGCTGTTCGCAGAGCGAGACGCACGGGTCAGGGTCAAGGACCGCGAATGTTGTTAAAGGTCAAGAGGTCGCTTATGGCCAATGCTGTTGTGGCACCCAAGTTTGCCATTCCTTTTATTTATCCGGGTCATTCTGCTAGCTGAACAGATTGCCTCCAGCGTATACTCTGACAGTCTCGGCAACCTGCGCATCTCGGTCACCTGTCCCCCTCCATCCTACGCACGTGCCACACTCTTCACAACCTCCTCTACAATGCTGTCTTAGCATGTGCTATTACACACTTGCACATTTGATTTACGTACCGTGATATTAAATTCACAGCATGAGTATGCAACGCCCTCTTGACGTGGCTAATTTTGCTGGCATCTACTAGTCGCCCAGAGTGCGTGACTCGCAATCGCATGAAGTCCCTAGTTCGCACTGTGTGGGCAGGCAGGTGACACGGATAGATCGGTGACACGGACATACACATGAAACAGCTGTACAGGTGAGACAGGCGGATGGGTAATATGGGTGGACAGGTGACAGGAGTCAACAAGACAGGTGGGCGGACAGGTGAGATGGATGGACACTGGGAACATATGAACAGGGAACACGTAGGCATGGGTGACACTGGTAAATGAGTGAGGAGAGCAGGCAGAAGGCATGGACGGGTGACGTGGCCGGGTGACGTAGCCAGGTGACGTGGCCAGGTGACACAGGTAAGATGAACGAACACCGGTCAAACCAAGACGGGTAAATCAGGCGGATCGGCCAGGCAAACGGACAAGTTGACACGGCCTCGACCAGAAGATGCGAGCTGACAGGTGAGCTGGCCCAAGTGGTGGGACCGAACTAGCTGAGATTGAGACCGAATGGACAGGCGAGAGGGTGCGGTGCCTTGATCTGACCTTATGACCTTGAGCAGATGCGGGTTTCCGTTGGCCTTCACCGAGTAGTTGAGGGTCGCTCGAAATCCGCTGGCGCTCAGCGCTCGCTGGTAGGCGCGCACGTTCTCCACGATTTGCGCGCGGCTGTAGACGAAAAACGGCGTGCAAGGAGCTCTGAACGATGCGGACGACTGGCGGCTGTCGGGGCAATCGGCCGCACGGCCGCTCTCAAGGGACTCCTGATCGAGTGGGGGGCAGCCCTCGTGGCGTGGGGGGAGAGAGGTCCTCCTCGAACACCAGGTCGGTGACATCTTCCGGCAGCCTCGGACTCGTGGAGGCATCCGCTGTTCCGCAGCTGTTCGGCGAGATCGATGAGGCTCAGTTCTTCGCAGAAGAGCGTCCCGTCTCGGTATTGGAACTGTTGATGCTGCTGCTGATGATCACATTTCTCACCCATGATCAACGATCCTTGCCGTCGGCCGAGGAGATGTATTGACCGCAGTAGTTGTCGAATGACGGGTTGAGGCGAGCGGACGGGTGAATAATGTTGCGTTGTATCTTGCAGAGAAAGGGACAAGTCGTGGACTTTGGAACATTGCACTTGTCAAATCGCTGAGGTGGTGGTAAGAGGAGGAGGGAGAGGAGGGAGTGGGGGTGGGAGTTGAATCAAGGTGAAAATGAAGAAAAAAAGTTTACACACGAGGATTAATTCTGTAACTCTCCAACGGAATCAATGATTACGGTTTCGATCAAAGCACTAAATTGTGTTTGGGGTTAAAATAATAATGAGATTGTCTACAAAACGATTGGGATCCAATTCCATGTGGATTTTTGTACTTGAGTGGAAACACTCTGGGCCGTGACACGGTCAACATCAGCATCATCAGCCATGATTGATCCACTGCTGGATGAAGGCCCTCTTACACCCCCCCTACCCCAGTCATCACCCTTCCCACGCGTACACGCTTTATAACAAAATCCATCTTCTGATTTAATTTCTCCACCTCTCAGCTGAAAGAGGCACCACCTGCTATGTAAGAATGATTTTCTGGAATATTTGTTGGTTTATTCCAGTATGTTTCTGTTGCGCGTCGTCGCTTTAAGATGTTCTCTGTTCATATTTTGTTTGTTGCGGTTGCACCCGACTCAAGAGCCGCATTGCTCACAGGGCTATACCTACTAAATGAAACTTGAAACTTTAATGTAAGTGTTGGAAGTGAATGGCGCGGTGACGTCACCCCGCAGGGAGGCGCGGTGAGGTCACCACGCAGGGAGGCGCGGTGACGTCAACCCGTACGGAGGCGCGGTGAGGTCACCACGCAGCGGAGCGCGTCGACGTCATCCCGCAATAGGCGCGGTGACGTAATCACGCAATAGGCGCGGTGACGTAATCCCGCAATAGACGCGGTGACGTCATCCCACAATAGGCGCGGTGACGTAAACCCGCAGGGAGGCGCGATGACGTCATCTCACAGGGCTCTCTCCCCCCCCCCACTGTCCGACTCGAGTTTCCGGCGCAGTCTCAACTATTATTATTTTTCTTCTTCCATGAATTGGATACCGATAATAATATAAACAGATATTAGTATTGTTAATTTTAATAACAAATCGTCGCGCGTGCTCTTTAAAGAGGAGAACCGACGACGTCACGTCCGCTCGGTGACTTTGCGCCTGGGCCGCCGCGATGTTGCAGTTCGTGGTGAGGCGATTTAACCTTCACATCGGCTTTCGTAAACTCGCATCGTTCACATCATCATCATCATCGTCGTCGTGAAGTGATCGTACAACATCGTTGTAAATCAAGGCCTCCGTCGCGTTTTGCCCGTTTGACCATACTTCCCCGCTGTGGTCCCACGAAGGGGCGCGGGTCTGTGCTATGACTCGCGTGGCCAGCGCCACTGATGTTAGCCGCGTGTGGGTGTCTTAGATTCACTGCCTTCAACGTGTGTTCCTGCGCTGCAGTCGGTGAAGTCTTTAGAGACCCGTCTCCGACACACACCCGTAAATCGGCGCGAACCAGCGTGGTGAAGTATGGTCAAAACAAGGCCCCACAAACCCCGATGTGTTATAAGATTGGAATGAGTGTGTAAACTATAAAACTTTGTGCTGTCTTGTACATAATGATCGGCAATGGTTCGTCCACTGCCACAAGGCCTTTTAACATTACAAGCCGTGGAGAGAAACGAGTTCGGATTAACGCGCTGTGTTGTGAGGGGGGGTGGAGGAGAATGTGACCATACTTCACCACACTGGTCACCCAATGCCACTGATACCCACCTCGCACTACTGATGTGGTCGCCAACACACACACTTTGGGTACAGTCCACTACTGTACCGTTATTATTATTAGGTTATTTTTTGACGTGGCATGTACAGCCCCCTCTACTGGCCCACCCATGGGATATTTAAATGAACAATGCGTGTGTTAAATATTGACTTAAAGCTTTCGTGTTGTAATATAGAATTAAATAGGTGACGTGGTTTTCTCCCCCCCCCCCCACCCCCCATCAAATTCACGGGGTTTTGTGGAACAAAAAATAATCCGGGAACAGGTTTTTTTTAGCAGTAAAACTGAATATATATGGATGGGTTTCGTCCCGTATCGAGTGTGGACATGTCGAAATATCTCGAGTATTAAAAGTCTTGAGTAAGAATAAAAATAGCCTTGGGCTTTACTGTACCGCGCAAAGAGATGTTGCATTAAACCATACAACGCCTACTTATTTTTTTTGCGGTGCCAGTGTAGTTGATCTTATTGTTGTCTTCATTTAGGCCTCTGTGAGAGCTTACATGACCGCGTTCATTCGCACTGAGTCGTAGTATTTCCATAGTCTTGCAGCGAGATGACCTTCAGATTGCATTAAGTAATAAAATACAATTCATATTAAAATGGGAATCGTATGAAGGCGGGCGGGGGGGGTGATTTTAGAGAAAATGAAGAAATTAACTTAAGATTGAGACGATGTTAACCATGCTGATGGCAGCTATTAAATTTCCAGTTGGAATGAACTGCCAACACATGCGTTCAATAACACTGCCTTTAAAGGAAAAGGAAATAATAGGTGATGTTTTAGGCACTGGTCCTTCAACAGGACATATAGCGACCAGAAAGAGTTTGGAGAAGGCCTCTCTGTGCTGTGAAGAAGGACCATTGTCCGAAACGTTGCCCGTTATACTTTTCCTTTTAAGGCAGTGTTATTTGGACGAATGTGCTGATTTTGTTTGTTATTTACGGTTATGCACCACTGCTGCCAACGCAGTTGTGACCTAATAAGTTGTAAATAAAGACGGTTGTAAAGTGGTGCTCAAGATAGATTTCAGCAAAACAAAACTTTGTACAACAAGTTTGCTGAACAAAAGAAGCTCACTGTTGTGGAAGGAATTTAAGGCACAACACGAAAACACTGGGGTATTGTTTTATATATGGTACACAGGGCATTCATTGAAGGTCAACCCGAATATAAATATATTTTTACAGGGTGGCCCAAAAGTCAGGACACATAGGGTGATTATATTGATTTTAACAAATCACATCGGGATATTTCATTTTAGTTAATGTCAAACTGACTTCCGTAAACATTAATGCAAGCTTAAATTATCTTTTAAAATTTATTTAGGCCTTTTTAGCATGTAAAAAAATGAATTAAACTCGCAAGTATTTCTTAAATTTTCATCTGAAAAGAAGAAGCATGGATATTCATAATAGGTAAAATATTAAAGAACAAACAATATAAAATCTTTAATGCTAGTTTTAAAATAAATGAAATAACCCTGCGTGCCTGACTTTTTGTTGAATAGTCAGCAACGCCATTTGCAGAGGTCATCAATTGCCCGGTCACGGAAGAGGGCTTAGCTGTGAACGCGCCATATTCGTGACCTGTTTCGCCAACCTCCCAGAGGCAAATTCCATACGCTTGTTACGTTAAAACGTATTGGAGAATTCCTGGAGAGTCACACGCCACCGACGCCTCGAGCCACTTTTGGCCTACTCTTGTTTATGTTGGGTGAAACTACCTTTGTTGTGCTATGGTGGTGAGCAGGGGGGGGGGGATAGTGCAGCTACATTATTTGTTGTACCCTACTGCTATGCTGCGCTCTGTTCCTCACTTTTACCAATTCCTACAAACAGCGTGGGCAGACCCTCATCCGGCAGTGCACCTTCAGTATTTGTTCTTGTGTCAAATTTTAAAACGGAGTTTTTTTTCTGCGTGTTGTTGAAACGGTGGAATTTGTTTTCAGCTGAACTTATTTAGACGGCATGTAATGATGCATCGATTGATTTTCCAACGTCACCTTTTACGCTCACGGCACGTGCATTTTAAGCAATGTTTCTGGAGTTTTAAATAGTTATGATATATGCAAGTGAATCAATCATAAGTAAAACCGAGACAAAATAATACATTTGAATCAAATAGCAACTCGGAATTGTGATATTTAATTGAATCACTGGTGCGGGTGACTTGTCAAATCTTTAGTTTCCACAGCCAGCGGTGGGATGATTGTGAGGTCAGAGCTGAAGGTAATGTACTCTATAATTCAATGTTGTGCCAGTTCTCTCTCGGCCTCTTTGAGTGGGTGGAGAAAGCTGACGTGGAGCGAATGTGGATCTGACTGTGGTCTCCGCTTGTCTTGCAGGTGGGGTTCGCCTTTGGAAATCTTGTGGGAATGTACCTTGCCCAGAATTATGAGGTGATCTCACATTTATCACCGCGCCTACCCAGAGCCCATAGCTGTAGTCTTACAGGTTGCCAGCAACCAATTCCTGAATGCATCAAACACCTTGAGTGATGTTCTGTCCTTGCTAGACTGTAAGTTGGCCAGGAGATGGCAGTAGCATAGAGGTTTCTGATCCATTTGTCCAAATCCTTGTGTGTTTTCCCGTTTTGGAAAAATGTCACTAATCTTTGGGTACCTAGAGATGAATAAAATACCTATCGTTCCTCCCGCACTTAAACACAACTGATTGAAATTAGCCAAAAATCACAATACTGGACCATCCTGTAATACATCAGTGAAGCTTTCCAAAATAGATAAATGCATTTTCAATATTATCTGTTTACATTTAAGGTGTTTTGCACAACTGGATACATGCTAACATGAGAATGCCCTCAGAATTTACTGAAAAAAGTTTGATGTAGACATTTTCATTATCATTGACCGGATCAAACAAAAACATTTTCACGATGTATTTTTTATTCAATGTGCTACATTAAATGGTTTGTCAAAAAAATAACAAGGCTGACATTGTGAATGGAAAAGTCCCGTTGTCATGTGTGAGTTGTAAATTAGTGTAGCGATGACAAGCTGCGTTATGTTACACGTACAAAAGTAATCACGTTTAAAACGTGGTGCCTGCGTATTACAGGGTAAAGCCCAAATAGGCTGACACACCGACCTCGCTAGATTGACGGACTAAACACACCTGTAGGTAGGTGATGTTGTTGCGCATGCCTCTTGGCATGCACTCCTTAGCTAGTGCTGACGTAAAAACAATTATCGCTGCGCGATGCAGACGCAGCACATGTCAGACCGAGGTCATGATATTCATGGGGAATGCATCTGAATTTTCCACCAAGGTTAAAAAATCTTGCATTTTAAGTGCAAGGTAAAATACAATGAGCTGTTATCTTGCAGATGCGGACCTAAGTAAGCATTTATCGATGCATCGATTAATATTCGTTATTACGCCCATGAGCTATATGCATGGAAGGCGTTATTCACCGCATTGTTAAAATAGAAAAACTCAACACATTCGTCAATAACACCGTGCAACTTAAAAAATATATATATTAGGCAACATTTTTGGAAATGGGCCGTTCTTCATAGCACGTCGTGGCCAACGCTTATCAACTCTATTTCTCTGGCCTCTATATTTATGTTGTATGAAGAAGGGTCATTACCCAATATGTTGGCCATTTGTTTAATTTTTTTAAGGCAGTGTTATTTACAAATGTGAGTTTTTGTTAATAGTTCTTGTGCACCATTGCCAACGCATCACCGCAACTTTTGTTTTCATTGTTAAAATAGAGATAAAATCTGGGATTAAATTGCGACCCTGAACCTCAATAATTATCTATTGTATCGTGTATGGGGGGAGGGGGGTACATCTTTAAACCCCTTTCGGGTTCATATCTGCAAGATAAGAGCGATTCGATTTTTTTTGCATTTTTAAGTGAGAGCGAATCCCTCTGAGAGGGTTTTGGCAACAAGCGGTTCGGTCACTGATGAGTTTTACAAAACCCTTCAACCCCATCCTCTGGATTTGCCATCCAGGTGCCCGATGTGGCGAAAAAGGTGGACGAGTGGAGAAAGTCCTACGAGCCCAAGAAGAAGAACGATGACGACAGAAAGCAATAGCCCTTGCTGCAGACTCGCGTTGTGCTGTGGATTTGCTGTTAATGCCACCACTTGAAGTGGAACTGTAATCAAATCGGAGGCACTGCCAGGCCAAGATGTTATCCACGCACGGTGGCATCCACTCAACGAGCGTGAAATATTGCTTGTCCAAAAGAATGTCCAAAATATTTGTTGGGATGTCACGGTACACAGGCCCTGCTGACTGTATACATTTCCGCTTTGAAACGTAATGCTTAATTGGATTTAAACCGGAAGGTGACTGGGAAAAAGTGCACAGCTGGGTGATATTTTTTGTTTCTGAACACAAATGTTTTACCGCTGAACTTTGGGCTTGTTGCAAAAACCAATGTCTGCCATGTTTGTGGTAAACCGTTGCAAGATTCGAATGCATTATGCGCCATTTTGGCAAATGACGGGTAATAAAAATTTACCCCTGTTGATGTCTTCACATATAAACAATATTTTTTTTGTCCATCAGTCTCGAGGCTTTCTGGACCAATATTTTCCTTAACGCTGGTGATTTATTTCATGCTTAAGCATGAACTAATGATATTGTAATGAAATAAAATTTCTTATAGCAGTCAAAGTGCATTCTAGTGAACACTTCTTTTGTTTATCACGTTCTTAAGGCTGTTTACTAAAATTGTTTGCAATTCACAAAGTAGCTTTTGCGAAGGGTGTCAGTAAAGCTTTTGACATAATTTAAGGAAAAAAGCACTATCTTTACAAGCGACTATAACAATTGCATTGGTTATGAAATATTATTTCTTCCCATCTTGGGAATTGATGATCCAAGCTCAGGAACTCGCATATGAATTGCCTCTACATTTAAGGCCATACTTTCTTTCTTTGTTATTGTGTCAATTGTTTAAATCCAGACTATAATTGAGTAAATGAATTATTATAAAATGTGTTCATTGTATCACGAGTTGTAAAAACGTGGCAAAGCAGTGAGGGTCAAAGAATACAAAGGTTCAACTATATTTTCCAGCAGGTCATAATAACATACTTGCTGGTGTGCCGTATGACTTTGTAACATACGATGTTACGCGGCTTAGTGATGGGCCACTAGTCTTCATGCACCTCTTGTCTCCACATCTCTTTCTCTCGCACGTCTTGCTTTCAACTCGCTAATCTGTCTCGATTTATCTGTCAGCGGACCACTCCCAACAGCCTTCCGAGCCACATTTGGCCCGTGGGCTGTCGGTTAGTTAAAGCACACTGACATAGATTGCCACGTCCGTGGAGCAAACGAAAGTACCAGTTCAATAAAAAAGGCACCAAAATTCATACGCAAGCTGTATTTTAAAAAAAATGCTTCCAGTGTGTACATGCAATACAAAATCGATTTACAAAATTAAAGCCATGAAATAAAAAGTGTGGCACAAATAACATCTCTCTTAGCGTCTCCCCCGACGCATTGTTGTGAGCCTATCACCAGAGGCAGTGGGCGCTTTGGTGGAAGTCACGTCGGCAGCTGCACACAGCTCTCGCGCCAGAGTTCACCGTGTCCTTTATAACCCCCGTAGGGTTGGGACCACTCGGGCTATTCGCGTCAGAAATGCAACGCTGGCAAACATCGGCGGTGCCAACACCGGTCAGGTTTTTTCGTGTTGGTGGAACCTCGGTACAGTAATCGGAATTTGACTGAGGACATAACAGTGGACCCAAGTGGCCAATGAGTTTTAGATGTGTTGTGACCGTACGGAATGAACTGGCACAAATTGGGACGACTTGCAGGTGGGGGCAAAACGTTTCTAAACAAATTGGTGTGACAGATGTGAAACTCGACACTTGCGTTTTCCCCCCAGCCTTCGTACCAACAATATTTAGTTTTCTGAAGGAAAAGCTGCCTCTTACTCGATGTGCCTTAGGCGTTACTTGGGAATTTAAATAATCCCAACCACAAACCAGAACGCCCTGTACTCCGAGGTGGAGAACGCGTGTGTGTGTGTGTCGTTTGCTAGGAAGTGATTATGCGCCTCTGGTGATGAGCATACATGTTTTTAACATGAGTACCAAAAGCATTGCCAGCGCTGTGCAAAATCCTGCATTTAATTTTTTGCTTAATGGGTACTCTTATTAACGCGCTGGCTCCGCTATGGATGAACTCGCTTTTTTCTTATTTTTTATTTTCTACCCAACCAATCAATGGGTATATGTACAGCCTTTTGTCAGTCCACTGGATGACCCACTCGTTGCGGGAAGGCTCACGATCCACTGGACTAGGACCCTTCCACATCTTAACCATACTCCGCGACGCTTGCTAGTGCTGCTTGGGGGAGAATAAGGGACAGAGTACAGTACATTAATAGCTCGTTCTGCATCGCCCTCTGCTGCCCAACATGTCTCTAGCAAATTTCCGTGCGTTTTGGTTATACCCGTCAAAAACACTATCCAGGCATAACCCCGCGTAGCTTCCGAGACCGGGCACGTTACAGATGATTTGGACGTAGGGATACATGAATCGATGGGTACCAAGTCATTAATCTCCCAAGATTGGCAAAACACTCGCGGGATTGCTTCTCTTTGGCAGGGCTAGGCTTGGAAAATGCACTGCACACAAATCTTGATTTGACATTGTACGGCTAACTCAGCAACGTTATATGGGTAAGGCGTCAGGACGACCGTACCGAAAGGAGCCATTACAGCATCATTCACGCAAACGCATTCAAGTATTTTAACACGTATTCCATGCATAGCTGGGACACCGTCTCGGCCTCGCCCTTTTTCTCAGCATCTACCACGCCACGCGTTTGTCCCAGAAACCTACCTATGAATACTGTTTACCTGCGAAAGACAATTTTCTAAAATACAAAATCCTAGCAAATGATATATTTTTTTGCCAGTTGATTAATTGGCACAGCATGATTTAAACACGTCAATTTGATGGCAGTAATCACCGATACATTAATACAGCAGTGTGTAATGGAATGTTACACAAGAAGGTTGATTTTACAAGCTGAAAGAACTTGCATCGTATGAATGTTTTGAATACAGTCATGATAAGATGTAATACTTATCAAAAAGTCCGTTCAGTTTGTTTTATTTTTGACTTTAGATATGTTGTAAGACAGCAGCTTCTTGTTCATGAGTGTCATGCTTCTGTCAAAGTAAAAAAAAACGGCTAATCGTAAAAACGAATAATTTTATCCATGAGCGATTGCCATGCCATGGAATGAAATTTCACATTTGCACACCCGTCATGTGACGCGTGGAACTCCACTGGTAACGATGTGCAGCAGTCGATTTTATATCTAGTGTTTAGTGGAATAAAATAATAATTTAAAGACCTTTCTCAGTCCACTGCTGGATGAAGTTCTCCCCACACATCGTGTCAGTCTTGCAGCGTTGACCATACTTATTACGCTGGACAGTGGGAGTTGGTCAACAGAAGGCCCAGGACCAGTTTAGATATCATGTGTCACGAACGTTAAGCTGCGGCGGGGAATCAAACTCGGCTCGCTGGGTTCATAGCGCAGCTCCGATTAACATGGTCAGCTACGTCTGGTGCGAAAGAAGTTCAACGTACATACGTGTCAACCACTGCACCACACCCTTATAGTGTACAGGTTTGTGTAAACATACTATTTCTATTATTAAACCGCATGGGTGAATGACTAAATATCGGTAATGAATGCTATGGGTGTATTCAGTTACATAATTGTCATTAAGATTATTTTTAAATAATCTGATATTATTTTTACATTGTGAACATCTCAAAGTGTGGACGCTGTTGAAAGTTCTGGCGTGTGCGTGCCGCGTGATGGAATGCCCCTAGTCTCTTGCATTGTAGAGGAAGGGTTATTGTACAATGTTCTAATCCTAACTACACGTACCGCCTTTACTTGCCTTGAGCCTACATGAAACATAAACAAGATGACACGACGAAAATTCTGACAAAACAAAATAACTCGGCGTATTAGTACTACTATACTACGTACAATCTTTTAGACGCACCTGGTCAATTTGAAATTATTTTGCACTTAAATAACTTTTAAGCGAGATGCACAGAAAGAAAAAAAAAATTCACCGACAGTATTTGCCGCTCGTGAAATATCATTTAAGGGTTTTCTACAAACACTGACCTGCGCGTAACGAGAAGACGAAAAACGAACCGCGGACGCGACATTACAACGCGTTGGGGTTTCACCAAACGTCACGTGATATTGCACTTGAGTCAGGAGCGAGGTAGGACTTTTCAAAAGGCACTTTTAAAGCGAGGCCCCCCCCCCCCCCCCATTCTTCTGGGGGTGTCGGGGACTCGGTGGGGCGGCTTCCCCCCACCACCATGTAAGCCGTCACTAATCTCAGATTTGATGGTACACATCAGATTTGAGGTTTGCTAAAGGGTAATTTGACGATGAAAACACGGCTCAATTCTGGTTCCCTGGTGTGTCTGCACGGGGCGTGTCGAGAATGTAGCTCTTGAACTGAGGGCCTGGCACCTACATTATATTTTGGCAATCTGACGAGAACAGTGGCAGGTCTATTTAGATTTCAGAGATTTATACTTTTCAGACCAGGTTTAATCAATTCCCACCACCGAAATTTGGCTCTGCACAATATATAATGCAATCCCATTTCTGAAAAGTAATGCAAATATTGATTTTATTTTGTATAGTTACTGAAGATTTGTTTTGCTATCCATCTATCCATGCGTACACATCGCGACATAGAGCCTCGTCGTTGTGCAGACCCGTGGACGAATTTAAAACGTCTGGGTCTTCACCCTCTTGCGCATGCCTAGATGGAGAGCAACTCATAAGTCTGTGTCCAGATTAGCTAACCAGAAAATGGCTTCACTTCATGTGCAGCCTTTGTTGAACGCTGGGGAGTTTGCGATGAACCTTCAGTGTTCAAGAACGACCCAAACGTCGCGATCCCGTAAAGCAGCACACGTGGTTGGGGGGGGGGCGACGATGACGCGTTGGGTGGCTCCACCTGGGAGCGTGGCGCCCTGGGGGCCTCACAGCCCCGCTGTGGCATTGGTGGCGGCCCACTCAGGGTACTTGTCCAGGCCGAACATGGAGAATCCCCACGTGTGGATGGCCAGCATCACCACGGCCATGCCGATGATGTTCACGCCCAGCCCGGCTTTGACCTGTCGGCATAAAATAACAAAAAGTCACGCACACCGAGCCTCGTCCGACAGGAACTCTTAATTTTGTTGCCTTATTCATTTTCCCCTCAATGTTATCCCGATTGTGCTACTGGTGTCATGTCACCATACTGTGTCATGAGGCAAAGTACCATCGCATGACAATGATAACACAACCTGTGACACGTGACATGTCACAATACTAAAGTTCATGACGCGCAAGTATCCGTTAGAATCTCTGGCACGGCGGTTCACCGCCTCGTGTTGGAGAATGGCCCGTGGCAGCAGGTTTCACAGAGATCCGGGCCTCCTCGGGACGTATTTTGACATCACCTACTACTACGACTACCGTACGTCGATGGAACCCAAGTCCGATTTAATGGGACCCCGAACTGTGGGTCGTGTGCACAGATGCAGCCAAACACATGCCTATTATTATCCTATGAATAATATCTATCCCTTCTGTATGGGATAGAGTGTTGCTGCCTTGCACGTGTAGGTTTTCTCTGGGTGATCCGGTTTCCTCCCACATGTATAAACATTCATTGGTTGAAAACATCTTAATATAAAGAGGAACGCAGAACTTGGCCAAATTTTAACACCGGCTCACTGCATATACACTTTATAACACTAAACTTTAAAATTATATCCAGCCACAGCAAACATGTTCATTTTCCACTCCTTTTGTCTACAAAAGTGAACTGACCAGTGGTTTAATGGCAAAGTGTTGAGTCATCTGTCACTGGATAGAAATTTACGATTGTTTATCTGATTTATGCTTCCTGTACAAGCCGCAGTATTCGTGCCGAAGCCAATTCAATTTCACGTCGTTATTTTTGTTGGATGATGCATGTAAAATGTATGCTGCAGTATGAATCTGCAGGTTCCTGAGTGGTATGAGATACAATATCTGTTTTATAAAAAAAGTATTGATTATTACATGTAGTTTATGATTCATGGGCATAGGAATTAATTTTAATCGATTAACCTTTACATCTATAATGTAGCTACGACATGTCAGTTTTGCAAACAGCTAATGACGCTGGATGTGAAACGTCAGACAAAATTGTCAAACTCCTGCTTTTTCCAACATGCCTCCAGTTTTACCAAAAAGCCAAATCAAATGGGACATTTCGCCCGTGACGTGACAACTCCATTGGCTCTGTCGCTGCGTGGTAGACGGGTTATACAGTAAAAACAATTGACACTATACCTACACGACAATCTAACCCAAAATAAAATACGGATCACCCCGCAGCCAAAGCAAGAGGAAGTGTAGCCCTGGGTTAGGGCGCCACCTCTGACCCCCATGACCTGGTCAGACCCCGCCGTTACCAAGCCCCCCTGTGGCTGTGTGCGTGCGCGTGCGTGCGCGAAGCGCTGACGTACCATGTCGCGCACGCGCAGGTACCCGTAGCTGAAGGCGATGGCGTTGGGGGGGTTGGCGACGGGCAGCATCATCGCCAGGGAGGTGCTCAGCGTGGCGGGGACGGCCACGTACAGCGGGTTTACGTGCATATTCTCCGACTGGCATGGACAAATATAAAAGATCGCCCCCGCCAAGTCTTTAACAGACTGTTCGGGGAGGGGGGGGTGGGAGTGCCGTTGGCGAGCACCTCCGCTTGTGAAGAGCGACAGTAAGTGTACCACGCCTGTCCGCCTTTGTCTCCCCAGTGGTGACTTTTACGAGCCGCGCCTTTTGAGATCGAGTTGGACGAGGGGGAACTCGGGACTGGTTCAAATTGTCGCTCGCCACTTGATGGTGGCCACGGTCGGGAGTCGAACTCGGGTCGCCGGGTTCGTAGTGCAATGCACTGACTAACCTGCTCTCTGCCTGAACATGTCGATACATTGTGACATTTTCATACGAATACCCTTTTTATACTATACACATTTCTCTTGTTCAAAAGCAGATAGCTTCTGGCCAGGATGTGCTCCATTAAGAGCGCTTCCACTTATTTCTAAGAATCCCTAAACTCGGGCTGTTTGCGTGGCGAGTTCGACTGACCTAAGTGCTTCCATTCTCAGCGGCCATATGGTGGAATAAAATATCCTGCAGTGATTCATGCGTAGAGTAACAATCCAAGTGGGCTTTTTTTCTCGTGTGTGTACTGCCTTTTACAACTCGCCACACATTTGGTGTGGTTGATAAATCCAGCGGTGGCTCTGAACCCCGGGTGCCCGAGTTCGAGTCCTGGACACGGCTAGCACCAGTGCTCGGTGCAATCTGAATCGGTCTTAGGCCCCCCCCTGCCCCCCACCCCTTCACCAACCTGCATTGATCAGCGTGGTGAACGTCCGTGAACCTGTGTATTTGAGGCAAGGGTTGGTGGATTGCGTAGAGATTTGTGAAGCACGCTCGGCTGTGAGGTGATCAAGGAGACGGCAGTACAGCAAGTGGGTTCCCTGACTCATCTGTGCAGATCTTGAAATGTTGCTTACTCCCACGCACGACACGAATGGAACTGTCCAGCCATTCTCAAGCCCAAGGCCCTTCATCCAACACCGGTGTGTTGGAGAGTAAACCCACAACATTTACAATCTGAGTACGACGTTTTGCCAGCAATTACAAATCTGGCAGTCGCCTGCTGATGCCGGTTGTAATTAGTGGCGAAACGTCGTACTCAGATTGTAAATGTTGTGGCTTTGCTCTCTAACACACCGGTTCGCTGTACTAGTAATGAATCGGCATGTTCTGTTTACGTGACAAACCTTACTAATTGGCTGTGTCGGTGGTGGCTTGTTTAGCGACGCATTTATATCTGCGCGATCCAATCCCCCCAAAAAAACCTGCACTATGCACAGCATCGTTGTTGCACAGCACCGGTCGCTTACCAGCGTGCACAGGATGGGCAGGAAGAGCGTGATGGTGGCGGGGTTGCTGGCCACCTCCGTCACGGAGGTCACCAGCAGGGAGGAGAGCAGCACCACGAGCCACGGCGGCAGCAAGCCCAGGGGCTGCAGCTGAGAGCCCACCCAGAGGGACAGCCCCGACACCTGGTGGTGGTGGCGGCGAGGACAGGAGGGAGAGTGAGGTTGGCTCTCGCTTGTTTCCACCTCGTTCTCACACCCCCCCCTCCGTCACCCACCCCAACCAAGACGAGTTTGCTTCTTGTTGTACGGCTGATGATGTCGACGCAGAGCAGCAACTACGATTTCATGTTCAGGTGATCAAGCGTGGACAGCATCGTCACGAGTAGCGGAGTGGTGTGTCGCCGATGTGATGTCTCCTTCATATTTGTGGATCGGGGCATTGAGTCGTTATTTGTTGTACTATGGTCTGTTCTGGAACACTACTACTGGAGAGTTGTTAAGTTTCCATTTGTGCATCAGGTATCCGCATCATCTGCCATCTCCGGAGGATGATGCAACAACGCGAGTTTGCTGACCTGCCCATATTGGACATTCTGAAGATTCAAAATCTGAAGACCAGCTTTTGCTCACTGAGGGCCGAATAGGACTTTCAGATGCCATGAGTGGACAACCACTCATCAACACGTTCCGTTATCCAATAAGACACAACGACACGCGTGTGTTAACCGAGTATGAAGAGGCCCCCGCAGTGTCAGAAGTGACTGAACGCGCCAAAGTTAGTAACGCAGCGTTGCAAGATTGAAGATATCCCCATCTGGTACTCGATGAGGGCAGCGGATAGATATCCATGACAAAGTTTTTTTGGGTTACCTCACGTGAATGTAAATGTGTCGTACACCCACCTCCACCTGACAGACAGTTTGTAAGGTTCGCCAAGTGAACAAAACGTGGCGATGTTAAAACTACTTCAGCACACCGGTGCATTAGAAACGTCGTACTCAGTTGTAAACGTGTTGTGGCTTTTCTCTCCAGCAAACACTCCGGTGGAGCTGAAGTAGTCACACATTGGCACGTTCTGTTCCACGTGACGACCATCACGACTTGGCTGTGTCGTGTGGACGGTGTACGACACCGTTACATTTTACGCGCCTCGTATGGAACCGAGTCCCGGGGTCGAGGTTTCCCCAACCTGAACACAGAAGGTCGGCGAACTGCATCACTGGCTGTCCAATCAGTCTATTTTGTCAAGAGGTGGAGATTCAAGAAATTCCACAGGCTAGTTTCTGGTTGCGCAATACACGTGGTGAGCGTTCTACTGCCTTCTCTTCAAAGCGCTCGGCACTCCAGCTCGTCGGTTGTGACCGGGGAGCAGCAGCTGCCAGTAGCGCTCGGCAGCCCGCCTTTTAAATTCCTTTCGGGTGAGTTGTATGCACCCTGTATGCCTTACAAAGTGCCCCCCGGGCAGCGGTGGGCACTACGCCATGCTCAGCACTCGGGGTAGCGGAGTGCGATTTGCGGGGCAGGTGAAGTTCCTACCTGGCAGCCCGTGGCCTTCCCCTATCAAGCTAGCGGAGTGCGATTTGCGGGGCAGGTGAGGCTCGTACCTGGCAGCCTGCGGCGAGGGCGAAGCCGCCGCCCACGAGGATGACGATCTCCCACGGCATGCAGCCCTGGAAGTCCTTCCAGTTAATGAGCGCCGGGGAGCTGCCCCAGCTGTCGCTGGACTCCTCCGCGCGTTTTACCCCTAGGCGCCGCACGAGAGTTAGGGATTGAATAAGCGTACAGACAACAAACGGCGGCATCAGAGGGAGAGATGCGTTGCATCGATGGTTGGGAACGTCTGGTTTGATGGAGATGGAATGACTAAACAGGTTGTTGCTACCGGTGATACTACCGAGCAGGTTATGCTGCTGATAAAAACATTGATGTCTTTGATGATGATATTGGAGGACCATGATGCTACTGCTAATGATACTGTCGCTGATGTTTGTTTTTTACATTGCTTTTGTTGATCGTGACAATAGCGATAATGTCATTGACGATAATGTAAACGATGGTGATGTTGATGACGATATTGATCATTACATTGACAACAATGGTGTTGATAACAATTATGTTGATTATGACGATGACAACAATGTTGTCGATGATGTTGACGACGACTTTGATGATGATGACAACAGCGACCAAGACAATGACGATGATGTTGAAGGCAATGATGACGTCAGTGATGATGGTGTTCGGCCGTGTGGGCACCCCTACTCTGGGTCTTGGAGAGCCAGGGCAGTGGTGGCCTCTCCGACGGAACCACGAAGAGCAGGAAGCCCAGCAGCAGGGACACCGTGGCGTCCGTCTGGTAGCCCTTCCTGCTCGCACGCACCATGAGGAGCGCGGGGTGCACGTGCCAGCAGGAACGACGAGAAGAAGAAGAAGAAGACGCCTTTAGCACCCGGCGCGTAACGACACGTCGATTCACATCGGTGCTTGTGAACGCGATCAGCTCACGTGTTGCAGGTTAGTTGGCGGATCAATACATCGCAGGGAACGTGACATGTGGCGGCGGTGGCTTGGGGAGGCCTTCATCCAGCAGTGGATTGATCATGGGTAACGGTGATAATGGATCGGTTTGTGTGTGCGAATTTCCATTGTTTTCATGCAAACGATTTGCACATTTACCTTTGAGTCGGTGGATAATGATTTAACAATTTACGAACAAAATGTTAATATTTTGTTTAAAATAATGTTAATTTTAAAATGAATTCTCTGGGCCATGCATGCCGAGCTATGAGCATGGCACGTCAGTGACGCCCGTCCCTGTATAAGCGAATGTTGGATTTTTCAAATAGTTTGATCTGCCGGCCGCAAAATAAATATTCTGTATATATATATAAACGCCCAGGAGTAAGAAAGAATGAGTTGTTCTCGGCAGCAAAATATTTCTTTGGGTTAGTTTACGGTTAGGGTTAGGAGAGGTTATTTTATGGATTGGGCTTGGCAATGTTGACGTTAGAAGTTAGGTTGAGGTGAGAGTGGCATGTTACTTTAAGTCCATTGTAAAGATGAGCAACTTTCACAAATACATTTGGACAGTGCTCTTAAAATCCAAGTTCTAGTTGAATAATTCTCTGGGGTATAATGGCAGCGGCATGGTTAGAAAGCACACTGTGCTTCGAACCCTGGCCATCCGAGTTCAGTTCCCAGCCACGGCTCGCATAGATGGACGAGTGGCATCCGAACCGGTCGCAGGCCTCTCACGCCACCACCTTCAACCCGTACCGAAACGGCGTGGCTGAAGCATGGTCAAACAACCCCCCATGATGACCGACATGGCGTGCGTGGTGGGGGGGGGGGGGGGGGGGGGGGGAAAGAGGGCCTTCGTCCGGCAGTGGACTGACAACGAGGCCGTGAAATTATTGCGCAATTCTCTGACGGTCGGCGCGAGCGGACGTACAGGAAGAAGGACGCCCATCCCGGGACGAATCCGGGGTCGCGCAGGAACCACAGCAGCACCATGAGCAGGAAGACGCTGGCCGTCACCACTTCTTGGTAGCTGCAACCCCACACAGGCGAGGGGGCCGCGTCGGTTAACGGAGCGTCTCCCCATCCCCCGCCCCTCCACTCGTAGGGAACACGCAGCGCTGGAATGTCCAAGGGCCTCGTTCATTCAAACCCACGTTCTCCCCACCGAGCATCCAGTGGCGGGGTGGGGCAGGTGGGGGGGAGTTGGCAGAAACCCGTAGCAATTCGGCCGCTTTGTTTTTTCTACAGGAAGCTATTTTTTCCCCGTCTCGATGCAAATTTCGACCGCGGAAGTGAACGGCGCCGTCCGATTTGTAAACGAAGTAGCCAAGGCGTGGGGTTAGGATTAGGGGTGGTGCGAGGGCTATCATCGGATTGGCCAGTACACCAGTGGGAGGAAGGGCCACTGAATCCGTCTCAAATAGAATTTGCAGCGCGATTGGTCCACATGTGCTCCTCCTTCGTATGCAATGCAATGGGTATTTTCACATTAACATCCCATGAACTTTAAGAGTTCGCAACACCACAATGAGATAAAGGATTTTTGTTTTTATTGCTAAGTATGGCCGGAAAAAACTAAAGTCTGTTTGAATTACACGTCCAGATTAAAGTACACGACGCTAGCTATTGGCGCGAAGGCTGCAAAGGGGATGTGTGGGAGACCGCAAAGTCCGTTGCAATTACGATCCGGCGAAAAATCGTGCCACGCCGCATTGGCCTGGAGTTTGGCTAAACGCGAGTGAAAATCTGGAGGAGAGAGGGAGGAATGAAATCGTGGTCCCTGAACCACGTCAGCAATTTGTACCACCTAAGGTAACAAACCTGTCGTGATAACTCACTCATTTCAAATGGGTATCACATCATTCACTGTTAGCGGCTACAGCACGTAATATGAACCACTGAAGTTATACCACCACGGATGGTACCGACGAGTGAAGCGTGTGGCATGGGCTTGAGGACTATGAGTGAGTCCAGGGGGCGGCACCTGTAGGTCATGTGACCTCACACACCTGATGGGGCCCAGCTTCTCGTACTCCTGCCGCATGCGCCGCTCCGACATGCGCTCCTGAGTGCTCAGCGTGCCCGAGCACAGGCGACGCAGGTCCCAAATGCTGGCACACACAGAGACAAAGACAAAGATACCCCCATATAGCCTTCACAGACTGTTGGGGCAAGTGCTGTTAGCGAGCACCTATGAAGGCCGGCACGGGACATGGCAGTGGGTGGCCAGCACCACGCCCGACCGCCTTTGTCTCCCCGGTGGTGATATTTACACACCACACCAGGTACTCATTTGTGGTTGAGTCGACCTAAGGGGAGGCCCAGGACCGGTTCAGATAATCGTCACTGATGTTGGACGTGAGCGGGAATCGAACTGGTGTTGCCAGGTTCCTTAGTGTGGCGCGCTAACTGCTACACTACCCCTCCCACACACACACATACGTCGGGACACATACACGGTGTATGTATGAATGATGATGAATTTCTTTCGCACCTTACGTAGCCAACCTTGCTTTTCAGACGTGTGGGGGAAAGACAACAAATTAAACACCAAAAAGCAGTTCTAAAGAAAAGAAAAACTGGGATTGTTTTTGGAGGAACTCGCCCCTGCCACGGCTCAAGTCCAACTCCAATGCTAAGCCTTGTCCCCCCGTCCCCCCGTGAAGGAGGAGAGAGGTGAATGCCATCCTGAGACCACTCGCCAAACTTAGCGCTGTGACCGCAGCAGCGACTTTGTTGGAGCTATTCTGAAAGTGACCCCGTGCCCCAGACGGAGCCCTTTCTCCCCCCCCCCCCCGCCCCCCCCACACCCCCTGTGTCGGTGGGATGTCGAGCACTGTGGAACGGATAATTAGCTAACATCAGGCTCTGAAAATATCACCGGTGGTCGAGAAATAATGTCAGAGGGGCAGCCGAAGAGGGGGACGTGTCTAAGATGAGTTTAAAACGTAGTGGGCTTTCACGACCAATATTATGCTAGTTGTAATTACTGGTGAAACGTCGTACTCGAATTGTAAATATTGTGGGTTTACTCTCCAACACACCGGTGTGCTGTACGAGTAACACATTGGCATGTGTTGTTTACATGAGAAACCTTACTAATTGGCTGTGTCGGATGGTGGCGGGTTTAACGACACATATTTACGCGATCTAACCAAAAAACCTCTTAGGTGTCTAAGATGACGTCTGCTGTGAAGATGAAGCGATGAAATTAGCTCATGCAGATTGATGCATCGCAGGACCTTGAGAGACTGCGACAGCTTGGGGAGACCCTCATCCAGCAGTGGAATGAGCATGGCCGATGATGATAGGGATGATGGTGAAAATAGCCCATGCTTAGCTGAGGGTAAACACATTCTAATTGAATGAGTGCTATCCACTTGTCAGTGTGGAATTTCCCCCAGACATTCTTGTCAAGAGGTAGGAGGTAGGCAATGTTCCACCCTTGTTCGAGTGGGTGGAAGGACACTTTCAATTCTACTGCTCCATTCAAGAAAGCCTCATTGGGTATCAGGATTAGGAGCATGTTTTTATTTTGGGAAAACCCTGCATTGGTACATTTGGCCCAAGTTATATACACGGGTCCTTTTCTCCCTCCTCCCTCCGCCTTCCTCCTCCATCCATCCTCCGCCCCCTCACCGGAAGCCCAGGAAGAGCCAGGTGAGCCACAGCCAGGTGAAGATGAGCAGCAGCAGAGCCACGGGGAAGCTGAAGAGGAGCCACGAGCCGAAGTGGATGCACTCGCACGCCGGGTAGCGGCTGCACGCACCGGGGTAGCGGGACGCACCACACGTCGCTCAGCATCATCGCAGCGGGGGAGGGGGGGGGGGGTGGCGGGCTGGAGGTGGCTAAGATTCCCCTCTGCGCCCTGCTGAAGGCTCAGCCTCCCTTTTCAAGTTTTATAAATTGAGGAAGCAAAAAGCACAGCCCTGCAATTGCTCGCTCGTGCCATTGCTGGCGGGAGGGCCTCCACTTGAGGTAGCTCTAGAGAGGCCACACAGAGGGTATCAGGCTGGCCAGCCGCGTCTTAGAAGGGGTGGAAGTACGCACACTTCACCACGCCACACGCGATCTGCCCATCGATTAACCATGGCGTACCCGCTTGTTTTGCCGGGTGGGCAGGGATGGGAGAGATCAGATTGCAAATCCGCCGCGCTAACCGTTGTCACCACGGCAGCATGCCATACGTTTTAACTTCACGTGGTCTTTTCCAAGTTAACTCTTCTCCAGCTACCCGGCCGCCACACAAGACGCCAGCACCGAACTCACTTGCTGAACTGCTCGGCGAAGATGAGATTAGTGGAGGTGCCCGGGATGGTGCAGAGTCCCCCGATGGTGGAGGCGTAGGCGACGGCCAGGGTCAGGCATTTGCCCAGCGTCCTGTTCGTCTCGCCCTTGCCCGCCGACCCTCGCTTCCCCGCGAGCACCGTCCTCTCGCTGGCCGGGCTGTCGAGACCGCCGCGTCGCCCCTCTGCCTCCCCGTCGCTCGCGGCGTCGTTGGCCGAAGCGGCGGCGCAGCCGTTGGGGACGCCGCGGCCCGCGACGCGATCCTGTGGCGTGGCGGAAAGGCCGAAGGTCGCGACATCTCGGCATGGCCCGTCCAGCGCCGTGATGACCTCCGTTGCCGACGCCGCGATGACCTCTTGCTGCGAAGGCGAGGGGGGTGGGTGGGTGGGTGGGGGGCAGGCGGAAGGCCGTTGAGAGGCGGGGACATTACTCGCACCACGGGGTCGCAGTTCGAAAGGTCACCTATGGGTCACCGCTGGGCCACGGGAGGTTTGCAAAGACGTTGTCCAGGACATGCCGAGAGAGTCGGCCATCTGAGCGGGCGAATGCCAATTTAATGCATTAAACCAAACCGAGGTGTTGTTGTTTATAATCGAGAGCAGACCTGGAGTTAATTAAAATTGCAATTACAGCAGCCGTCTTAGTTGAAATTAGAAATTTTGTTTTACAAAAAACGCAAATGACCAAAATTACATTTCATTGCAATTCATTACAAATGACGCAACCACAAATGTAATTAATCCTTTGTCGGATCAATAGCTTGAATGCACAGCGATGCAGTATTTGGCACATCTTAGCCTAATTGAATGTACTAATGAATTCACGTTAAAACGTGCACTTTGTTAAAAGGAAATCAAATTTTCACAGATGCCAAGTTGGGGTTGGGTCAGAACCTTACAACAACAAACAGGACAAAACACGATAGGAGTGCAAAGTATATGAAAGGTAAACAAATCATTTTACTAAATATCCACAAGTAAAATTAAACTCTTTTATCCGATCAGCAAGCAGGACCATGCTTGGAACTTTGACTGATGACCATATCATTCTCAACGCTCACAATCTCGTCAGATCTAAGACGATAAGCAGCGCTGAGGCCGGAACGTGCTTGGATGCCCGACCACCGCACGCAAACAGTGTTAGAGGCTGCTGCGTGGGCAGCAGAGAAAAAACATCTATCCTTATACTGTACTATTCTCCCACGTATATGCGCCCCGCCTCTATCAACCCACACTGACCAGCGTGGTGAAGGATGGTCAAACAACCACCCATGACTCCCGTATGGCATGGGAAAGCCCTCATCCAACAGTACATAGGGCTGTACGTGTACGTGATGGCGCTTGTCGACATCAAGACCAACAACCTTGGAGACAGCTGTGTTCGAGTACTTCAGCAGGTGCATAGAATATTTCATAACATCACAAACGCAATGTAAAAAAAAAGGATAAATGGGTTTTATGAAAGTGCGTCGACTTACCTGATGAAAGGCACTGATCTTGTCACCATCCTGAATACTGCACACAGGTGACACGTCATCAACTCAGGAGGTGCTTTGTAATACCGACACCAGCAGACGAAACTTCCGTGCGTCAAATTAAGTGCCAAATGGAATTCCGGCGTTGGCCCCTGTACCTCTGGCTAACGGTCACCACCGTGGGCTCCTCCTTGAAGTCCACGGTCATCTCGTCGTCAGAATTGTCCACATCAAAGCTGGCAACGCCTGGCGCATGCAAGACGGGCAAATTGATGTTAGTTTTTGTTTGTTATCAAGAAGAAGTAATTGTAAATAACGGGATTCCACCGTGATGCCTCAACGCAAAAGTCTATGAGCAACGCAGCTTCATTGTTACGAATTCAAATGTTTCGCATCCAAACTAAACGGAACTTGTTTGCTTCCAAGAGGCAGCTTTCGCAATTCATATTCGTGATTAAAGACAGACGACAGGAAAGCAACGATAAAAGTTAAAACGGAACTTGTCGGGCTCAATACCTGCCTCTCCTCCTCTGCCCGTGAAATCTCTCATCTCCGAAGGGATTTCAATCGCACCTCACTTTCGGCACGCGAGCAAAATTCCCCCGACGCGCACGTCCCACTTTTCGTACGGCGTCCGCGGATGCAGTCACATTTTCGACAGGACAAACAAATCCAAATCGATCTGCGCCCCCGGTCGCCCTCTTTGTGAGAAGCAATGCGGACATCATCGCGGCACCCCCCCCCCCCCCCACACTTCCCCCGGTTCCCCCACACCTCACCGAAACTCAGCTGCGGGTCGGACGTTTGCCGCACGCCCTTCGGCAGCAGGGCGGTCGTCGAGTCATTGCCTCTCATGGCGGCGCCCTCGCTAGTGACGGCGGACGCGGTTTTGCCGCCACCCCCGCAGGTTGCCCCGTCCTCGGCGAGCTGCGTCAGCACGGCCTCGGCAATCGGCATGACTAGCGCCGAAGTGGACGTGTTGCTGAGCCACATTGAGAGGAAGGCGGTGCACACCATGAAGCCCAGCACCAGCCTGGGGACAGCGGGCGCAAGACGGGGATGGGGCACGCACGTTACTCATTGCTGTGTAAGCCTGCAAGCCTCTGTGTAAGCCTACGGGCCTCTGTGTAAGCCTATGGGCCTCTGTGTAAGCCTACGGGCCTCTGTGTAAGCCTATCGGCCTCTGTGTAAGCCTACGGGCCTCTGTGTAAGCCTACGGGCCTCTGTGCAAGTCTATGGGCCTCGTGTAAGTCTACGGGCCTCTGTGTAAGTCTACGGGCCTCTGTGTAAGCCTACGGGCCTCTGTGCAAGTCTATGGGCCTCGTGTAAGTCTACGGGCCTCTGTGTAAGCCTACGGGCCTCTGTGTAAGTCTACGGGTCTCTATGTAAGTAAATTTGTCTATATGTAAGTTCAAAGGTCTCTGTAATTTTATCAATAGTTGTACCAAAGTGCCACCGCCCCCTCCCCCACCCCCATTGAGAAGTTGATAGATCTGCCACTGGATGTGCTGTCCGCGGATCAGGAGGAACAGGAACGTACAGGCTGGGCCGGGCGCCAGCAGCCGTCACCATGCGCAGCGCGATGCGGCGGTGCAGGCACCACTTCTCGATGGCGGCCGTGAGGCAGATGACGCCGAGCAGCAGGAGGGTGGTGTCCTTGAAGTACTCAGCAGCCACCTGCGCACGACGCCGCAAGAGTTGCGGTAACGTCACGGCCATTGTCAAGTCCACAAAAATCGCCGCAACATTGACGCCCATGACATCGGCGGAGTATCGGCGTTATGTTGCCGTTACCGTCTCCAATACACCGCATTGCAACGGTGATAATTGGTGACTACACTTTGCTGACGAGTCCTAATGAGCACAAAAACAGTCCACATTTGTCTATCACCGCTTCACTGCGGCCCGTTAGCAGTCACATTTTCTCAAATGTATTCCGGTGACCTAAGATGAGGAGACCACAATGCATTTCCTCAGGAAATGCTGATGGGTTTTTTTAAGCATGAGCACGCATGCCTATACTTTTTATGCATTGTTGTGTCTTGCTTGAAACTTAGCTACATCAACGATAACGCCGGCGTGAGCTCGCCAATGTCACAGCGGTGTTCCATCACCGTGACTGTCACCTCACCAGACATCACCGTCACTTTCACATCGCTACCACATCGGGTGTTATTTCGGCTGCTACATCATCATCATAGCCCTTACACCAACAACTCTCCTGCTGCCAAAACACCACCATCGAATTACCAGCACCGTAATGAAAGTCGCATCACCATGATTCACCGCATCAGCATTATGGTGGAAAAAACGTATCCTCTAATCAACGGCACAGTGTTCAGAGTGGGCGGCTCACCCTTCTGGCATCGATAAAAGGAGTGCCGCATTGCGGTGAGCGGTCACCTGTCATTGCTATGTGGTGCGACTAACTCCTGCCATTGGAATGTAGAATTCCTACCATTGGTTCAGGGCAGTGAACAGGAGCTTACAAGCACCACGTGCTGGTTCGAGCGGGAAACCGCGTTTGATTTTTGATGAGAATCGATGTTGATAACGATGATGAGTTGTTATGAATCTCAAGACTATCGCAATGATAATTGCCGATTATAAAACGCTACCGCGGGTGATAAAATATACATTAAAAATTAAAATTTTAAAACCCGCTTTAATGAAATGTACCGTACGAGTAATGGCAGAACTCCACGACTCCAGGAAGTGGCCCCGAAGCTTGCCATAACGTAAGGGGCCGTGGCCAATTACAACCAACGTCAGTTGACCGTAGACAATGAGACCCAAGCCGAAACATAAGATATAAAAAATATTACTTAAAATATATATATATTTTAAAATTATAAAATATAGTATTGTCACCAGTATGACATACGTATACCAAGTTTGCAGTCGATACGACATTGGGAAGTGGGTTAAAATTGAGTTACAAGATTTGAGAATACAACAGACAGAGTGAGTTAACTAAAAGCGTGTAAAAAAACTGCTAAAAACGACGATCGGAGCAGTGACGAGACGGGTTAACTGGTGTCCCTCGCACAGGGCGCTGCTGCAGATCACCTGGCTGGAGCGCATGATACCCAGCAGCGGATAGAGCATGGCTGGGAGCAGTGCGGCGGCTCCGAGCGGCACTGCCTCGGACACCCACAGCGTGGCTGTGAGCAGCACCGTGTACGCGCATGCCGCCTCCTGCGTATGCACGTAGATACACGCACGCACGCACACACGCGCACGTCCGCATGAACACAGATACAGATCCCCCAATAGAGCTTTTAACAGACTGTTGGGGAATACACAGTAAGGCTGGCACGGTACACCTGGGGGTGAGCGGCCACCATCACGCCCGACCACCTTTGTCTCCCCAGTGCTGATATTTTTATGTTTACACACAAAACGAGGTACTCGATTAAGGCTGAGCCGACCTAGGGGGAGGCCCTGGACCGGTTTAGATGTTCGTTACCAATGTTGACTGCAAGCAGGAATCTGATTCTGAATTATATGCAGTGTTTGCAATGACGTGGAGGGATTAATGTTGGTCAGTATAGTGCATTTAAGACCCTGAGAGCAGAAAATAACAATTTGCCTCCTGACCTCTACTGATGCGGAGAGAGTAGGGGTCACGTTGATGGAGTGGATGGAGCGTTGTGTAGATTTGAATCGGGCGTGATGGTGGAGACGGCCGGGCGTGGTGTTGGCCACCCACCCCCTCGTGTGCCGTGCCGGCTTTTATAGGTGCTCGCTAACAGCACTTGCCCCTACAGTCTGTAAAGGCTATGCGGGTGATCTTTGTCTTTGGTGCATGCCAGTAAGTTTGCGCTCTGGAGGCGAGAGTGGGTGGATCGTGGAGAAATTTATGAGACTGCGAGGTGACCAGCAGACGCCAAAGCAGGAAATGGCTTTGTGAACCCACTCGTGTCGACCTTTATTACCCCCTCCCGACCCCACATTGAGACATGGGGGGGGCAGGGGTGGGTGAAAGCACCTCCAATAAGCACAGTTAGCTACAAGCAGTGTGGTGCGAAAGAAGTTCAACATACATAGATACAAGGCGTTGCTGGACTCATGACACAAGACCCCACCTACATACACTGGGGCAAGAGAACTCTGCATTAAAAACAACTCGTGGCATCTTTAGCTTACGCTAGATTCCTCCCGCGCTCGAAACTTCTTAAAACAAAACTCACCAAACATCCCCAATGCAAGGGGACTCTCGTGGGAGAAAAAATAAAAACATCTTGAGGCTAGCGGACATCAATCAGCGAGGTTACGACTATTCACACAACCGTCATCACCAAAGTTTGCGAGCAGAGGCGAGACGCGAAATGATCTTGCGAGAAATTCGGGCTGCATGGAAGCCAAATCAGGTGAAAAACGCAGCGACGGACAGAGAGAGATGGACAGACGGACCGCTCCGCAAGGGAGCTATCACACCCCACCTGCATAAAAGGCCGAGCAACGAGACGGAGAGAAAGACGGAGAGAGAGTCTCATGGAGCCCTGCGTGTCGGTGTGCGAGTGGAACCCGTCCCGGTCTGTGCCCGCTCAAGCTTATATGGAATTCTCGCACCCCTGCACGACTTTCTCGAATGCGTGTCTTGATTGGGCGGAGGTCAGGAGAGGCGAAACAGGGTCGATACATCGAGGGGGGGGCAGTGAGGGGGGGCGGTGGGGGTTGAGAGAAACAAGGGGACTCTGGCTCATAAACACGTCAAGAGACCCAGACTGAGTAACTGCGCAAGCCAGATTAAGCTGACGACGAGGGACACTGGTTTGCCACATTTTTTAAAATATATATAATTAAATCCTTTCGGCATGAACGCAAAATAAACATGTTTACTGCAACCGACTTGTAATATTAATAAGAATTATTATGCCATTAGTTATCCAGAAAAGCCTTACGGAGGCCCATGAATCTCTTGTTCAGGAAGGTCCTGCGTTGGGATGTTTGGCCAACTCCATTAACGATCGTTTTCGCTTCACGTGGGAGTGAAGTGGAGTACCCATAGCAGACCCTGCCATGCATTTGGGGGGGGGGGAGGTGACCCTCACCGTTCTGTCACTGTTTTCACGATCGCTGTTTGTGATCCGTCCCAAACTCTCAAGCCGTTGTGCAGCGGTCGACTGTTCAATTAAGCTTACGAAACATAACCATGGCGCCTTCGTCATAGCCTGTGCACTGCAAGAACTGTGCGAATAGCAAATGTACTTAGTTTATTTCATTACTAAAAAACGTTGATTATGAATATTTCATTACTATTTTAAGTTTTGCTTCGTTCAAAGAAATTATTGCTTTACTACCATCTCCTGGTCATATTTGCAACCCAAGTCTACAACACCTGGCGTTCAATCCCAGGCAGTCTGCCAACCAGATATTAACCAAGTTCAGCAGTGAGATTCAATCAATTGCTGGACCGTCATCTATACCAGGCTATACAATTTGTTTTCTCAAAATGTTATGAATTACAATTCATGTCAAGGAGGTAGCTTATTTTGTACGTTTTGGTAAAAAAAAATGGGTTACTTAAACCCGTGCCTTTAATCTCTTACGTAAACAGCATTGTGTTTGTGCAATTTTAGTTTCCAGGCACAGACAGGGCACATTTATCTCGAGTTGGATTTATTGTTCATTTACAGAGTTAAAACTATAGTAAAAGTTTGAGCAAGGCTAAACCGCAGGTTGGCTGAGACCCAGGGCTAACATTCGCTTCTGTAATCCGAGCAGCAAACCACGTGCATGCATCGCCTCCGCAATGTATCACAGTTGCAACCAATTCGCCGTAATAGTTCCTGCCGCCAAACCGTTGAGGAATAAGGATTCGTGCACTGATACGTAATACATTTCTTAAAAAATATATTTTTTAAACAGGTCAGTTCATATTCTCCCCGCTGTTCAGAGGTCCAATTGCTTTTTTTCTGTCGACTTCCACAGTTTCATACAGATTGTGCAATTTACATCATGCCATGAGATGGAGTACCCATTTATATTTTCAGAGCTGGAATTTTAGGCGAATTAAGTTCAGAACTAAATGTAATGTGCAGTCGTTGGTGACCAGGCTCAAACGATAAATTCGATACCCAAGAAAACCTAGTCTCATCACAGCTCAGTCTATGTGAATATGTATGCAAGTTGAAATTATTTTGTACCGTACGTGGCCAACCGTGCTCTACGCGAGTCTGTGTGTCTCTGTGTGAATCAGCGATGACCGATATGAGGCTAAGAACTCTCCACATTTGAGAACCTGCTTTAATTGCAGGTCGCTGAACCTGGATTCGAACCCAGGATCCTCAGCGGTGCCATGTCACCGACCTGACCTCTGTGTCACCCAGCCACCACGCTCAGAGCAATTTGCTTAAAAAACAAATACAACACCGAGCTCCTACATTCATAACATTTCTGATTAACTCATTTATACGATGCAAAGTTGTAAAAAAAAGAATCCTAAAGTGTTTTGAATCTGTAGATTCTCATCGTCTTGTGTTGCATTGTAAAGATTGCTCGGCATAAGGCCATCGGCCCTTTTATGGGCTCCACTTATCTGTGACATTTACCCTATACCCTGTTTGTATTGACTTCAAACTCAAACTGCTGATACCAGCAAGACGAAGAAAAACAACAAAAGCTGATATGCGTGAAAACATAGAGGTGCATGTGCTGGGAATTTCACTTGAAGCAGAGAGCACAACTTTTGAGATATCGGATTGGCTGTAAAGAAAAGTGAGTTGGAGCAGGATGCCTGGCTAAAAGGGTTGATGGCCAATGCTCAAGACAGACATCATATTGTACGTGTTAATGTTGAACTTTTTTCGCACCGTACGTAGCAAACCGTGCTAATGGGAGGTGCGGAGATTGGCAACCAACGGAGGGAAAATGTCCACCATGGAGAAGATGGAGTGATGGAATCGGCTCGTGTGCACGAGCTAAATGGATTGTCACATCAGGCGACGGCTTAGGGAGGCATTAATCCAGCAGAGGATATATCATGGCTGATGGCAATGATTGATGATGATGATGATGGAGACAGCCCTAGGAGATTGAGATCTCAGACACATTCAATTTGGGTTCCTAGTAGTCGTTCTGGTTGATTACTTAATACAAAACCACAATGGCAATTCAATAGCAAACACTACCCGGAGCTTTCAGAACCTCCCCAAATACACTTGCATGAGACACGGCGCTCACGAGTACATTTCTCCATCCAATTTGGTGGTGCAATATTTTATTCCACGTCTTGGCCCAGGGCGATTGAAGGATGCTCGCCACTCACTTCACTCAGAAGCAATAACCTGCTGCATCAGTCTTCCCAACAACATCGCTTTTAAAGAGCCAGTGCCAGCCGCTCACAGATATGTGTAAAGAGCTCATTAATAACTCGCGAGCGAGTGAGAGTGTGCGACTTGCATGAGATGGCCACAGGACATTCGTGACTTAGCCACCAAGTGCCCAGACAGTGATGTTATCGCCATCAATCAAAAGGAGCATCAGCAGCAGTAGCAGCCATTGTCTACGAGGCAGATATTCAGACGATATGAGAACGACTTATTCACAGCTGATATTTACAAGAAGAGAGGGAGATGAGCGATGTAGGAGATATAATTAGACGCGTCGTATAAGAGATAATCGGCCATGATCTATCTACTGCTGGGCGATGGCCTCCCCACACCGTCGCCACTATACAGAGCAGTGTTCGACAACTATTAAATATACTCAATGGCAGTGAATGGTTTGTTTGTGCGCCTGTGCGTTCGTGTGTTGTCCTATCAGTGAGATTCTTCGATAGGTAGGTGAGGTTGCGTTGGCTGTGGTGCTTGCAGAGCGTGAAAATGTACTTACGGGAACCGACTTTTTAACCCATGCTGGGATGGTGGTGGCGCATTCAGTTTCGTGTGCGTGTCAAACCACCGCGTGGGTTTCCGTGGCTGTGCCATGCAGCTGGTAGGCTGGAGAATGTGTCACATAATTACTCGTAGCCACGGCCATAGTGAGAGGTATCATGGCTGATACTGGATGCAAGGAGGCTAGGAGCGGAAATGTTTTCTGGGTCACCGACCTGCACAGACCCAGCCGAAATGAATCTATCCCGGCCTACGCTCCTGCGCCCGCTGTGGCTGGAGTGCAGTGGAGGAATACGCGGCCATCAGCCGGCGAGTTCTCTACTTTACCTTGCTTCTCCACAACAGCGGCAGAGGCAGCAACAAGAGCGGGGCGAGCGTGGCGATCAGCAGCCGCCGCCCGGACCAGAGCTGTCGCCACATGATTCACGCCGCCCAACACGTGACCATGCCCTGTTGACCTGCAAAGACAAAGATCCCCCGTATTACCTTCGACTTCTGGGACAAGTGCTGTTCAGCGAGCACCTATGAAGGCCGGCAGGGAACGCAAGGGAGTGGGGTGGCCAGCCCCATGCACCAGGTACTCATTTGAGGCTCGGTCAACCTTGGAGAGGCCCAGGACCGGTTCAAATATTCGCCACTGTTATTGGTCGTGAGCAGTAATTGAGCGTTGGTGTACGGTGCTTTTTTCTGGAATTTTTGCTCTTTTTTTTCCTGGATATTCAGTTTGCACATAGTTACATAGTCACTTTAAGATGTTTTCTTGTTCATGTTTTTGTTTTTTCTTTGTTGCGGTTGCACCCGATTCAAGAGCCGAATGGCTCACAGGGCTATACCAAATAAATTTACTTAAAACTTGAGCTTGGGTCGCCGGGTAGCAGCGCGCTTAACCGTTACACTACCGCTCCCCAACACTACCACTGTTGATCTGCTCACACGCGCGCACACAAACAGCCACAACAAGCCACACTCTCTGTTTACCCCGGAGAGTCTCCGTGAGTCTCAAAGTTCTCTTGCTTTTTGTTCAGGAGGGTCCTACCGCAAGGGGATTTTGGCCGATTGCATGGATGAGTGTGTGGCTTTTTCTGGGAGGAAACCGAGGAACCCGATGAAAACGTGCGTCCGTAACTGTGAGGCGCTTGATGAGTCTCGGCACTTTTTTCAGGAGGGTCCTGCGGCATTGGGGATATTTGGCCGATTCCATTGTTACTCTAGCGGCCTATTCGCCCTCCAGCGATGAAGATAAGCCTTGTTTACCTGGAGAAAGAATCACTTGTCAGTATATGCATCTTATCGGTGCAATGCTTATCCTTGGTGCGGTGGTTATAACACTGGGTTATAAACCCGGTGACCTCAGTTCGATTCAAAGTGGTTGGGGAGTGAAAACTCGGCCGGTTGCGGATGCCATGTCTGTTGTGCAGTGCGGTCACCGCTGTGCCACCGGCTTCACATCATGAAATTATGTATTGCAATACACATTGCATACGTGAATGCGAAGCCTTATGACAACATCAGCCCGAAATTAATCCCGAAAGCGAATGCAGTGGCCGATCCTGGACGGGCAACACATCCTGAGAGTTGGTGACCCACACATTGTGCAACAGAGAGGTGCAAGAGTTAAAGTTGGACTTAAAACTTTCGTGACTGCAAGAATTCATATTCTTGGTTCGTTCGGTAAAGTCACGTAGATAGAAAATAAAAATAAAATGTAAAATAAATTACAAAAAATTTAGGCAAAAAACCCCACGATGTTTCGATCGTTTGTGTTGCGATCGAAACGTCGTGGGTTTTTTGATTTTTTATTTATTTTAAATTTTATCTCAATTTTTATTTTCTATCTCTGTGACTTTACCGATATAACCAAGAATATATGTTCAAGAGTTGATTGCGTTGCGGGCAGCAGAGGGCAGTGCAGCTTACCCCAGTTCCGCATTTCTCCCCACCACCACCACCAACCAACCCGCACTGACCAGCGTGGTGAAGTATGGTCATTCAAACACGGGCCCCACGTGTCATAGCGTGCACGAAGTCGTGATTCGGAACTGCTACGGGTATATCTATACCTCGAAACAAATAACAGCGCAGAGCCCCGGGAAGTAGTGCAGTGTAGATGATTTGACGGCATTTGTCTTCTGTCCACCCGCATCAGATGTGCGGGCTAAGGCTGGCAGGCCGGCCGGTAGGCACGCTGTCTTATAACCACACGAACGCACCGGTTCCGGGGCGACCGATTTGAGGCTCGGTCGACCCCGTGGGAGATGAACACCCGTCCAAATGTGATGTTGTACGCACACGCGTTCACGCGCACAAAGCCACGCGTACACACACAGGACTCGATATGCACGCGCGCACACACACACACGGCCTCCATCTAGTCTCTCTGACACGCACGTGCACGCACGCATACACAAACCATCACACACACAAACCATCACACACACAACCATCACACACAACCATCACACACACAACCATCACACACACACCCTCACACACACACACAAACCCTCACACACACACAAACCCTCACACACACTCGCGCACACACAAACACTCACACACACACAAACCCTCACACACACACAAACCATTACACACACACAAACCATCACACACATCCACTCACACACACAAACCATCACACAAACCATCACACACACAAACCCTCACACACACACACAAACCCTCTCACACACACCATCACACACACACACAAACACGCACACACAAACACACACAAATCATCACACACAGACCATCACACAAACACACACAAACCATCGCACACACAAACCATCACACACACTCACAAACACTCACACAAACACTCTCACACACACAAACACTCTCACACACACAAACCATCACACACACAAACCCTCACACAAACCCTCACACGCATAGCGGGGTCTTTATAAAACACAACCCCAAAGACAAAGATACCCCCCCACATTACAGCCTTCAACACAGACTGTTAGCGAGCACCTATGAAACCCGGTACACGATGGGTGGCCCGACCGCCTTTGTATCCCTAGTATTTGCACACCGCACCAGGCTACTCACTTGAGGCCGAGTCGACCTTGGGGAGGCCCAGGAACGGTTCAGATGACTGTCACCTTGTGTTGGCCTCGGGCGGGAATCGAACTCGGGTGGCCGGTTTCGTAGCTAACAAACCTTCGCACACAAACCATCACACAAACCATCACATACACCATCACACACACAAACCATCACATACACCATCACATACACCATCACACACACACCATCCCACAAACCATCACACACACACAAACCATCACACACACAACCATCACACAAACAAACAACCATCACACACACACCATCACACAAACCATCACACACACCATCACACACACACCATCACACAAACCATCACACACACACACAAACCATCACAAACTCTCACACACCATCACACACACACCATCACATACACACAAACCCTCACGCACACAAACCATCACACACCATCACACACAAACCCTCACACACACACAAACCCTCACACACACACAAACCCTCACAAACACACACAAACCATAACACACACACAAACCATCACACACACACAAACCCTCACACACACACACCAACACACACACACACACCAACACTCACACACACAACCATCACACACACACAAACCCTCACACACACACAACACTCACACAAACCATCACACACACACAAACCCTCACACACACACACAAACCATCACACACACCATCACACACACCATCACACACAAACACTCACACACAAACCATCACACCCACACACAAACCCTCACACACACCATCACACACAAACCATCACACACACAACCATCACACACACAACCATCACACAAACAACCATCACACAACCATCACACACAAACCCTCACACACACACAAACACTCACACAAACCATCACACACACACAAACCCTCACACACACACACAAACCATCACACACACCATCACACACACCATCACACACAAACACTCACACACAAACCATCACACCCACACACAAACCCTCACACACACACAAACCATCACACACACCATCACACACAAACCATCACACACACCATCACACACAAACCATCACACACACAACCATCACACACACAACCATCACACAAACAACCATCACACAAACCATCACACACACACAAACCCTCACACACACACAAACATACACACACACACAAACCCTCACACACACACAAACATATACACACACACAAACACTCACACACACAACCATCACACACACACAAACCCTCACACACACACAAACACTCACACACACACAAACACTCACACACACACACAAACACTAACACAAACACTCACACACAAACCATTACACACACACAAACCATCACACACACAAACCATCACACACACAGCGGTATCTACCACACGCACACAGCCTCATACACACGCAAACACACATGCAGACACACACAGACACATCAAAGACATCCAGACACACACACAAGCGGTCTCTGTCTGACCTACACCACACACATACGACTTCTCTCGCACCCACACATAAAGACAAAGATCCCCCGTATAGCCTGGGCTCGTGCTGTTAGCCAAGTAGCGCCTATGAAGGCCGGCACGGCACACGAGGGGCTGGGTGGCCAGCACCACACCCGGCCGCCTTTGTCTCCTCGGTGGCAATATTTACACATCACACCAGGTACTCATTTGAGGCCGAGTCGACCTAGGAGGGTGTCCCGGAGACCGGTTCAGATGATCATCACCGGTGTCGCCGGGTAGCGGTGAGCAAACCGCTCCCCTTTCCACACACACACACAAAGATCCCCCGTGTCGCCTGTAACAGACTGTCGTGGCAAGTGCTGTTAGCGAGCACCTATGAAGGCCAGTACGGCACACGAGGGATGGTGGGTGGACAGCAACCACGCCCGGCCGCCTTTGTCTCCCCGATGTTTACACACCGCACCATGTACTCATTTGAGACCGAGTTGACACACGCACGCACACGTCTACCACACGTTGAGCGTCTCGCTCCCACACACATCTCTCGCATCATCATCATCCGCCGTCGATGCCAAGGCACTCTCCACTCACCGATACCAAACCGGCTCAGTGCGAGCTACGCGCCCGCTTCACTCCCTCCGATGTTGCTCCGCCGATGAAGAGGCCCGCGGGCACACGGAGTGACTCGTGGATGAATAGACACGCAGAGTGACTGGTGGATGAAGAGACACACAGAGTGACTGGTGGATGAAGAGACACACAGAGTGACTGGTGGATGAAGAGACACGCAGAGTGACTGGTGGATGAAGAGACACGCAGAGTGACTGGTGGATGAAGAGACACACAGAGTGACTGGTGGATGAAGAGACACGCAGAGTGACTGGTGGATGAAGAGACACGCAGAGTGACTGGTGGATGAAGAGACACGCAGAGTGACTGGTGGATGAAGAGACGCGCAGAGTGACTGGTGGATGAAGAGACACGCAGAGTGACTGGTGGATGAAGAGACACGCGGAGTGACTGGTGGATGAAGAGACACGCAGAGTGACTGGTGGATGAAGAGACACGCAGAGTGACTGGTGGATGAAGAGACACGCAGAGTGACTGGTGGATGAAGAGACACACAGAGTGACTGGTGGATGAAGAGACACAGAGTGACTGGTGGATGAAGAGACACACAGAGTGACTGGTGGATGAAGAGACACACAGAGTGACTGGTGGATGAAGAGACACGCAGAGTGACTGGTGGATGAAGAGACACACAGAGTGACTGGTGGATGAAGAGACACACAGAGTGACTGGTGGATGAAGAGACACGCAGAGTGACTGGTGGATGAAGAGACACGCAGAGTGACTGGTGGATGAAGAGACGCGCGGAGTGACTGGTGGATGAAGAGACACGCAGAGTGACTGGTGGATGAAGAGACACGCAGAGTGACTGGTGGATGAAGAGACACGCAGAGTGACTGGTGGATGAAGAGACACGCAGAGTGACTGGTGGATGAAGAGACGCGCAGAGTGACTGGTGGATGAAGAGGCACACAGAGTGACTGGTGGATGAAGAGACGCGCGGGCACACTGAGCGACTCGGCCCTGGGGAGGAGCGAAGAGCCGCGTGCGCTCCAGCCGAGTGGCGGGAGGATGAATGGGAGGAGTGAGTTCGCAGGGGCAGGAGGAGCAGGAGGAGCAGGAGGGGTGGAGGATGTTTTGGGGGTCGGCTTGGCTTCGTCTGACGATCGTTCCACCCTCCACCGTTCTCTCGGCTTGGCGTGGCAGGGAGGGCGGCGGTGGAAATGTGGGAGGAGGCTGCAGAGCCACGGATCTTCCCAGCACCAGCACCAAGCCCTCCTCTCTCTCGCGAGGTTATGTTAATATACATGGCGACCCGCATGCAGCTTCCCACATAACCACATCCCTTTTCACACCCCTCCCTCCCTCCCCACTTCGCTTCTGCTTCCTAACTTACCAGTACTGTACCGTATTTCCCCCGGATTATAAGACGCTCCGGAGAATAAGACGCACCCCAAACGTGTGAACGTAACAAATCTGGTCTCACACACACACACCAAAGACAAAGATCTCCCCTATAGCATCAGCAGACTGTTGGGGCAAGTGCCGTGAGCGAGCACCTATGAAGGCCGGCACGGCACACGAGGGGGTGGGTGGCCAGCACCACGCCCGGCTGCCTTTGTCTCCCCGGTGGCGATGTTTACACAAAACAAACCAGGAGCTCGTTTGAGGCTGAGTCGACCTAGGGGAGGCCAGGGACCGGTTCAAATCGAATCCGGGTGGCCAGGTTCGTAGCGCAGCGCGTTAACCGCTACACCACCGCTCCCCGTCAGACGGAGTATCAGACGCACCCCCAAATGTTACTTTCAAAACACTGGGAGGGGGGAGTGCGTCTTATAATTCGGTGCATACGATACAGCCACCCCTCCCCCCCTTGTGTTGCCTTTGGTCGGCTGTTGTTGTTTGTGTGTGCTGGCGGTCATTCATTGTTGTTCGACTGTCGTCGGCTTCGGCTGTCAAGACGAAACGGTGTCTGTGTGTGTTTGTGTGTGAGCGTAGAGTGCGCAAAAGAATGGTGGTGTCGTATTGACATGCGAAGCATGCTGTCAGTCCTGTTGTGTTGTTGTTGTTCTTTTATGCTTTCGAAGCTGTCACCTTTGGGGTATAAATTCAGTGTCATTCCAGTGATGTGCTTGCAATGATTCACGACATCATGATTCGCATCATGACATCATGATGATTCACATAATATCATTGCCTGGTCGCGGAAACCTAATTAAATATTTCACGATTATAGTGGTGATTCGAATCCGTGCTAGGTTATTCTTTTGTTGCGTCTCATTTCAAGGCCGTAGCCATGGAGTCAACATGGGGGGGGGGGGGCAAATCTTCCAGGGGGTCTGCGGGTCCCCCCCAGTAAAAAAAAATCTAAATTTTTAAACTAATTTCCTGCCTAAAATATGAAAAAATGCACTAACATATAGAAGACTTTTTATTTATTTTTAACAATAATGTCTAATAGTATATTGTATTCCATTGCTATGTTTTTTCTTCTTTACCATTCCTTGTTTCATTGTATGAAATGGCAGAGATTAGGGATTCATAAAGTACAACCACAACCACAATCATATCAACATAAATCTATTTTATAGCAATATATTGTGGGGGGGGGGGGGGGGCATTTTAAGCATATTTGAATATTGCACGCGCCTCCGTTGCGCTGTGGGTGCCGTTTGTCCCCCTGTCCCGCCTGCGATGTCTCTATTATTGTTGCCGTCTTCTCGTACGCCGCGCCTCGTTTGTGTTGCCTATCTGGTTTCTCGCATCTCACTCCATCTCAAATTGGATAACACTGGTCAACAACAACAAAAATTCTGGCCTGGACTTTTGCAGCTGTTTTAGACTAATTTCAGGGTGCTGATTCCAAATCTGATCTCAGATTTGCTCCATCACATCTCATTTTTATGCTATCGGCATACCCCATTTTCATTGATTTTACCCGAAATTAACTCTTGTCACTTATGATTGCAAGTTGTTGCGAGTCAGTGACTGCTTAAAATATGTTGCTGTATTTTTAGGATAGTGTGTCTATAATATCATTTTATGTAGATATCCACATTTATTAAAAAAAAAATCTTCTGCAGTTTTTATTGAAAATTCAATATTTGATATCTCAAAAACCTGATGTGATAGACAAAAAAACTGATGCCAGATTTGGAATTAGCACTCCAAAATTACATTAAAATCTTTGGAATACCTTATGCCAGAAAAAGTGTGTTGACCAGTGTTATCCGTCTGGTTTGTACCGTCTCGTTAGTGTTGTCCGTCTGGCACGTCCTGTTCCGTTTATATTGCTCGATTGTGTCGTATCTCTCGCTTGGAATGCCTGCTTGCTTTGTACCATTATTAATTTATCTTGTTTTTACAAACATTGTCAGTCCACTGCCGGATGAAGGCATTCCCATGCCATGTTGGTTAACTGACCATACTTCACCACGCTGGTCAAATGAAATGGTGGGGCCTAGAACCAGTTGTACAGATATCACTCGCAACTGGGCCTGCGATCTACCGCTAATAATCACGCCCACAAAGCTATCATCGGCTTAAGAATCGAATATAATCGATAACCCTGAACACGCCTAGGTCAGCATTTGGTGTTCCGAGCTCAGGCAGTGATGAATGGACCTTTGTGAGTGAGCGTGAACGCTCGCCAATTCTCCTGCTCACTCACGCACACGCGCACGAGATTTCTCCACCTTGTGACGGTAATTAAAATGGATTTTGTTTTGTTCTTTTGCAAAAAATTCAGAAGCTGGGATTTCACGGCAATCGAGGCGGGTCGGGGGGAATTAGCCTAACACCCAAGGCAACGTAGCGTCGTGGTGTCGCGGTGAAGTTGATTAGTCGGCAGCATTTTCCACCGCGGGTAATGAATTCAGAATTATAATACGGTGGCATTTACTGTACAATAATATTCGCCCTCAACATCATCATCATAGGTGGATGGGGGCTATGTAACAAAAACAATGTTTGCTGAACACAGGCCCAAAACGCTCAGCGGCCAGCAAGAAACAGCACTATTGAAAGTGCAACGGATAAGCGCTATATAAAAAGCGTCTCGAATCTTCTAAGTTTACACTAACTTGGGAGTAAAGCATTGGACGGCCGAGAAAGCGATTTGTATATAAAAAATTCGCAACACGCGACGCTGTGGTTTTGTGAAAAAAGGGGGATGTGGTGAATTAGCACAAAAAGTGTCACATAGCATGGTTTTTTTTTATCTCATGCAACGGCGATGACGTCATTACCTGTGCATGCGGTGGCGAGGTGCGACACAGTGGAGAGATGTTAACGACCTCGCCTCGTATACAGCAGGTCGTGGGTTCGATCACATCCCTGACGCCTCTATGTTTGGAGTTTGCATGTTCTCCCCGTGGGTTGTGTAGATTTTTGTCCGGGTTCTCCGGTTTTTCCCTTCACATTTATAAACATGCGTTTAGAGAATGTTGCTGCTATAAATTCCCACTGTAATAAGCCACTTCGTTGGACTATCATTTGTGGCCAGATCGCTTCTGAAAAAGAGCTATATAGCTCTGTGGGGCCTTGCCTGGTAAAATAAAAAATGTGATTCAACACAGATACTAACCTATAGATACTTTGCCAGACTCAGGATATGCTATTTTATTCTGCATAAGTATAGGTGGGTTTTTTAAATCCAAATAAAACTTTCCTGCAAAATCCCGAGGATGGATACAACTACGCCACTTTTTTTCCAGCCAGTGGATTGATAACGCGCTGTAAATGATTACACTTAGACCTCGCTTAGTGCTCAAGATGCCATTCCTGGAGAAGTGACAGCTAAATCAACCGTTGCTAAAATGGGTCATTAAAGCAGTGTGCATATATATGAGGACGAGTTCCCGACGTTATTTCTTACGTATGAGCAACATATGAGGGCTTCATTAGGGTATCGGTAATATCGCAAATAATAATAGAGATGGTAAACATTTCGTAAATATATTTTAATATAATAACATCAGTATTATGAACTGTATTCACGAGTACATCCACCCATCGCTCACGACCCACACCCACCTGACACCCCCTCTACCCGCCTTATCACTTGCATTTTAACATCATAAGAGATTCCTTGACACCTTTGGTCACATTTCCAACATTAACATTTGCAGGCCTTTTTCAGACATTATGGGTCTAAAATACTCATAAAACACGCAAAAAAATAGCACAGAGACCAAGGCAGAGTGAACAAGTCGGCGGGCAGGTGTGTGGTTTTTTTAAACTGGTGAGCTCAGAGCGTTCGTCGCACTCATTGGCTGAGAGAACGTAAACACAGGTGGTGTCGGGTGCGTTTCCTCGGCACTGCATGTTCCCACTCGTAAGTGCTTTTTAGATTTTATCAATTTTTGGAAGAAAAAAATGTCCCCGGGACAAAGAGCGCTATAATGAATACACGTTCTACGAGGTAGCGCTAAGTGAGGTCTGCGTGGTATAATCAAATTACACTAGTTTACCTGTCGCCGCATATGGGGTACTAAAGGTATGCTGCCTGTTGCACTTATTTAATCTATGCTTTTATGAAATCAACGGGAAAGTTGAACCTCTGTAGGTCCCTCCCCTTCCTCTTTAGGCCACAACTCTTTAATCTCTGTGACCGCAACCATCCTCCTCCACTTTGCGATTCAGCCCCGTTTCTTCCTCTTTTGGCTCTTGGAGTCTTTTCTTGTTAGGCCCTGCTCCTTCCTCCAGACACCAAGGGTTGGGCTCGAGAAATATCACAGCTGTCCATTGTGACAACACGCAGATCATGTAGCGCAGACAATGCTTTCAGTTCATTTCTTGAAAAATATTTCCTTGAGAACATTCATGCCGTCATCCCCCACAGAGTCCTCTCTAGGCCGAGTGGCATTGGAGCATCGTAGCCCACTGATCTCACTCTCGAGAGGGGGCCTGACGACTCGTCCATGGGGGGACATTGTCCCCCCAAGCAGTACTTGAGACTCGCTCGGCCAATATTCCACGGTGGTGGTCAGCTTCGGTCCTTTCCTCTCCTCGGTCCCCGTAGCAGTCACTGCAATAGCCTCCTTGCTGTCCGTGTCCGACTGTAATGGTCACAGCACGAATCGGCAAGTGTTACAACAGAGACATTGAACCCATCACCCAACAAAACTCTGCAGCTGAGCGATAAAATACTTGCTCGTCCTACCGATTTAGGCAATAGCCTCAGATTTGTGAACCATATCAATTCTGTTTAAGTGAGTTTTTATGGACAGTCTTGACATGCTTTGGTGTTTGCAAGCTATACAAAATGAAATGAATATTCATCGGTTAATGTAACACCACTATTAACATTTTTTGAAGGGTAATTCTTCAACATGTCACTGTTCCTAAATATATACTCCAGTACACGTTGTGACGAGTTCTTGGCTTTAATCCAGCGTTCTTTGTAAAGAGTATTTATAAGCCGCGGAATATCAATGTGTACGTGCAGTTAATTTATATATTTTCCCCCTAAATATATGGAGACCTGACAACAATCATGCCAGATTTCAGCTTTAAAGCCTTTCTTGAACATCACTATAATGTACGTTCCACTCTTTCCATGTACTGCATGTGATCTTTATTTCAAATCTGGCTGCCTACTACTATTTTTACGATTGGAGCCACATTGGTTTAAATTCATCTTGACAACATTTACTAAGGATCTGCCATTACATTTATCTGGTTTGCTCATACCTGACTCAAACCCTCCCAATCTAAGATTATCCTCAAAATTAAATGTTCACATCACAATAATTAAAACTACATTCTCAGAATGTTCCTCCATGCATGTAGGTTCACAATCCCCGGAACAACACGGTATATCTTCTTCCGTTAAAGTCTGCTCCCTCTCAATCGGACTTTTATGAAAAATTTGACTAATTCCTTGGAAAATTGGGTTCCAAATACTTTTGATGTTCCTACCTCATGTGTTGTTATGTTTCACCAATATCAAGAGTTTTTTTTACAACCTTAAGAGATTTGTTGATGACAATTTTACGTGACTTTTCAAATTTGTGTATTTGCCATTGCCTTGTAATCCAGATCTGCCTTGAAAAATTTACGTGATGTCTATATTGCTTCATCTGATTGAAATTGAGAATGTACACAAATATTACCATGAACAAACAAACCCACACAACACTGGGCTATTTTGAAAGGAAGAAGTCATGTATTAAAGTTGGGTCAACGACTTTTACCAATTATTAACTGGTGACACAGCACACATACATACATACAAACAAGCAACCTGCTGTAACACAAGAGTGAATCATACGCTCCTGTGGTGCTATTTAAGCAAGCAGCCTTCAGCTGTAAAGTACACAGGACTCAATAAAGGACCAGCAACCCCTTTGGGTCATCGTTCTCTTCTACATGCAACTGCACCGAAAGCAGGGGTCGGCAGCCTAGTATTCACATGGAATGATTTTTTTTACCGAATTTGAAAAAAATGGCTCTTCTTGTTATTTTGGTTGACACTTGAAGTTGGTGGTGTTTCAGCTATCCATGGCTGAAAAAGGTTATTGATAAAGGTATTGGGCTATACATTGATAATGTATAGATGTGAACATTTGATTTTGCGATGAAATGTACTGGGAATTTGTGAACACAATGAACAGATTTGTGCTTTGAGTTTTCAGAAAAATTGGCATAAGTGGATTATACAAAAACATTTCAGTGACCATTTTAATATCCCTCTCTGGCACCGTATTTTAATATTTTTTTAACTGATTTGTCTACCATTTTGTATTCTATAATAGCTATAATGGAGTGGTGGCAGTGGTTAGCATCGTACTCTAGGAACACCGTGACTTGAGTTTGATTCCCAGCCATGGCTAACATCAGTGGCCGGAGATATCTGAGCTGGTCCTGGAAATACCCTCCACAACTTGCACTGACTCACATGACGAAGTATGGTAAAAAAAAAGGTTGTTTGGGAGGCTTTCATTCAGCAGTGAATTGATAAACATCTACAATATGGGACCTTTCTTGTCAGTATTAAAATATAACAATAGGTTTCACCCTTTCTGGTAATAAAACAGGTGATAATTGTTTTTTTACCCTTTTATCTGGCAACAAAACTGACACCTTTTTTACAAGGAGTCATGTTTGCATTGACCACAATACCTGCGGTCGGAATGCAAACAAAAAACACAACTCTGATAATGTATGCACTGTCCTTGAAATTGATTGGTCCACACCCAAGACAGCTTTTCTTAGAGCCTCATCTCACATGGTGTTGGACCAGATGTCTCGGGTGTAGACTAATCAATTTCAAGGACAGTGCATACATTATCAGAGTTGTGTTTTTTGTTTGCATTCCGACCGCAGGTATTGTGGTCAATGCAAAAAAAAAGTGTCAGTTTTGTTGCCATATAAAAGGGTAAAAAAACAATTATCATATTTTGCTACTAGCAAAGGAAGTTCCAATGGTGGAATAAAACAGGTGTCAAGATGTTTGCGTGTTCACCACAAGCACGTGTGGTTCATGCAGACACGATTCCTTGAATAAGGATTCCGTTTGGTGTTTTCTTAACATCTTGACACCTGTTTTATTACCAGAAAAGGTAAAACCGATTGTTATATGATAAACATGTTATTACAATATAACAGTAAATAACATCTAGATAATGTACATCTTCCACAACAAACTTTCATGGCACTTTATAATCATAAAAAGTAAAACAAGTTCTGCAAAACAAGAATCTAAAGATAAAAAGGGGCAAATATGTACTTAACTCTGATTTATCCAGGTGATTATCCAGGCTGTGGATTAACTGTGTTAGCAAAAATAAATAAAAATAGATTATTCCAAGCTCATTTGCATCTTTTACACGCTTGCTATTTCTATTACGATCTGCTCGTTACCGATAAATACATGATACATTCTTCAACTTCGCCTCCATTCTATGCTAAGAAATCAATCAAATTTTCGAGCGTAATTTTCTTATTTTTCCTTCGTGTTTTTCCATCCACTGCTAAAATTTTGATGAAAAAAGAGATGACAGTCCTTAAACCTACAAATTGAGAAAAAAACACAAACTGCAATAATTTAAATAAATAACACTGTTTTTAAAGACTTGATTTCAAATTATTGATGTTTTAATTTGCCATTGCAAGTGACATTTGTCTTAGCTACGTAATCACACACAGCCGTCCCCTAGATTTCTGTTAAGTTTTACAGACAATTAGTCACCCCCGGGGTGGTGTGCCAAAGATTACGAGTACAGAGATATGGAACAATACATTTTAAAAGATAACAAAAAGTGCCACTTAATGGACATTATTCCGTCTTAATCCTTTTCTCATCAGCATTGGAAACTCACAAACATTTGTTTCGTCACCAGACAGATTGTCTTTGTGTATCTGAAGTTTGTGAATAAGACAGCAGCAAGATTCGTGTCATTTTTTAAAGCATCGGTTCAGTACTTAAAATCAAATGCTGACAAAAGGTTGAAATTAAGCAATGCACCTTGGCAGGGTTTTATGCCCCTTTTGTTATATGGGAACGGTGACCCTAATCAGCAAATGCTGCCGCTTGAGATATCACGGACCCTCACGCCCTATAACGGCACTTAGCTCGTAAACTCCAATGCAAGCCTTGGCCCGAATACATGTGAGAGTACTTCTCATATATTTCCTGTTGAAAGATTGAACGCCGCAGTTCATCGCACTATTATCCTGCACTTTAACCTGTTAAAAGATCACACAAATGTTGCTGAACTCCGTTCCCGTGGGTGTTGAGGTGCCACATCCTGGCTTGGAATTGGTGGTACAGAAAAGTGTGGACAAATATCATCTGTCCCAGATTTGAAGCGTTCGTGACTGCAAGGATTCATACTCTTAGGTTTTTTTGGTAAAGTCGCGTAGGTAAGAATAAATAAGAAAAATAATAATAGAAATAAAATTATAAATCACGATACAGTAAATCAAGCTGTGATGGTCCCACCTGATAACGGAGACTTGTGTTGCCTCCGAAACATCGTGATTATAATTTTATTTCTATTATTATTTCTATTATTTGTATTATTTATTCTTACCTACGTGACTTTACCGAAAAAACCTAAGAGTATCATCTGTCCCTTCTGTATGGGATAGAGTTTTGCCTGCATGCATGTAGGTTTTCTCTGGGTGCCCCGGTTTCCTCCAACATGTAATCACTCATGAATTGGATGAAAATATGTTAATATATAGAGGGCTGTCAGAAAGACCGCGTCCGAATGAGCCTGTTCTTCACCTGAGGACGGCTGCTTGCGTTGTGGCCGAAACGTCGTGAGAACTGTATTTTATTGTTTTATTTTTATTATTTTATTATTTCCCTTCTACGTGACTTTACTGAAAGAACCAAGAAGACTATGCATGCTGTTGGAACCACAGTACCACAGTGGAAACATGTCTGAAGCCACTGCCTTCTGCTTATGTGTCTGGTCAGCAACAACATTTTTTATATGACTATTAAATCCACATCTGAAACCATCGCCAGTAAAATATGCACATGGGTATGTGTACAAGGTTGTATACTTATGTTTCCCCTGTCGGCTCTTAGCTCACAATGTCAGGGAGGAACTGCAGGGCCATGTGGAGCAGCTCTGACTCGCTCATGCAGTAGATGGGTTGAGTAGGGCCACCTTTGAGTTTGGAGAATGATTTCCTGGATGTCCTGACAAAAAAGGATTATAAGCAACCTCAGTGGTTGGTAAACAAACATAACAGCCAGGCATCGGTACAACTATGCATTCAACCACTCAGGTATACAAAGAGCCAGGCAGAATTCAAATAACCAGACAAATATTAATGAAAACTATTCTTCATGTAGCCAGGCATTTGTATACAACCAGACTGACATTTCTAAACAGTTTCTGGTGCTGTATAAAGCACAAGTGGTCCATATTGAAGTAATATCACATCTGGGGTGAACTCCTAGTTCCTATCTGACTGCTGGATAAAGAACCATCTTAAAGTGTTTTGGTTAATTGATGCTGCTGAACTCAATGCTTCTATCCAGTCACTCACCATTATTCAATCGCTTTCTTTTCACTATCTATTGCTACTACCATGGTCGTTAAGCATATGGGCTTCACACCATGATACCTCTGCTAATGGGACGGACTAATTTTATTTGGCGGACTTTTTTTGTCATGCATACTGTGTTCAATCACCAAATCTCAGGACACCGTTTTCTTTAATGTTTTGGCTCCCACTACTTCGTTCTGCAGAATGCCTTATTATCTATTTTATCAAGTTCCCATAACCTTGCTCGATTCTGGAAACATGTTGTTATGTGATGTACTGTCATGTTGTTTTACCACTTTGCGTTATAGACCAAGGCCATGTGAAGGAACTGGTTTAGAAAAAAAGTCTGTAGCCACCGGTGTAACTGACCAAATGCAACCAATCACATAATCATCGAGATTAAGTAATAATCCATAGCACTATTATGGCAATGTTTGGTGGATCATGTAGATTTGTAAACCTCACAAACCCTCTGTGCTGTGGGGTGGCCAGCAAATGACAATACTGTACAGCAAGCATGGCTGTGAACCTATCTGTACGGGTCTTTGATCGTTTTTCCCTTTTATACCACTAGCTTTACACTACCCGGCTTCACCCAGGACTTGGATTAACCACGCCCGGCCGCCTTTGTCTCCCCAGTGGCAATGTTCACACACCACACCAGTTACTCATTTGAGGCTCAGTCGACCTAGGGGAGGCTCAAGACCAGTTCAAATAATTGTCACAGGTGGTGGCCGTGAGCGGGAATCGAACTCAGGTCGCCGGGTTCGTAGCGCGGCGCGGTAACCACTACACTACAATGCGTTACGCTTCCACATGCGCGGGTCACACGACAGATTTGACGTCACAGCTCACTTGCCGTGTAAAAAACTAATATGCATTATTGAGCACCCCCCCCCCCCAAAAAAAGTGTATTTTTATAATTTTTGCATGGTGTACAGTCTGGAAAGTACCCACATGGCAAATTTCCAGTTTGTGGCATGTCGGGAAGTACGCTAAACATTTTGAACAGACACACATATTCACAACTTTTCCTTTTACATATATGGAGATATCCATACTCCAGTTTTCTCCCGCACGTAACACTATTTACAATATCTTACAAATACCCGAAAACAGCACACTCTTGGGACTCTGTGAGGCTTTGCGAGATACATCACATGATATCGTTGTCCACACTGCTTTTAAGTGAGATTGGACAGGCAGGACATGCCACTCAAAGGGTTGTGGCCAATCAATGGTGAAGACAAATGACGGAGTGTCAGCCAAATACGAGCATATGCCTGAAAATAACTCCACTGGAGTCAACTTGTCAACTTATATGCAGGCGCTGGATGGATTGTTGCATTTTAAGACTTACAGATGGTGCCGGTTTGGGGAGGTCTTCATGCAGCAATGGTTTGATAGTGGTTGATTATAATCATAATTATGATGAACATCATTGTCGTCACAACATGCATATCACTGTAATGGCAAACCTCGTCTTGCCTCTCCGTGCCATGCCTTTTGAGCCGGAAGCCGTCTGCATACCCCTGCCTGCAGGGTTCGATCCTTGCTTGCCAGCGTGTTCTGGGGCATCAGGACCCGTGACCATCCAGCCCGGGAGGGCCCGCCTGCCTCCACCGGCCGTCCCCATGGGCCCCTGAATCAAGGGGGGTTCAACGCGTGAAGAAACCTGAAAAGAGAAGAGCAATTGTGAAAGTAGTCCAAGTGAATGTGGGATTAGGGGTTTGGTAGAGTTAGTGCACAGGGCCAGTGTGCTAGCGGCTGGTTGGTTATGGTCAGTGAGAGGGCCATAACAAATGGCTGGGAGTAAGAGGGCTCGTGTTTAGCAGCTGCGTGGCGTTGATTATGGTTATGGTCATTGTAACTAATGCCTGGGTGGCTAGCTAGCCAGGGTTAGGCTCAATGAATGGGCGAGTATTGTAATGGTTGGTGAAGGGCATGGCTCGAATTAAAATTCATAATTGAGTAGGCATGTAAGGATTAACAGATTAAAATGTATTTATACTCATGGTAAATTAATGTGATTGTGCGCCAAACATATTTCACTTAATTCGTAGATACTGCAAGTACTTTATACATTTTAAGTTCACGTTTGGGACATGGTACTAATGAGACACTGCAGATGAGTCGGTGCGTATATATGTACAAAGACAGAACACGATTGCATACCTATCAACCCATACGGTTTACCCGTATTCTTGTGCAAGGAAATTGAGTTTTCAGGTCCATACGGTGTTTCAATACGGGCACAAAATAATAACTGTCTATTTGTTTGTTTTTCTCCCTTGTGATGGGACTTTATAGAATGGACGTTGAGATGTATAAGAGGCACGGGGTGACCAATAAGGTCCCAATTGGTCTGTAATAATGTAGGCACTGACAAAGCTTTGACAGGCATGCGATTGGCATTACAGAACAAGACATTGCGTGGAGAGCAAGGCAGTACAAACGGAGCAGACGCGACAGGACAAAACGAGACAATACAGAATCAAAACAAAGGGGCCGTCCATAAATTACGTCACGCGATTATGGACAATTTTTGACCCCCCCCCCCTTCGTCACACGGCGTCACAAAAAGTCAGACCCCCCCTCAAAAATGACGTCACAAAGCTCTGCCCCCCCCCCCCCCAAAAAAATATAACACATGCTTCAAATCGCTTTAACTATTGTCATTGTAGTGCGTATTTAATGTGGCGCTGCACTCTGATGTTGTAGGAGAAAACATTTATTAAAACGTTTATTTAATTAAGTAGAATGTGTTGTCTATATTTATTTAAAGTTGCGTATTTTATGTGACGTCACCTTCCTTAAACCCCCCCTCCCCCTAGGTGCGTGACGTCATTTATGGACGGTCCCTAACATCAATTTCGGTGGTTACCTGGCTTTTATAAATATAAAACCAGGAGGAATAACTCAAAAGTTAATAGAATCAAAATGTACTGACTGTTACATGTTGAGTACTACCATAACCCTGCAGCCGGCTATGGCTACAGGGTTTGGTGGTGGTACATGTTAAGTCGTTTATTGTGAAAATTCCGTCACAGTTCCTATGATCACTGTTTCATTGCTTTCATGGCTTTATTTTGGTGATTTCGACAAGTTTTTTGGTTTGGCCATGTTTGTTTGTTGTAGTATGGAGTAAGACGGATGGCCTTAATCTAAGTTGTCTTGTGGTTGTTGTTGTTGTTTGACTTGCATCCCACTGGGATTTTTGCACACAGCGTTGATGTACGGTGCCTTTTCTGCAATATTTTGCTGTCTTTTCTTGGATTTTCTGTTTGCACTTAGTCACATATTCACTTTAAGATGTTTTCTTGTTCATGTTTTTGTTTTTTGTTTGTTGCGGTTGCACCCGATTCAAGAGCCGAATGGCTCACAGGGCTATACCTAATCAATGAACTTGAGTACTAACTTTATCGACCTCTAGTGGCGCACCTTCATTGAGACGCGTGGCATCCACACCACACGGGTGAGAATTCTGCTCTTGTGTGATTGTGCAAATAACGAATGAATATCCCCCCCACCCCTTCACGTTATTAAAGCTCATTCACAATTAGATGTAATTAAGTCAACAACTTATTAAAACGTTTGTGGTTTGGCGGTGACGTGGCCTAGAATAACGACGCAAGACGTTTCGGGAAAACGTCGCCGATGGTCAAGCGTAGCCTATCATATATATTTGTAATCCTCTTAAGGCCTGTAGAGTGTTATTATTGACGAATTGGGATAAGATTCGTCGTTGTTTATACACCACCGGCAAACGCAGTAGGATTAGCAAACAATTCCCGCTTACTATGTCCGTAATAATTTATTGAACGGCGGCCAACGGAAGATGAATACACCGCAGAGGGAGACCGCCGTGGAGATGGAGCACATTTAAATCAACTCCCGCAACGCATCAACAGCAACAATCGATCCACACGTATCGATTATTGCTGTTGATACATTGCGGGAGTGATGGATGCATGGCGACGTATGACGATTGAGGCTTCCATCCAGCAGTGGATGGATCACGACTGATTATGATGGTGATGATGTTGACGACGACGACGACTCAGCGGCACTTAATTCGCGTAATTTAAATCAACGTGAATGGTAAACGAGATTTTTTAAAATTGTTTAAAAAAAATAAACTTTACCTCAGGGTGGCGACGCGGCCGCTACGTCACTTCCGGGGCTCCTCTGCGTCACTTCCGGGGCTCCGCTGCGTCACTTCCGGGGCTCCGCTGCGTCACTTCCGGCGTCTTCCCGCGCAATCTCCTCCAAGGTTGTTAACTTTCACACACGTTGGCGTCACAGTATTTGTACAATCGCATCATTATAAACATCATCATCATCATCGCTTGCTGCTGCTGTTGTTGTTTAAACTCGTGCGAACGGTTCGATGACGAGTGATTTGTTGAGTGTGCAAGGCTGGGATGGGTGTGTGCAATGCGTGGCGAGCCGCAAACTTCCACGTGGGGATGCATTTGATTTGTTTTAAAGTTTATTACTTTGGGATTTGAATGCAGGTAATGCAACACCGTTTCCTCGTTGATATCAGATGTTTGTTAAAGTGTTGCGTTTGTTGCAGTGGCGTTGTGGTTGGGACCGAATTTTTCGTCCGAGGATCAACTTTTTAGCATTTGGGCATACGTCACGATAATGAATCACTCGGGGATCGATATTAATCATTTCACATATTTGTTTATTTAAAGATCACGATATATGTATTCGTCCACTCGCGTAAGAATCAACGTTTATATACAGTACTGTATTTGAATACGTTATGCGTAATCGATGTTTAATCATTGCTATGGATATAGCGACCTCTAGTGGCTGTATGGGTTGACGAGCGCGAATCGTTGCATGTGTCATGAGCTATTTGTGTTATAATCTTTGTGAAGTGTGACTTATTTACAGATATAGGTTGACCAGGCATATGTGTTCCTGGGGAGCGGTGGCACAGTGATTCGCGCACTGCGCTATCGGCATGCCTATCCTAGTTCGATTTGCAGCCACGGCTAACATCAGTGGCGAGTTAGAGCTGAACTGGTGCTGGGTAACTCCAAGCAACCCCCCTATGGCATGACAGCGTGGAGAGAGGCGTTCAGAAGTTGATTGGCAAGATTTTAAATTATTACTCTCATAGGAATCTGCAAAGTCATTACAATCGTTTAACAGCAAGCATTGTGTGTGTGTTTTTATCTGCAGAAATCGTGGAACGATGTTCAGAAGACCGCTTTTCAAGGTTGTTTTACTGGTCATTCTATTGCTATTTTGTCTTAATATATTGTCGATAATCCACCACAGTAACATCTGAATATTATCAGTTCAACACGGAGGCTTTCGCGACCAATATACATAAGGTGTTTTTTTGGGTTAGATCGCGTACATATAAATGTGTCGTTAAACCCACCACCACCAAACACAGCCAATTAGTAAGGTTTGTCACGTGGTTACTCGTACAGCACACCGGTGTGTTGGAGAGTAAACCCACAATATTTACAATTAGAGTACGACGTTTTGCCAGTAATTACAACTAGAATCATCAGGCGACAGCCAGATTTGTGAATATTATGATACGCATGAATATTATAATAGGCATGGCAATTTTTCGCCAGATATATAGTGAGGAGTAGGCAATTTCTGTCGAAGACCTTTTCACAAATGTGCACCTATCTTCCAAATTGTTAAAAAATTTGTTTTAAAGAAAAATGTTCAATGTGAGTGTGTACAATGCGGCTCCAGGTTACCTGCCGCTCATCAAGAGAAGTTGTTTTTATATTGCAGCTTGCTCGTGGGCTGATGACGAGTGAGGCTGGAGATGCTGCCGCGTTAAAACTGGAGAAATGTGAGTAATGTATTCAGTGAGTGGTGCAATGTAGTTCTCGCGCTGCACTATGAACCTCACAAAGTTCGCTTTGTGGCCATGGCTATCATCAGCCATGGTCGAGCCACTGCTGGATGACAGCCTCTCTCCGTACTATGAGCATCTCTCAGTTTGTGATGCCAACATCCATCTGCTGCACTTCAGCTGATCTCGTCACACCATCTCTGCTGTAGTCTTATTAGGCGTCCTACTTCTTTGGCTGCCATTCCATATTCAGTCTCATCCACCGGCCTTTGTATCCCATCAAAACCCACTTTTCTTTACAGTCAACGTCTCGAATGTGCTTTTTTCCCCTGATCCATGAGTTATTTTTGTGTCTGGGTTGTAATTCTAAGCATGCATCATCTCTCCACGCTTCTCTGCATAATTTTCAGCTCTTTAAAACAATTTTGGGTCCACAAGTTTCTCATGCATGGCAATGTGCACTTATTAAAAATTTATTTTGCCACATTGTTGCACTGCTTTTAATTATCAAATTCAGCTTTCTTTGGGGGAGAGAGCTATTTATAGAGTTTACAATTAAATGTTTGATGCAAATATCTGCTGTTTATTCAAATAGGAATTGCTTGAAAAATCAGTAGGACAGATACATATGTATGCATCTTGTCAAACAACGTTCTCCTCATGAACAGGTTTCACGATTATACAAACTTTACGTTTAATTCACTCATTATATTCCATCCAAGCTCAGACAGTTGTAATCGTGACACTGCTGTAAAAAATATCAAGAATCGCAGCACATGACGGCAGTACTGGCCTTTACCAATAATTCAGTAAGTTATTCAAATAAACTTGAGTTATTTCTTGTACTTATTAGAAGCACTGTCATTGCTGGTGGCTCTCCTGATCAATCCATTTTCTACCTCGGCTAATTTAATTTTGCCACCTAGTTAATTTTCCCGATTCCTAGGTCACTTGAGATATGTTAGTTAAACCTCGGATGTATTTTGAAAGGGCTAACACAAGTTACTGGCTAAGCTAATTCTCCCCAGGGAAAAGGGTACTGGGAAATCCCTACGCCTTCCAGGCTAACGGGCTCTTTCCACAGCGCTGACCGACGGTTCATCCAACTCGGTCAGCCGGGTAAAGTAGCTCCCCTAGCCTGGTGCTATTTCTCCCTTACCCTGGGTTCCCACTTCCCCGCTGCTCACATTCGAAGAAATTGTCTACAGCTGAGTGTAATGGTTGTCATTTTGTGCAATGTTATCTGACTTCCATAAGGTGGCAGTGTTTTTACACCAGACAACTAAAAACTAGGGGTACACAATGCATGGTTTTTGGCAGAGGTGTGGACTCGAGTCATGTGACTTGGACTCGAGTCAGACTCGAGTCATGAATTTGATGACTTGAGACTCGACTTGGACTTGCATAACAATGACTTTGTCCCACCTCTGGTTTTTGGTAATTGACATCGAAGCTTACGA